TCGGACGATGACTTCATGTCCTGCTCGTGATTCCAGACACCATGAGCATTTCCAGGCAAGTCAACTCGCTTTACTGTTGATCACGCGTTTTTTGCTTCTGTTTTCTTTTTTTTTCTCGTCGGGCAAGTTCTCACCCGCATCTCTCTCGATTCGAACAGGCTCATCAAGACAACTACACCATGACCTTTTTGGCTCCCAACGTTACTTGCGCCAACTGCATCCTGCGTGTTCGCTACGAATCGCACAGTAATACAGTTTACAAGCATGGATGTTGTCGCAAACGCAACATCTCACCTTGATTGCCATGTTTTCACAATTTCCTACAGAGCCTGGTGAACACCGCTTCTATCAGTGCGCAGACATTTCCATCAGCGCTGCGTCCGGCCCCGCTGCTCCCAGTACGGTACCTCTGTGGTTTTTTGCTTTTGCTTTTTACGAAATTTTTTTTTCTCGATCTGGCCCTGCGACTCATTGTAAAAACCCTCCTCACCCCCCTCCAAACCCCTCTACATCCAGCCTCCAACGCGGTGCTGCACGGAATCGCCTTCACCGAGCTCGACTGGACCGCTTCGCGCAGCGAGTATGTCGAGGTCGACGTCACCACCGGAGCCATCAACGTTTTGGCTGCCATTCCATTTGCCGTGCGTACTTCTGGGCCCTCCGACATGCCGTACGCGGAGGCCAAGTCTGTCAACTCTCCTTTCATTCTCGACCAGATTGAAGCGCACGATCGCGCCACATTCACGCGCTACTACCTGGCCTCGTCCACCGGCCCGATCGGTGCCGCGCCAGACCGTCTCTTGTCCATTTCCCCGGTTCCTGGCCAAGCCGGTTATGACATCCGCCTCAAGCCGCTGCCCAACTTTGCCTTCCCACCCAACTCGATCGATTTCCGCCCGTCCACCAACCAGCTCATCTTCCTCTCCATCGAGACCTACAACGCCACCCTGGGCACGTACAAGCTCCGCATTGGTTCTCTCGACCCCGTGTCTGGCTCGTCGTCGACGCTCGTCTACTCTGATCCTGACGACACTTTTGTCAACAGCCAGTGGACTGCCCTCGATGCTCAGAACGACATTTTCTACTTGCTCATGGGCAACGAAAACGCCCCGGACTCGCTCGAGACTCGTCTGTACACGGTCGACCTTGTCAAGGGAGCCATCACCAAAATCACGTCGCCAGATTTCTCAAAGTACACGATTTCCTCCATTTACTTTTACAAGGGCAAGCTCTACACCCTTTCTCCTGGCCTCGTTGGTGATGCCACCATCTGGACTCTTGTTACCATTGATGCTGTCAGCGGTATGTGATGGGCGGGCCTTTCTCTGGAGTGTGTGGTGTCAAGTTTGCTTCTCGAGTTGCTTATTTTTTTCAATTGTTTTTTTGTTTTTTTGCTGCATGTTTAACGCAGGTGCCGTCACTCCCGTCTCGGTCATTGCCCCAGCTGACCTCTTTGTCAACTACTATGGTGGTGCTGTTTTCGGCTTTGACGACGTCAATGGCATTCTGTACTACCAGTTCGTTGTCGCCGACCAGCAAACCAGCACGATTGCCACCATTTCCCTTGATACTGGCAAGGTCACTTTCTCTGGCCAGTCTGTGATGCGCCATGTGCACAACCTTGCTCTTTAACACATCCGAGTGAGAAGACAGAGCATCGGCTGCTGCTGCTGTCGTTGATGCATGCAAACGAGAAAAAAAAAAAGTACATTGTTCAGAAAATACAAGAGTACACGAAAACATCACACAACACAATCAACAAGTCACATATCATCAAAGTTCTGCTACAAGGAAACTAGCAAATAAACCAACGAAAACAAACAAACAACACACAAAAAAACAAACAAACAAAGGCAGGGATTACGGCTGTGCACCTCCCTCCTGGAAACGCGCAAACCCGACGAAAACCTGCTCGAGCGTCGTTTGATTGACAGAGTAGTCTTCGATCTCCAAAGAGTCGCGCTTGTCCTCCATGCGGGAAAAGATGGAGGCGAGCGACACCGAGCTCTGGGCCGAGTTTGACGACGTCGAGTTGGCGCTTGGAAGCTGGTACTGCACAAGCGTATTGTGCTCCTCTTTCAAGCGCGCGTCTGGGAAGCTGTCTACAATATATTGCTTGAGTTCTGCGAGCTTGTTTTGCGCGCCTTCTCGAAGCTTGATGATGAGAGTGTAGCCCACGCCGTACTGGCTCTTGAGATGCTGCGCGCTGCCCATGCAACGGAACTTGCCATTCACCATGATGGCCATGCGGGTGCAGAGCGCCTCGCACTCCTCCATCGAGTGCGACGTAAAGACAATGCACCGTCCGTTCATCATGAGACTCGAAATGACATCCCACAGGAAGCGACGTGCCTTCGGGTCCATGCCCGTGGTGGGCTCGTCCATGAAAATGACGGCAGGATTGCCGACAAGCGCGATCGCCGTCGACAGCTTGCGCTTGTTACCGCCAGAGTATGTGCCGCAAGGGCGGTCGGCATACTTGTCCAGCTGCAGCTTTCGAATGCACCAATCGACCACCTTCGGAATGTGCGGCTCGAGCAATCCGCGAAGGCGTGCGTACATGAACAAGAGCTCTCGGGCGGTCAAGAGCTCGTTCAGTGCATCAAACTGGGGGCAGTATCCAATGCGTTGGCGGACCTATTGTCAGCAAAACGGATAAGAAGGAGGGTGAGTAACCGACAAAGAACTGGCGAAGGCAGCGGTAGAGATCGAGAGAAACGAAAGTCGAGAGAAACGGAAAAAAAATCGAACGAAAACCGAAAAATCGAAAGAAACTCACATCGATTTGCTCGCGGTAAATACTATAACCGTCGAGGAACGCATCGCCAATGGTAGGATTACAATCGCCAGTCAGCATGCGGAAGGTGGTTGTCTGCGGACGCCAAAAAAAAAAATCACAAATTCATGAATGAATCACCTGCAAAACAAGCCAGCTACAACGCCCACCAACCCTAGCAACCTACCTTGCCGGCGCCGTTGACGCCCAAAAGCCCAAAGCACTCGCCAGTCTTGATGCCAACAGAAAGATGATCGACGGCGACTTTGACGTTATCGCCTTGACGGAAGGTCTTGCCGAGCTCCTTCACAATCATAATGTCGCGCTGAGCTTGAGCGGCAGGGGTTTCAATGTCCACATGGTGGGTGTGAGCAGCGCGCTGCGCTCGTCGCGTGGCTTTGCGCAGTTGTTGCTGCTCCCGCTCGCGGTCCTGCAGGGTGAATTTCTCGATCGGGAGTGCAAGCACGCGGCGGCGTTCCTGGATGACATCGTCGTCCTCGACAATCATGGCGATACCTTCCGGATCGTGCGTGAGAATGCCAAATGACTCGGCTTGGGGCGTCGTACCCACCGACTGCAATTCTACATGAGCACTGCTGGCGCTGTGCCCATTGCCTTGTCGAGCAGATTGAGCGTTCAGGTCGCGCACATACTGGGGCAGGTCGTTGTCATCGTTGTCGTCCACGTCTTCGGTGTCAGTAATGTTGAGCAAGCCCTTGCGGCCTCGAGCAGGCGCAACACGACTCTCGCCTTCGCCGGTGCTGGCAATGCTGTACGCGTGCCCTTCCTGGCGGCGACTGAACACCCTGCGCAACCACAAGCCAGCATTCCGCTTGGCATCGCCAAGACGAACAACAAGGCGGTGATAGACGGGCGAAACAGAAGTGCGCTCGATGATGAGGACGAGCGCGAAAAAGACAAAGCCCTCGATCGTCATGCAGAGAACATTCTTGCCAACGACATCCCAGGAAAGCGGGTCGGCGAATCGGCTTTGGCCAATGGTGGCCAAGTACTGATTGATGAGCTGGTTGATGGCAAGATCCATGATGCCGCGGCCCATGCAGTAGTTTGGCAAGAGCAAGAACGCGACCTTGAGAATGTCGTTGATGGCGAGCAGCTCGGGGTCGTCCGGGAAGAGATCGAGCATGAACGTCGCAATCACACTCGTGATGCCAGTGATGAGATTGACGCAGATCAGCGTCACATACGCGGTGGGAGGGACTTCAAACAGGTACGACAAGCAATACATGAGCGGCGTCATGGACCAGGCATACAGGAGGAAGAGAATGGCCACCGCCGTAAAGTTCACGCCAGAGTACGCTTCGTCGTTGAAGGCCACAAAGATGATGAGGGCCACCAAGATGGGGAACATGAAGGTGAACAAGTCCCAGACGAAAGTGGCAATCCAGTAGCTCGCCGAGTTGACGCCGCTGACAAACTGCATGTGCTTGGACTTGGACTGTCGCTCGGACACGACGTACAAGACAAAGCTGGCCGGAACGAAGGCGAACGCAATCATGATAAAGATGCCGACAACGAGGTCAGTGCCTTGTCGCCTGTACTCGTTGGCCTTGTCTTGGGCGGTGGTAGGCCACGCATGGTTGATGGTGACAATTTGGTACGACTCGGCGTTGACAAGCATACCCAGCAGGGCGTTGTGGTAGCGGTTGAGCATTGTGGCAATGCCGTGACGGAACTCGCCACGATACCAAACGGTCGAGTTGGCCATGACGAGGCCAGGGATGGGCGCCGAGTTGTTAAAGGTGAAGCCACCATAGCTCGAGCGCTGCATCTGATAGTTGTTGGCCATTACATAGCCTTGCATGTCCGTGTCTGTCATGTTGCGGTAGCTGTCGATGTGGTGCACAATGGGCAGGAGATGCTGGAAGAAATTGTTTGCGTAGGGTTGGCAGTTGGGTCCGAACGTTCCATACATCATCATGTTGCCGCTGCGGTCGATCAGGGCCGTGTCCAGAGTCAACGGCGGAAGGTCGGTGGGAGGAGGGTAAATGAGTGCAATGGCCATGGCAATGCAGATGAAGGCAGCAGGAACGAACAGCTGCGACGCCACAGCCTTCTTGTCACGTTTAGCGTGGTGCAAGCGCTTGATAATCATGGCTACGAGTTGCTGAAGACGAAGAGCGAGACCAGACACGACCACATGGTTGACGCTGGCCATGTCGACCTCATTCTCAAAATCGCGCGCGAGGCGCATGCCGCCCTTGGCCGAGCCCTTGTCTCCGCGATTAGCACTCTTCTTGGTTGGGCCACCAGAGGCAGCAGTCGTCGTCGCCGGTGCGGCCAAGGACGCCGATCGCGACCGCGAACGTGAAGCAGCAGAGGCACCGGTTTCGAGGCTGTCGAGCTGGATGGCAAAGGCGTCGTCGTTGGTCCGGTACGCGCCCATTCCGTGTCCGTTGGTGTGAGTTTCGTACGCGTCATCGCCATGATCGACGGCCAGGTCATCCTCGTCCGAGACAAACTCAAGCCGACCGTTGGCTTCGCGGGGAGTTGCGCCATTGCTCCCTTGTGGCAGCGCCATGTGGCTCTTTCGCGATCGAGTCGTCGATCCGGCCACTTTGTCCGACTCTTCCTCGTCTGCCGCAGCTTGCTCCTCTTCGTGCAAGTCTCCAACGCGCAAAAACACCTCCTCGAGCGTTGTCACGCCGACACCATAGCTGGAAATGCCAAGTTCCGCAAGCCTGGCTTCAAGGGCGGCAAACAGGGCCGGGAAGACGCTCGACTGATCGGAAGGCAGGGTGTACGAGAGCTCTGCACCAATGTCGCCCGTAAGATTGACCTTCGGAACGAACGAGCGCAGGAAGGCGGTGACGTCGCTCTCCTTGGTCGCGTCCGACCGCTTGACAAGCGTCATGTGGTAGCCAATGCCAAAGCGCTTCTTCAAGAAAAGCGAGGCACCAACGCAGCGCAGTTGACCGTCAGCTACAATGGCGATGCGATCTGCCAGCAGATCGGCCTCTTCCATGTAGTGCGTCGAGAGAATGATGGAGCGGCCTGCCTTGTGGCGAATCACCAAGTCCCAAATGGCACGACGCGCATACGGGTCGACGCCTGCAGTCGGTTCGTCGAGAATGACCGTCTTGGATCCGCCAATGAACGCGATCGCAACCGAGAGCTTGCGCTTCATGCCGCCCGACAAGGTTCCAGCGAGGGAGTGCTCCTTGTCCACGAGACCAACACTCTTGAGCATGGCATCCACGTCGGCCTTGATGTACGACTTTTCCACGCCTTTCAGGGCAGAGTAAAACTCCATGTGATCGCGCACGCTCAGGTAGTCAAACAACACATTGTACTGGGGGCAGATACCAAGGCTTTGGCGAACGCCGTCGATTTGGGTCTGGATGTCAAAGCCGTTGACCAAGGCGGTGCCGGATGTCGGCTGGAAGAGACCCGTGAGAATGGACATGGTGGTGGTTTTGCCAGCGCCGTTGTGGCCCAGCAGCGCCGTCACTTGGTCTTCGTAGATGCGCAGGGTGAGGTTTTTCAAGGCAACCTTGCCGTTTTCGTAGACCTTGCGCAGGCGGCGAATGTCCACTCCCTTCCGAAGCCCCTTCGGCTCTGCCTCACAGTCCTCGGGTTCCAGGTTGTTGGCTGCGGCGGTAGTGAGCGAGTCCACATCAACGCCATCATGGCCGCCATCCAAATCCGTTTGAATGTTCCAGGGGTCGCGCGAGCGGTTTGACACGCGAGCCCACCAGCGGGAAAAGACGCTTGTCGAGGACGGAGCCGCCTCTCCGGCCGTGTTGCCTCGCCAGTACGAGGCCGTGAATGGAAAATTCCACGGGCGCGGCACACCGTACTTGCCCGGCGCGACACCTTCAATATACCAGGCGAGCGTGAGGTAGAGGATGGCGTCCACGACCATCATGAGCATGGCGTCACGGAAGGTAAAGTTGTCGCCAAACTCAACAATGTTATACGTGTTCCAGTCGATAGAATCGCCACGGCGTTCGTACTCTGCCAAGTACGTGGCGCCGACGCCAAATGCTGTTGTGGAGCACAGACAGGCAAAGAACTTGATCCCACGGCTCAAAATGAGCGAGTTGCGTTGAACCAGCACGTATGGCAAGTACTGCAGAAACAAAGGAGGCAAACGAAGCACGAGCAAAAGAGCGTGAAAGTGAGAAATTGGTTTGTTGTTTCCAAAAAAAAAACCGGTAAAGGTAACTGGCACGAGAAGAACCTACAGTCATAAAGTAGATGATACCGGCGCAGGCAGCGGCGAGGCGGGCACGCGAGAAGAAGACGCTGATCAAGAAGGTCAAGGAGATGGTGGAGAGGACAAAGCACATCATGAAAACAAATGTCAAGCTCGGCGAAGAGTGCGCGAGCACGGCTACGGGAAATAAACAACAAACAAACAAAAAAACCGGAGAACAGGACAGAAAGGCAAGAAAAGTCGAATTCAGAAGGGATTAGTGGTGGGTCAGAGCACAAACTCAGAATGAACTGTACGTACTGCCCGCAAAGATGGTGAAGCAAGCCAACGCGACGGAAATGGTCATCATGATCAGACTGGAGAGATACCAGCTGGACCAGTAGACGCCAGCGCTCAAGCCCATCATCTGTCCAAGTGACAAATGTCAGTGTAGGGTCTCAGAGTGCAACAGCGCTCGACAATTTGCAAACCTTCATGATCTCCTTAAGGCGCTGTTCCTTCTCGTAAACAATGCTTTTCACAAGCATGGACACAGAGTAGACGAATGAAAGCGTCATCAGCAGCGGGAAGGTTGTTGCGATAGCGCCCGCAAAGCCATCCGATGTGTACTGTCAAGCTCAGCGTAGGACCAAACAAGCAAAAAAAAAAAAAAAAAACGCCGAGCCGAATCGAACATCTTTACCGGAGGAAAGGAAAAGCGATTCATGTAGACGTTCGTGTAGGGAAGCGTCTTCTGGCTCAAGAACCGCGTCAATGCGCTGTCAAAATAAAAGAAAATAAATAGAAATCAGCAATCAAATGGGGTCAGAGCAATGCCACCATCATCACGTACCGCTCCATGTAATTCTGGAAAAAGATAAAGCCGCGAGTCGCATAGGTGTCTGTGCCGGAAGGAGAAGTGCGGACTTCGGTCATACTGCGCGCCGTGCTTGGCGTCTGGTCGGGGAGAACACGAAGCGCCCATTTGACTTCACCGGGGTTGCGAGACAACCGGGGCTGGCCAGGAATCGAAGTGTTCATCGCTCGAAGGGCGTAGCCACACACAACATCAAAGTTTCCCACAGCGCGTTCGACGAGCTCCGCCTCAGTGTCGTATCCGACAAACATCTGAAGCAGAGCAAACAAAGAGAATGAGCAAAAAAAAACCGCCAATCCTATGTGATTGCAACCAAAGAAAAACGTCGTGGTGGTGCACACACCGGATCCAGGAAGGACACGGGAAAGTAGGAGCCAAATGATTGGACGATATCCTGCTTGATGTACTGGATGAGAATGTCGCCTGACAACAAAGAGAAAAAAACCAGTGAAAGGAGTGATCAGTGGTAAGCGTCGGCGACACTCGAGCTGCCATCCAACGCACCAACAACTGAGCATCTTACTATCACCACCCTTCGGCGCGTAGATGATGCGCTTGCTCAAGAGAATCTCGACGAGATTGGCTCGCCGACCTCGCTCCGGTGCCTGGGCAGTCGGCAAAGGATCCGCAGAGTACTGCCCAACAACAGAGTCGGCTATGGTCCCGAACATGGTTGGAGAAACATCTTCATCAAAAGTGGTTTGATGCGCTTTTGGGGTATTGAATTCAAAAAGCTCTATGAGCCGTTTCAGGGCCAACTGCCGTGCTATTTCGTCGTCCGTTTCATGAGAATCCACGTCGCGCCGGGTGCTGTCGAAAACGAGGTCAAGAAAGATGGGGGAGACCAGCAGCGGTTGGTTGGTTGAGCGGTTGATCAGCACGAAAACAGACGAGACTCGAAAAGTTTGGCAACAGCGACTTACAATAAAGTGTTGTTCGTGAGGGTCATTGTGCAGGAGAGGCCGTTTGAGAGCATGCATTCCGGCGAGTAGTTTACTACCAAGATCGACCGAACAGAACGCGGGGATGAGATGAGAAGATGAGACGTTTGCATGAGCGTTTGTTTTTGCTTTTGCGATGAGCGTTTGTTTGAAATCTGTCTCGCTCATCCTGTTTGTTTCAGCAATCACAATTTTTTTTTGCCCCTTGTTTTGCGTGTTTTGATGTGCGTTGATGGCTTGTTTTGTTGAGTTTGCGGGCGGGTGACACGCGCCACCCGAAACGACGAAACAAACAAACAAAAACACCAAAGAATAAAAAACCTCCGTTGTGCTACCACACAGCGCCCGTGCTTCCCCTCTTTTTCTTGGCGTCGTGCCATGTCGTGGTTTTCAGCATCACATTAAGCTTTGTGTTTTTCATCCCGTCTCCGCAGCTCGAAAATCTCCGACAAGGCTATTTCGCTATTTGTGGTGAAACGCTCGCGGGGGAAAAAATAAAATGAAATAAAAAAATCCGGGATGCGGAAAATAGAAAAAACACACCAAAACCAAGGAAAAGCAGGAAAAGCGCCGAACGCTGGTCATCAGAAATTCCACAGCAGCGGGGGGCTCTCGTGAGTGAGGTGAGATGGTGACACAGAAGGAGATGGGAGGGGAAGGGAAGGGGAAGGCAGATAACTTACAGATGCCGTGCTGCTCGGGGAGGCGGCGATGGCGCACAAGCACGAGAATGATGAAGAGGAAGAGCGGGAGCGAGATTTCGACCAGCGTGGCGAACGGGCGTCGGCGCTGTCATTGTTGGAGAAGGAGGAGAATGAGAGCACGAGTGGTGAGCAATGCGAGAGAGAATGCCAAGGAAGCAGGAGACGAGGGTTGGAGAGAGAGACGACGAGCAGCGTGAGTGAGTGGCTCAGCCAAAGCGCGTCATAGAGCGAAGCACACACTCCTCCACCCTCACACTGACACTGGTACAACACAACACAAGCATGGACCAAAGCACACAAAACACTTGCCTTGATCGTCCAGTTCTTCCACATGAGCAGACGGAACTTGGCAAAGCGGCTCTGGCGACGGGCGTACTGCATTTCCGCAAGTGGCACACTGCCGACCGCCGAGCGCGAGAATGACGCCGCAGACACGTCGCCCTGCTCGCTGCTCTCCATGGGTGGCGCGCGTTGTGTATGAGCAATCGAGTGTTCAGGGGGTGGGGGCGGGGGAATTGAGCGAGGAGGGAAACAGAAGAAAAAGACAAAAAGAAAAAAAAAAGACTGAGATAAAGGATCTGAATCTGAGATTTCTGGATAGGGTTGAATTGTCGAGCTAATATTGGACACAAGCACGACATGACGTGCAGTCAAAACGCTACTTCAATCTGATTTCGAGATTGTCAAAGTTGATCAGCGTCGAAGAGCTTGTTTCGTTATTGAAACGCAACGGAAGAATTGCATTCAGCTTTCTCAATTCTTTCTCAAACTCAGTCTTCGTTCTCAAATTCACTTCAATCGAAATACTGAACGCATCGGCATTGAATGTCCAGTCAAGAGCGAGCAACGCCGTCGTCGTCGTCGTCCTCACATAGCAGGATTGCAACGGTAAAACTCCCAACCCCCCTCCCCCAATGACTTGGCCTCAACTTGACCCTCGCAACTGACTTCTGAACTTGCGCCTCTGACACTGATTGTTGGACGCAGCCCCGGTCGAGCACAGCGGCCCGACAAGCGCCCTTTCCAACAACGAGCAGATCGCCTCATCACTCGTCCTCGTCCACTCCTGCTGCTGCTGCTCCTGCTGCCTCTCCCGCTGCGAGTAGTAACATCAATGCGACCGGCAGCGCACGCAGGCCCGCCGCCGCCGCCGCCGCCGCCGCAGCATCCACTGCCCAGAGCAGTCCAATCGTAAGCCAGCCAAAACAGAAAACCGTTTGAGATTTTCCCGCCAAAAAATCTCGCATCCGTTCGCAGGGCTCAATAGGCTTCTCTCCCCCGACCCCCTCGGCGAGACTTGTTCATGTTGCTTACTGACATGTAATGGGCGATATTTTGCTAGGAGGAGCACTTCCCGCGAGTCCAATCGCTGTCAAACAAGACCTGGCACGCATTCCGCGTCTCGCCGCTCTACCGCATGCAGACAGACGCACAGTCACTTCGGTTGTATAGTCGGTCGTTGACGGCAGCACTCGTGGCGCGCCGCGATCGGAGCCATGCGGCGCTGATTGACGCCAGCAACAGCAACGGCAGTAGCAGCAGCTCAACCGCTGCGAACGGCAGTGCAGAGATTGGTGCTGCCAACATCGGACTGCTCCCGGGCATCGATCGATTGCCGGGCGTACCACGGGCTTTGGGTATTGTGGTGGCGGCGCCTCCGCGTGCGGTGCCGTCGTCGCTCCGGGGTCGGCAACTGCAGGCCGAGGAAACGGCCAAACAAAAGGCCGCCGGTGCTGCCCCAGAAAGCCGCCTGTTGGCCGTGCTCGGCAACTTTCGACGAGCACGACCAGCCGGGAGTGACGCAGCGGGCGGCAACGGCGGCACGGTTCAGGACGACGCAGACAACAAAGACTTTACCTTTCTGCCCTTATTGCTCGTTAAAAGCACACCCCAGCTCACGCAGGAGGTGTGCGGGTGGCTCGAGAGCACGTTTGATTGCAAGGTTACCCACCTCGCCTTTCCGCCGGTCGAGCTGGCTTGGATGGCATTCATGTGGAGCGCGCAGAATGTGAGTTACACGGCTGCTGCTGCTGCCGCTGCTGCTGCTGCCGCTGCTGCTGCCGCCGCCGCCAACGAATCAAGCCCTGCCGTTAGAATTGACATTTGATGTCCCCGCCACTGTCTTTGGTCTCCGGGAAGTAGCATTCGCCATCGATGCCGACACGCTGTTCCAGCTGTGCGATGCGCTCAATCGAAGCAAAGCCGCCCAGCGCGAAGCTGGCGATGCGTCGAGCATGTTTTTGGCCGTGGACACTTCGCAAGCATTCATGAAGGCACTCGAGGAGCACTTTTTCAGCATTTCGGGCATTCGATTATCTGCGCTCCAGCTAACACGCATCGGCACTGGCACTGCCTACGTCGGCGCTGAAGGGCGTGTGAAGCTCTTTAGCCAGAATCCCGTTGTGATTGGCAACGTCCTGAACCAGCTATCCGAGCTTGCGTCCCTCGAGAAGGTGTAAACAAGAAGGGTTTGCTGCTTCTGTACATTGCTCTTTTGTTGTGATTTGCGTTAAGAAACTTTGTCAAAAGACGAGAAACCCTCGGTCTATGTTCACAGTAAGCGTTTCTCAGAAGACAAGGTCGAGGTGATCTTTGTTTCAGGAATCCGATTTCCATTCGTCACTCTTCATACAGTTTCCGAAAAACCCGATCAAAAAAGCCTCAACTCTCGGACAAACGACAAGTCATCCACTAAACTACTCTTACGACTCAATAACACACGCTCAGTACGCTTTCCTGACAATCATGGCTGGGGGAGGACTGCTTGACTCGATTCTGGGGTCGATGCACAAGAAACCAGCTGCAGCAGCGCAGCCACGACCAGCAGCAGCCGCAGCAGCAGCAGCAGCAGCAGCAGCAACAACCACCGGTCCTTCAGCGGACAGCTCAATAGCAGGCAGCCCGACGACGAGCAAGTACGCCATCAATCCGGCGCTGCTGCCGCGGGGCCGGGCGTTGGGGACTGCCGCGCCAAGCACCGCCGCTGCTGGAGCACGAAACGCCTCGGGACAGCTCACACACTCGACACACGCCGCGTCTGCGTCGGCTGCAGCACAACAGACTGCAGCATCGAGTGCGGCGGCAACAGCAGCGGCGGCCGCATCTCAGGCGTCTGCTGCTGCAGCGCTCGCTCAACGCAAGGCAGCTGAAGCCGCAGCAGCACGCGCAGCCAGCGACATGGCAGAGCGATTCAGATTGTATGTGGTTTATGGAAGAAAGTGATGGAAAGCAACTGCGGGATTGTGGGTGGAAGAATGTCTGAGTTGGTGATCTGAGAATGCAACAAGTCTCAGAATCTGAGGGATTGTGTGATTTTCAACTCACTGTTCAACGGTGTCGTTAACATTGCTATAGAGAAAAAGAAGCGCTCGTTAAGAAGGAAAAGGAGCAGCGGCAGGCGTTCCGGGACAAGATGCACGCAGACATGCTCAAATTCATTGGCGACAGGTCAGAATGCTTGGGGATGGGCAAAAATAAGGTTTTCTTGTATGTGGCGTTTCTAACGTGCACTCGTTTGCAAAATCGAAATAGTGCTGCAATGTCGTTGGATTTACCGCCGATGGACAACCTGCAGCGTGCCATCGTGTAAGCGAACAACAAAGCCTTCTTGCTTGAGCGCACTTCTTTTTGGCCTGACTCACCAATCCGTTTTCGTTCACGCAGGCATTCTGTCGCTGATGAGCTCAAGCTCATCACGCATGCGTTTGGCGAAGATGGCGTGGATCGCCACATCAAACTCTTCAAGGCCGAGGCTGCGCCCAGCGCCGAGGATTTGGAGCGATTGAAAGATCCCGAGGCGTTCCAGGTGCGTTGCGCGTCCTGTCATCCTTCAGAAACATGTTTCGGTAGTCACAAACTTGCACGCATACTCATATTCTTTCACACCCTCTGTTCTGCTGTCCAGAAACGACTCGAGGCGTTGGCCAAAGTGGAAGAAGACTCAAAGGTTTGTTGTGCTGCATTCCATTGCGTGGCAAAGGGAGGCGTTTTTCGACCTTTGCTGTCACTGTCACTGACCATGCTTGTGCTCTCTGGCATCATAGATTCCAAGGCAACGCAAAAAGCGACAAGCAGAGGTTCTCGACGCAGACCTCATCCATCAGGTGGAAGTGCGAAAGCGCGACTTGCGCTCAATCGAAGAGCTTCAGGATGTTGTTCGCTCCCAGCGCAGCAAGCGCATCCGAATGGATGGCGAGAACGATGACGTCGAGAGTGACGAAGAAAGTGCTGGTGAGGATGCCGGGTCTGCCACATTTTAGAAACAGATTTACAATTCAACGTTCATCTTCATCAAAACACGGATTCATTAAAACATGTATTCATCAAAACATATATTCCTCAAAACATGCATTCATCAAAACATGTAATCATCAAATTTGTGCACCAAAGACAGCACGAATCGCTCGTCAAAGCCAAAAACATACGTCATCAACAAAAATTAACACTCTCGCACTACTCGGGATGCAACTCGTGCGCATCTGCGTGGGAGTCGTCACGGGGAATGACAACTGGACTTGTGAGATCGCGGCTGGCGGGTTGAGTCGTGACGACAGGCTGCGGGGGAGACCGGATCTGCTGCGCTGGACGCTGTTGAGCCCCAAAGTTTTCCCAACGGGGCTCCGATGACCACTCGCCCTTGGCACTCCAGTTCAGCATAAATGGAGGAACGTAAGGCCGCTCGTGCTCTCGTGAAGTCACGGCGGCGGAGGCAGCCATATCGGCTTCCTGCTGCTCCTTGGCATGGCGGCGAGCGGCACGCTGGAGCTGCCGAGCCTGCCGTTGCTGCTTTTGGGCGACATAGTCTTCCTCATCGTCGGACGCAGCAAACGCCAAATCTGCGTTAAAGTCGTCATCGGATTCCGAGCCGACATCGCTTGGGGCATCCTCGTCGGCGTCGGCCGGAGGAATCACTCCACTGCCGGCCACTGAAACGGACTGAGCCCCGTTTGGTTGCTCGGGAGCGCGCAATTGCCGCGCCATCCGCTCTTGCTTCGAGGGCGGACGGAAGCCAACCAGCGGGTAGCAGCTGACTTTGAAGAATTTGAGCGCAATGAGGAAGAGGGTGAGGACAAGCACAATCAGCAGCGTGCGCGAAATCGGCGAGGCTGCCTCCGTCTTGAGAATGAAAAAGCCGAGCACAATAATCTCGAATATCACGACGCACACGAGAATAAAGTTGATGGAGGTCTTGATGAGCCGTCCGTCGCTCGTGAACGTGGGGTTGTGCACAAAGCACAGTGCATACTTGTCCGACAGGTACTTGAGCCCAAAGTAGACGACGCCGATGACGGTAATGATGGGACAGGTGGTGCTAAACACGAGAACGATGCAAAAAATGGCCGCCAGTCGTGCATACTCTTCGCCGTAGGAAAAAGTTTGCTTTTTCGCCCGCTGGGCTCGTGCAAGCTCCGAAGCTGTCACTGCGCGCCACACGCGGTACTTGAAAACCAAGAGCGGCAGCAAGTTGAGCATGGCAATCGGAATACCCAGCAGCGAAGCCATGAGCAGGTAGTTGACAAACAGCGCGCCATTGTCGGGTAAAAAGACGCACTCAAACTTGTCGACCAAGCTTTCGTTCTTGCCGAGGGTGATTTCAATGAAGGCGTCGGCGCTCGTGAGCAGAAACCCAGGAAGGATCAGGATGGACATGACCAGGTAGGCAAAGGTCTTGCGCGCCAGAGACAAGTGCATGTTGGATCGAGTGCGATGCTCCTCCAGCTCGGTGCTCCAAAAGATGATGAGCGGGAGCAGCAGGGCAAACAAGAAGAGCAGCAGTGTGGGGAGGTAGTTGGTGAGGAAACTCGAGTCGGCGATGGAGGCGGAGATTCCCGAAAAGGCTTCTGTTTTGCTCAGTCGCTCCAAGGAGGAGAGGAGGGAGATGGGAGTGGTAAAGAAGAGCAAGAAGAGCAGCAGGATGGCGTTGACGACCAAAAACCGAATGTACCACGCGAAATTGCTGATTCCGAGGGCAGGCCAGTGAATATCGGACGGCAACGGGGCCAGCTCCACAAACCAGGACGTCGGACGGAGCAGAGCCGAGTGCATCGAGTGTTTGGGCCAGCCGGAGCGGTGTTGGGCAATGATGGTTGCGGCCATTTCTGGTGCTTCGAACGACACGAACGCGATGCCTGCCGACGCGCCCTGGAGCCGCTGTTTGCAAGACTCCACCTGGGCCTCCAGGGCACGGATTTCCTCGCGGTAGTATTCAATGTCGTTGACGACTGGGCCGTAGAACATTGGCTTGCGCGACGTCGGTCCGTCTCCACCGTCGCGTCGGCGCAGCCCCTCGGCACGATCAAGCGCATGGCGAGCATGGCGCAGCCTTTTGAAAACGGACGAAATTTCCCGCACGTCGTAGGCCAGGCGCACGTCCCGAACGGTTGCTTCAGGGTATGCCCACCCAAAATGCTGTCGGACAATCTCGGGCCCCACCTCGATTGGAATGTTGGAAATCATGACCGTGTCGTGCCGCTCGACGCGCCACTGGTGGTGCGTGCGTTGCACCCATGCGTAAAAGCGGCTCAGCGCATAGTACGTGCCAAACGCGTAAACGCCGGTAAAGACAACGTGCACCCAAATGCTGTTGGAATTCGACGGGATGTTGGAGATGGTGGTTGCAGCAAAGCCGTGGAAGCTGTCTGACGCGAGGTAGTTGATTGGCAGCACGACGCCCGTGGACAGGAGGGCCATCGCCGCGGTCAACACGAGCAGGACGCGGGTGAAGACCAAGTAGTGAATTGCGTCAATGCCAGCGGTCTTGCTCATTTCGGCGTCCGTGCGTTTGATCAGCGGACCTGGGAAACAGACCACCAGCAGCAAAAGAGAAGAAGCACCCGGAGTAAGTCAAAAAGTGTTAAAATTCTAACTGCTGCTTTCTGGCTGGATGATGATGATGATGATCATCATCATCATTATCATAATGTAAATGTTCGTACCAATCCATGAGATGTAGCCCATGCCATGGAAGAAGCGGGCGTCGCGATCGTCGACAAGCTCAACGACCGTCTCGTCAGGCTGGTCGTCGTCGTCGTCGTCTTGACTGTCTTGCAGCATTGACTCTGCGCTGCCATTGCCGCCGCCAGCATTCGCAGCATTCGCAGCAGCATTGGCTGGTCGGTCATGGGCGTCGGCGTCAGCGTCAGCAGCGTGGCTGCGTCCCAGCAGGCCGGTTGAGCTGCCCGTCTCGTCGTACGACAGCAGCCGCTGCGCGCTCGGCCGCTTCTTGCTGTACTGCGTTGCTGCTGCTGCACTCGTGCCAGACGGCGTGCTGGTGCTGCTGCTGGTGCTCGCGGTGGCCGTCGCAGCCGAGCTCCGACTTTGGCTGTCCAGCAGTGGCGCGCGTTCAGATGTCTGCGCCGCCGCTCGTGGCGCGCGGTTAAAGTAGCAGAACAGGGCAAAGAGCAGCACGAATCCAGGTATGTTGATGGCGAGGGTCGCAGGGATGCCGCCGTCCTGAAGCCGCTCGGCGGTCGTGTTCAGATTGCACTCGCCTGACGACATTAGCCACGGCACACACACACAACGTCTTCCCTTTCCGTCCCTTCCTCACAGCACAAATTCACACAAATTCAGATGAGAGCTCAACAATAAAAGTTTGGAGCTCAGGAAGAAGGAACAAAAAAAAAAAAAGTGTTTTCAAAGAGTGACAGTGGACTGAGTGTAATGTAATCGGAACAAAAGAGCAGCGATACTACGAATGGAGTCGAGCGAGATAGAGCGAGATCTTGATAGAATGGATAGGTCGATGAAGGGAGAGATCGGAGGGAGGTCAATATGACTGGCGTTGGATTGGAGGCCACAGCCTGATTTGACACTGCATGGTCACTTGTTACTGTTGCGATCTGATCTACGACACAGTGCAAGATATCAACACATTGGATGGATCACTACTCTGCTCTGCTCAGATCTCAAGTCCTCACTCTTGTTTGACAGGGTCTCCAAGGCACTCAGCTACTTTCCCCCTTCCATCATCGCTGTGCCGCGTCCCCTGCCAGAAAAAACATGTCGCTGCAGCTGAAATCGCTGGTTCGGAAGGAGCTTCGTGCGCGGTTGCGAGCAATGGACACTGCGACGCGCGCGGCCGAGTCCAAGCGGATTGTCACTCAAGTGCTGACACAGTGCGAGCGGTACAAGCAGGCCAAGCATGTGGCCATGTTCCTGTCCATGCCGAGCGAGGTGGACACGGCAGAACTGCTGGCCGACTCGCTCAAGGCAGGAAAGACAGTCTATGTGCCGCGCTACGAGGCAGACACGATGGACTTTCTGCGCGTGTACTCGTTGCGCGACATTGCGACGCTGCCGAGGAACGAGATGAACATTGCGCAGCCAGAGTACCATGTCAGCCAATCCGTCCTCACACCCGAGGCGACCGAGGTCGAGATGGCCTCTCCAGCAGAGGCAGCAGGAGGAGCATCTGTGACGACAACTTCTGAGACAACTGCTCCGACCACTGCTCCGACAACTGCTACGACAGCTCACTCTAATACGACGACGACGAACACGACGCCAAGTATCAAAGAGTCTGCCGAAACAGTTGCGCGCGAAAATCCGCTCGACAACGGCAAACTCGACCTCATTCTCGTCCCAGGACTCGGCTTCACGGCAGCAGGCGATCGCATCGGACGAGGAAAGGGCTACTATGACAAGTATCTAACACGGTATGTTTGAAGACAGTGCTCACCGGTGCACTTGGAAACCGTGGAGCAAGAAGAATTCACTCATTCCGTTTGCAAAAATCGCATTGGCAGCATTTTCACAACGTTCGCAGCCAACGGCTGGACCGCTCCTGCAACAATCGCGTTGACGTTTCCGTGTCAAATTATGGACTCTATTCCCACGGATGCCACCGATGTGCGAATTGGCCACGTATTGTTTTGAACAGTGAAGACATTGTTGTTGTTCAAGTCGAGCGCCATCGTTGCCATTGTCCTCTGTTAAACGCGCGTTTTTAATGTGAAGGTTTTTTCTTTCATTGCGACGTTGGTTTGTGTTGCCCCAGCACCTCGACGAGAATCAGTCCCTTCGCACAATGAAACAAACACGAAAAATAACGCACAGGGCTCACCGAGAGCTCTCCTGCAAACGATCCATCTCGGGGCGAACAACCATGACATACTGCAGCACAAGAATGAGAAACACTGCGGCAAATGTCACGCCGGCAAACACGGAAAAGGAGCCCGCGGGAGCGCCATTGCGAAGCAGAGCCCGTCGCTCCCGCTCCTCCTTTTCCACAAACGAGGCCACGAGCCGGCGCATGCCTTCCTTGGGCGTGACGCGAGGGACATAGGCTAGGTGGTGGCGCGCCTTGTCGATGCTGAAAAAGTGGGTGACGCCTGTCTTGTTCACTTCCGTTCGCGTCAATAGAGGCTGGAAGTTGTAGAATCGACCAACAACATAGTGCGTCCACTCAATCACCATTGCCATGTAAAACACGAGCGTGTAGGGGAGCACGAGCGTCGGGTACTTGTAGCCCAAGCCTTCCACGAGCGGGCGCATGAATTCAAAGTTGTTGACGGGCTCGCCATCAGAGATAAAGTAAGCCTGCCCAGCGGCAAGATCAAAGCCAGGCGGGGCCAGGAGAGAGTTGGCAGCAAGAATGTGTGCCTCGGCCAAATTGTCAACGTAGACAAACTCGACGCGATTCGTCGGCGACCGAACGTCATGCTGAACAGGCCTGCCTTGATATATCCCCTGTGCAAATGCAAGATTGAGAAAAGGATTGACAATGAGCCAACAGAGCTGGCATGATGTTTGTGGAAGCGAGGAGAAGTTTGACGCATGCTTTCTCGCTGTGGGGTTCAAAACAAACAACAAAGACGAGGCAACGCGAGCTTGCATACCACAATGCGGGGAAAATGGCGTTCTTCATTCTCGCCATAAATGCCAGCCGCTCGAAGGGCACAGGTCTTGAGGACGGCGGGCTGTGCCTCATCGGATGTTGATGCTGCTGCTGCTGTTCGTCGAGCTGCAGGCTTCTTCTCTGATGAGACGGCTGAACTCTCTTCGAAAGGCGAGCCATTCACCTCGAGAACGCGCTTTTCGGCAATGGACTTTGTTCGCGAGTAGTTGTCAGTGTGCAGCGCCAGATCGCAGTACGGCAGTGTTTCGTCGCCGTTGATGATGGGCTTTCCGCAAAAGATGACATTCGTTGTGCTTGTATAAACGAGAGCTTTGACTTTGCACCGTTTGGCCGCTGTATTAAGCAGAGGGGAGTGTGCGAGACGCGAGCAATCTGAGAATGATGATTCGGCTGCCAGCTAAACTCAATTCAAAAAAAGTCCTGGTTACCTTGCAGCACTGATTCAGTACCAAGTACATTGACAGCGTAAATGAGCTTGTGTTGGAGTTGCTCCTTGCCACTCATGCCGTACGAAGCAATGTGGAAGACGACATCGACTCCGCGAAAGCAGCTCTCCGTCAGAACGCTGTCCCGAATATCGCCCTTGAGACATCAAGTGTTTGTTTTTGTTTTTGTTTTGGTTTTTGCCAATCATACAAATCCAAAGGTCAGAACACCACCTCGGTACGTCGTTCACTATACTGTCCCCAATGGAAGGAGCAGCGAGGAGCGGAGGATTTTGTTGTTGTTCTGCTTTGAGTGAGTATCTACTGTACTTCGAATGTCTTAATCCGCGCGAGCTGGTCGGGCGTCAGGTCCGTCGGCAGGACGATGCGCATGTCAAACAGATGCACTGCAGATGCTCCGTTGCGCAACAGGAGTGAGCAGAGTCGCCTGTCATCCATTCAGAAGCACGCGCATACAAAAACGAGGTCAGTGATGTTGGAACGCCCGCTGCAACACAACTCACACCTGCACGTACCGGCCAAAGTAGCCGCCGCCGCCAGTCAGTGCGAATGTACGTCCGTGGCAGTCGAGCGTGGGTGGCAGCTTGGATCGCACACGCGGTTGCGCAGCCGACATTGGAAAGAAGGGTTGAAAAGAGACTGAGTTGCTTTTATTTTGCTTTTGTTCTTGTGATGTAGATCATTTTTTTTTTTTTTTTTTTTTTTTGCGATTACTGCTTGTCAATGTTGTAATGTTCATTCATTCGCAAAGACACATGGGCTGGATTTGTTTATTTGCAGGACGACGAGTTGAGCCCGTCAGTCGATCAAGAAGTGCTTCTTTTATGCACCGAAATAGATAAGACGCTTCGCCACAACAAAGTTAAAGTGGTTGAGGAACGGCCCTGGAAAGAATGAAAATCAATGGAGCATGTGAGCGTCCAAAATAATCCTGACAGTGTCCCCCCCCCCCACAAATATCAAGCGAATGACATACTCAACAAACAGCGAAGAGACAAACAGATATAGGACTCGCCCCACCGAGCGGAGCAGTGAAGGAGGTGGTGCTTTGTGGCATGACGGGTGCAGCAGGCACTGCATTGGCGGCATCAGGTGTGTCTACAAAAGTGAACAATCCATGAGCACAACGCCTCAAATGGAAAAAAAAAACACAATCACCAGAACTCCATGTCTTCGTCGCGTACCGCCAGCTGGCACATTTGCTGCTGCAGAACCAGCACCACCACCACCAGCAGCGACCGGCGCTGCTTGAGCTGGAGGGTGCGGAGGCTGTTGGCGGCGTTGAGGTTGCGGTCGTCGTCGAAGAAGCCCAGACTGGACACTGTATGACAAGCACACCAACAGAGGAAACGCATGCATAGGCCGGTCAGCATGAACTCCCAAACCCCCACCCCCGCCTCTCCCTCTCAAGGTCCAGGTAACTATTGACACGCTTACATGAAAATGAGAATGGCAATGATGAGCACGGCTGCCTTCTTGTAGAAGCTGGCGTTTTGGGTGAGAATGTATCCGACAATGACCAGCTTGATCAAAAGTGACAGCGGGCCCTCTCGGGGCTCCATTTCGTCCTCTAATGCCGCTGCAATCTCGGCGTCCCGCACAATCTGCTCCTCTTCGGCCATGGCTTCAGCGACGGCGGGGTCGATCGGCTCCGGCGCCACAAGCGGCTCTTCGACTGGGTTGAAGGGATAATGCGGAGCTTGCATGAATGGCTGGGGGAAGAGTGCCGGATCGACGAGCGCGGGCGGAGGAGCAGCGTGCAGGGGTGACATGACGAACGGGGAAGCGAACGGCGGCATCATCGTCTGCATGTATATGGCCTGCATCTGCTGCAGCTGGTGCTGCAGCATGAGATTTTGCTGCTGCTGCTGGATGAGCAGCGCATGGCTGTACATTGCAGCATGTGCGCTGAGCACAACAAGAGATGCAAAGATTGTCAAAATCCAGACGGCGAGTGAGTGTCGCCATCGAAACGTATTGTGTTCTCGAGACATCCATATTCAAAAAAAAAAAAAAAATACTCTGTCAACTCACTTTGGCAAATGTGCTGCGGCGATCGCATCGTGCAGAGTGTTTCTCGAAGGAGTCGTCGCGTCGTGAGGAGGAGCTTGAGCTTGGATAGTCGTATCTGAATAATTTTTGGGGTTGTGAGTCGAGGTCGCACAAAACAAAACCCACCAAGCAAGCAAGCAAGTCGATGGTTGATCGACACAACAGGCCAACATTAACACATACGATGTCAGTAAAAGGTTGATACGAAAAAAAAAAAAAAAAAACACAAACAAACAAAAAAAAAAAAAAAACTCAGAAGCAGCACTCACCTGTTGAGGTATCGGCGCGCAATGGCAATGGCAAATTCGCCGGATTTGTGCTTGACTGTGGTGTCGGAGTAGGCTTCTGCTGCTGGTGGTGGTGTTGGTTGTGGTGGTTGTGGTGGTGTTGGTTGGCGATGCTGGCGGGCAGGATGAGGTGGACGACGAGCATTGGCTGGCTGTGCTGCGCCTTGAGGTGGAGCGCGAGCGGCGACTGGAGCATGTCGCGCACGGTGGCCGAGTCGGTCCACACGCGGCCTGCATACACGAGTCGCTGCGCATCGACGGGCGGCCTGAGCGGGTGCGTCTGGGCAATGCGCTGCTTGACGTCGCGGAGGGAAGCGGACGCGGCGATTTCAACCACAACGTCGCCCGCAGCAGCAGCAGCAGCAGCCGTCAGCGACTGTCCGGCCATTGATGATGATGATGATGATGATAATGATGATGAGGGCAATGGTGCTGCTGTGCTTGGGACGAATCCAGGCAGCGGCGCAGTGCGAACAACGAGCGTCTGCAGCGACGACGACGACGCCATTATGTATTTTGTATTGGAAAAAGTAGACTGACTGGAAAGGGTCGTCATCAACGTCAAGAAGCATCATGCATAATACATGTACAGCTCACTGCAATAGTAGAGAAGGAGGCAGAGAGACAGAGAGAGAGAGAGAGAGAGAGAGAGAGAGAGAGAGAGAGAGAGAGAGAGAGAGAGAGAGAGAGAGAGAGAGAGAGAGAGAGAGAGAGAGAGAGAGAGAGAGAGAGAGAGAGAGAGAGAGAGAGAGAGAGAGAGAACACTTGAGCATTCAAGACGACAGACAGATTGAGCGGAGTTGTGCCAAAGTCGCGTGGTCTCACCCTCCGAGTTCTTCCCGGTCTAGACGAGATCTCCTCATATTCCCCTCCCCCTTATTGCGCCAGTATTTTCAAATAATGTTGTTTGTTTTCATTCTGAATCGGAGCGAGTCAGTCACTATTTGCCAACTCCAAGTCCAACATGTCCAACAACAACGACCGAGCTGTACCAGACGCCTCCGTCCGCGATCTCACTGTGCAACTTCAGAGTGTTTCAATGTAAGTGTATGCGGCCCACGGCTGGTCGTCCAGCTGCACTTGCGACGGTCAAATCCCAAAAATGCCAAGAAACCGTTTGAAACACTGACATCATTGCCTTTCCCCACCCACCCCCGGTTCGCTTCTCGCCGCAGCTCTGACACGAACCCTGCAACCAACAATGCAAGCTCGTCCTCCACTGCCCGTCCTGTCGACCAAGGCCCCGCCGCCGCCGCCGCTTCGAGCGACCCGATGCAAGACTTGGCAGTTTGTCTCGGCGTCTCGGCCGTTTTGGCGCGATTTTCGCCTCGTTTGCCCAACGTCAACCTAGCCACCCAGCGGTCTGGCCTGCTGGCAGCTCTGCGTATAGCGAGTACTATCAACACAACGACTCCCCCACCTCCGTCACAGGCGCAGCAAACGAGCGCCGCGGCAGTGCTTCAAGAGCTGGAACTGTCTACCCATGCTCTCATTCCAATGATCGCACTTGTTGGTCCCTCCATGATTCTCAAGCAGCTGATTGCCGAGCTTGAAGTTAGGCTGAAAGCCGACAACGAGAAGATGGCTGCCGAGACGAGAGCCCAGAAAGCCGAGCAGGAGCGCCAGAAAGCCGAGACGAGAGCCGAGGTTGCCGAGACGAGAGCCGAGGTTGCCGAGACGAGAGCCGAGGTTGCCGAGACGAGAGCCGAGGTTGCCGAAGAAAAAGGTCAGTCACTTGGTGGTTTTCCTCTTGCTTTTTTCTGCTTTCGAAAATCCTAACTTTGGCTTTCACCTTTCAAACAGCTCGTCATGTATTTCTATTGGAACTTGACAAAGGCCTGCCCCCTCTCGTCGGCTGTTTCCGACCCTCCTCCATAACAACTGCATCCTCGCGCCACCCACCAGCCACCGCTGTTGCTGGCACTTTCAACTGCCATCCCCACCTGTTCCAGAAGTACCGAACGGCTGGCACCACTACACTCACGGTTAAGCTTGGCTACGACAGCGAAGCTACCATTCAGCAGCTTGTTTCGGCCGTTCTCATGACTCTGATCCGATCAATTCCTCAGCACCTCATCGGCCACGCGGAAGATGAAGATACGAGCATTCACTTTTTACAAAATGCTTCTTTAAACTCAACGAGTGCGAACAGTCAAAAGTCTGATCTGTGGTACATCTCCACGCTCGGAACGGGTCGCGGCGCCTTCGAAGTCAAGTGCCCCAGCCGTGCGTCTGCTGCCAACCACTCTGTTGAGGAAGACTACAGACTCGCCAAGGAAGATATGAATGACGCCAATATCATCGGACAGCTCTTCGACTACCTGCAAGAGCTTCGCATGACGTTCAATCTCAACCACGTTTTTGGCGTCCTCACCAACTACAAGTTCTGGAGGATCTTCTGGCTCGATGATCCGCAGAGCATCGCAATGGCCGGGTCAGACGGCCCGCTGCCTCTTCCAGGCAGACCGGATCTTGACGGGTTTGCGGCCGGGGCGCCGGTTCCTGATTTCTCCTCGACGAACGCCTTCACGGCCAATTTACCTGATGGACAAGAGCTGCCCCGACAGCTATATGCTTCGAGCATTTTCCGCCACGACGACCCTCAGCTTTTCCCGCATTTGCTCTCGGTGCTCTACAAGATGAGTCGCGCCGTTCCCAGCCGTGCCACCGGTGGCACAGTAGCGCTGCAAATGTCACAGGCTGATCGCTCGTGGCAAGCCATTCCGACCCCCGTGCTGAATTTTTCCGCGATGGTGTCAAAGCAAGCGGAGCACTTCTGGCTGCTTTTCCGACTCGGCGGTGGCGGAGACGGCACAGCCTGGCTGGCCACCAACGGCAAAGGCGGCAAAGTCTGCGTCGTGAAGATCTTTCTGCCAGGAACGTTGGCGGAAGATATTCAAGCCGAGTGCGAACGTTGGAAGATCTGGCCAGGGCTACCAGCCACGTTCACTCACACCTTGAATGAAGTGGGGCTCTGCCTTGTCATGCCTTTCCTCAAGACGTATGGTCAGCCGCGCACGGACCCAGCCGAACTCGACGCCATCCGCACCGCCATCACCATCATGGCGGAGGCGGGTTATCGGCACGGCGATTTGGACTGGCGTCATGTAGGCTTCTACAGGGTGAATGGAGTTCTTCACGCTGCCCTGCTCGATCTGTCGCGCGTCACTCGTATTCAGGATAACGATATAGAGCAGGGGAAGAGGTTGATGTTGGAACGGCTTGGAATGCTGGCCGAGGCGTCGACATGAGCCGACCAAAGCCATTCGTGACACCGTGGCAGCAAATGAACCAACAAAGAGAAGGAAGCGGCGCGCAAGGCCATGCTCGCCAAACTTTCGCTTGAGCTCAAAGTCGAATTGTGATGTGTTGTGAGGTGTTTTTTTTTTTTTTTTTTTTTTGTCAATCATGGCCACTGTCTGCACTCCACCATCCAGTGTCTTCAGCTTTCTGCAATAAATGTCAAGTTCCTTGCCACCTCGCCGTTGGGTCCTCAGTTGTTTTGCTTGACGTCTCTGATTAACTTGCAGCTTAGAGCTGAGGTGGCAGATAGCTCGGCTTGGGTTGGATTGCAGTCGCGGGAGCTGTTCAGTTGATCTACTGCCGACCAAAGAATCATACAGGCCCATACCACATACCACTGGAAAATCTCAACTGGACCATCTAAAGCAGTCCAGAGAGATACATGTATCAGAGCTGTGATACTTTTGCCATTGAAACTGAGAAAACAAAAAACGCAGCTAGAGCGACCGAAAGAGACGAGTTTTTATGATCTTACAGAGCAGAGCAGAGCAAATTCTCTCTCTTTGTGTGTGATGATGACTATGTTGAGAGAGTCATTGTGAACATCGAGCGACGCAGCAGCAGCAGCAGCAGAATGAGACCAAATCCTCTTTGTTAAGGGGAAACAGATTCATTTCTCAGTCTCTTTTTTATTATTATTTTTGTTTCTTATTTGTTTTTTTTTCTTTGATCTTCGTTGCTCAGACTCTCTCGCTTCGCTGCAGACATGATGGACTACGACTTGTTTGACACTGTGACGCCCAGATCGTCCTTTGGTGGTTCGCCACTCAACGACTCTGGCGAGCTCGTCGACAGTCCAGCCGCAATCGCAGCACAGCAACAACAGCAGCAGACCGAGCCGCAACAAGCAGCAGCAGCAGCAGCAGCAGCAGCAGCAGCAGGGCAGGCGACCAGCGCAAGTAGGATTGGCGACGGGAGCAACCCAGCCATTGCCACTGCCACTGCCACCCATCACAGCACCGGCGCCGGAGCCCAGGTCGCCGCTGCTGCTGCTACTGCTGCTGCTGCAGAGGTCGAAGCACCCGACGCCGACGCCGACGACAGAGACGAGTCCAACGCGACTCCATACGTCATTGAGACGGCCGCCCCGCCAACGTACGACGAAGACCTCGTCGAGAACGCCTTCTTCCAGACGCTCAAGAACAAGCATCGCAAGCTGTACACGCGCGCGGCGGACAAGCGCCATGTCATTCTCGTGCCCCGGAGCGGAACCGTCGCTGCTGCGGCATTGACCAAGGAGCTGATCGAGTCGCACGTCGCAAGCCCAGCCATGACAAGTAGTAGTAGCAGTAGCAGTGGCAGTGGTAGTAGCAGCAGTACTGCTATTAGTAGCAGTGGAAATGGCTCTAATGCTGTGACTGCTCCCACTGCGGCGCCTGGAACGCCAACAGCAAGCACGGATGGAGGTCCGACGAACAAGCATTCTCAGAGCTCAGATTCGCTCGTGTTCGACACGGCCAACCAGCGCAAAATCCGCATTGATAATGCGCGACGGACTGTCGTGACAGATGCAGGGTTTCGCACGAGGATTGAAGCAACCATCCTCTTTGAGGAGAGCTTTTACAACACCCGCGACGAAAGCTTCCGAGTCTTGTGCTTGTCCCGCCCGCTGCTCCCGGTCGCCGGCGACGGCAAATCCCAAAACTCTGCGTCATCGGGCAGCAGTGACACTGCATCTGCGCTGGGCGCCGCCCTGCAATTCCAGACGTACGAAGAGTGCTCCAATTTCCTCTGGTCCGACCCCGAAAACACACCCACCTTCTTTCGCATCACAGAATCCATCAGCCTCTTCAACGCCAGCTTCCAGTTCATGGCACACTCGCTCCGCCATACAATCGACGCGGCACACACCATTTACACACGAGGCATGCAGGCAATGCTCACCACCCGCATCGGCGCGCAGGCACGCTCCAACACTGCAATGATGACTGCGCTCAAGCTTTCTCTCGAAACGTACATTCTCGACGGCATCTACCTCAAAATCTTTGACGGCGCCTGCTCCACCTTTGCGCATCTGGACACCTCGTTCAACCGCAAAACTCGAGCCTTGCTCGACTTGTCCGACAAAGACATGGATGTGCCCGCAGAGCTGGGTCTCGGCATCTCCAGCGCCGTTGCGAACATTGCACGCCTAAACATGGTCAAGACCCCACTCGAAAAGCTGCACGTCCTCCGGAAGAGCATTGCGGCGATCACGGCCACACCAGCTGCCGGCACGAAATCGGCCTCCTCGCCGCCACTCGTGCTCTCCACGGACGATCTCTTGCCCATTTTGATTCTCATCGTCATCCGCTCTGACATTCCCAACTGGCACGCCAACCTGTGGTACACCCAAAGCTTCCGGTTTGCCAGCAACGGCACGGACGCGTTTGCCTTCACCTTGGCGTCCTTCCAAGCTGCAGTTGAGCACATCAAGAGCGACGAGTTTGCGCGGTTTGCTACAGAGCGACTTGGCTTGAACATTGGCACGTCGCACGCTGGGCAAGGTCACGCATCATCCGGGCGGAATCGTGAAATTGCCGAGTTGCTTGGTCACGCAGACGCGTTGCCTGGGACTGCGTCGGAGGCCGTGTCTGCAGACGCATCATCGACCACGTTGCAGCCTCCTCGAAACAGGGCGCACTCTGAAATTCCTGGACTCTGGAGCTCGGGAGGCGCTGGCTCGGTTGCCACCAGTGTCGCCACGTCTCCAAGCACGGCTGCTGCTAGTGGTGGTGGCGCTGCGGTGTCGCCGGCGCGACGCACTTTCAGCTTTAGTGACGCATTGCAACCCAGTTCACAGCAGCCCAATCTCAAAAAGAAGGATAATATCGACATTCTGGTGGCACACATGCTCCGTGGCGGGCGCGCCGCCGTTGAGTCGTTTTTCAAGAAGGTCAACAGCAACCAGTTGCCAGAAGTTCGTGCTATTTTGGCCGCCGCTTCGTTAGGGCGTCGCGCGTCTTCCATGCTGCAGTTAAACTCTATCGGCGCCGACGCATCGACCTCGCCCACCCATCGCGTCATCACGCGTGAAGAAGTCGAGTCAACGCTGTGTCACCCACTCTGCGACTGTGCCAAATGCCAAGCCACGCTGGCCACTGTTGGTCGCCCGCACGATGCGCCAGACGCTCCGGTCGACGATGATCCCATCGATCTTGATTCGAGCATTACCGTGTACTCTCGTGATGGCGAAGGCTGCACTGCTTTGCACGTCGCTGCTCGCCTTGGGCATGTCGACATGGTCAAGACGTTGATTGAGTTTGGCGCGATTGTGAATGCAGCCAACTACATGGGTCTGACCCCGCTGCACTCTGCCTGTCAACGGTAAGGAGAAATGAAATTCGGGCCTGTTTTTTGCGGTTTTTTTTTTTGCTTTTTTTTTTTTTAACTGTCTGTTCGTCTGTTTGTTTGGGGATTGTTTTTTGTCTATCGGGTCTCTTCTGACTGTCGCACATCATGACGTATTTGCCCTAGAAATCACCTGGACGTTGTCAAGGTGCTGCTCAGCAAGGGTGCAGACCTCTCGCTAGCAGACCACGAGGGCAACACGTCGCTCCATTTTGCTGCGCTGCATGGCCACCTCGACTGCGTCAAAGAACTCGTTCGAAATGAAGCCCGAGGTGTCAATGCCCTGACCCATGTCGTTGATGTAAATATGACCAATGGGCGCGGCAACACGGCCTTGCATCTTGCCTCCAAATGGGGCTTTATCGACATTGTCCAGGTGTTGCTGCGCCACGGTGCGATGGCGGCCCTGCGCAACAGCCGGCATGAAACTCCGTTGCAGTGTGCCCAGAACAAGAAGGTACTGTGGATGGTGTGACGTTTCAACGGAGACGGTTGTTGTTGCTGGAATCTGGGGTGTTGCCCTGTTCTCATCGTTCGTTTGCGCCTGTTCTTGTTCCTTCTCCCGATCCTCCGGTTTCCATGACGCAATCCAACTCCTATTATTATTATTATTATTTTTACTCTAGATCGCTGATCTGATTCGCACCGAAACAGAAGACGACCCGGTCAGTGTCGAAGGGTTTGACGAGCAAGTGAGCGCACAGCAAGCGGCTGCCTTTCCGACTCGTCCTTCGACTCTAACCCGTAGCGCGACTTCTGCAATGTTGAAACCAGCCGGATTGAGTAGCTCTGCCGGCTTCGTGAGCTCCCCGGCAACGGCAGCTGACGGCGCCCGAAACGCGTCAACCCTGCGCCGCACATTGACGCAGCCGGCGCTGTCCAACGATATTCGCGCCTCATTGGTACCAGAGACCCTGTCAGAGCCAGCTAATGCAGACCCGGCGGACACCAACACGGCCGTCTCAGAAGCACAGCGACGGCACGAGGCTGAAATGGAATCGCTCTTCAGGGCCATCGACGACGATGACATTGCTCTCTTCAAGTTCCGTCTGAGCATTATTGACGCCGAGGATGGGAGCGGGCCCACGGTTCGAGTTGCCCCGACGGATGCCGTGCTGCTCATGTGCCATCCTCTTTGTCAATGTGACAAGTGCTCCATGCTCCAGTCGCAGCCGTCAACCGTGCTGGACATTAACAGCACTTTCCACGATGGCATCACCGCCCTCCACTATGCATCTCTCCACGGCCACGATGACATTGTGGAGGTGCTGGTGAAATGCGGCGCGGCTGTGAACATGAGAAATGCTCACGGACACACCCCGTTGCACTTTGCTTGCCAGTACAACCACAAGGTGGCTGTCGCAAAGCTTCTCAATGCATCCGCCAAATTCAACGTGAAGGACCGCAACGGCAATACACCGCTGCACTTTTGCGCTGGCAATGGTCACGTCGAGTGTGCCGAGTTGCTGCTCGAGAAGGGCGCCAGCGTCAACGTTCCCAACAAGCGAGGTGATACGGCGCTACACACTGCCTCTCGCTGGGGCTTTGGGAGCTTTGTAGTGCTGCTGTTGCAGCATGGAGCCTCCACAACGCTGCAAAACGAGCGAGGCCAAACCCCGCTGCAATGTGCCAAGAGCGAGCAAGTCATGACGTTGATTCTGAATGCTGCTGCGCAAGCAAAGTTTGCCGCCGACGCTGCCGTCAGCAGCAGCAGCAGCAGCGATTCTTCCTTCACCGCCGACTCGTCGGCTTCTTCCAGTGCTAGCGATGCGCTTGCCAGCATTGTTCAAAACTCGCCAGCCGTGCTGCGCCCCAATGTTGTTCGCGAAATGACAGCTACAGGACCTTCTGCTGCCGGTGGTGCCACTGACGCTACTTTTGCTGCCACTGCAACAACATCTGGACCACCTTCGCCGGCGCTCGCGACGGATCGCCCACGCGGCAGCATTCCCGCATCACCTCCAGTCAGGGCCGAATCCAGCTCTCCGCTGCGCCGTGGCTCCAGCAATGCCGGAGGCGTGCCGCAGTTTGAGCAAGACTTGGAGCCAGTCCCGCGACGTTCTCGCACCGAATCGCTCATCACGATGCGAAGTCACAATCGCAGTCCTTTCAACGAACGTTTGGACGATCCTCTGGCATCGAGTGGATCCACGCTTGGCGGTTCCTTTTCATCGTCGTCGAGGTCACAATCTGCTAGTTTTGCCGAGGCCCCGACCAGCCCGAGCGCGGCGGCGGCGTCACCATCCCCGCTCAGCACAGCAACAACAACAACAACACCAACAACAACAACGGCAGCAGCAGCTTCTGCAGCCACCACGCCGACCTTCTTCAGAACCAATGGCTTTATGCCAGCCATGAAAGGTCGGCCACAGCAGTCGGCCGTGACTGGCGTCCCAAGCAGCACCACGGAATTTGTCGACCTGTCCAGCTCCGCGACCACGGCCGTTGCTGCGACGGCTGCGATCGCAAACACCCAATCCGCTCCTCTTCTTCCTCTTCCTCCTCCTCCTCCAACTACGCTGCCGGGATCCGGACCGGCTGCCTCGCCCTCAATGAAGTCGAGCCAAACTCGCAGCCGAGCTGCAAGCTCCACCACGTCTGCCGCAGGGGTGTCGTTCCCAGCACTGTCCCCGGCCTCGTCCGGAATCGCAGAGGCTGCGAGCGAGGCACATCCACCTCCGGTTCAGCGGCAGTCGTCCACGGGCTCGAGCACGCGCGCGTCCAACATTGGGCTTGGGGATATTTTCAACATTATGGAAACCAGCGACTTGGCCCAAGGGCACGCGCAGATCATGGCGTCCATTGGCAACTTTAATCGCACCAATCTCAAGCGGCCCAAACTCACCCGCGACCAAAGTGCGCCATTCATCGATGGCCACCTCAAGCTCGCGCTGTCCATCAACAAGTTTGACACGGCCCGTCTGAAGCGCACCACGACACGCGAGAAGGTACTTCCTGCACTCTCCAATGTTCCTGCAGAGCTACTCGGCGATGCCCAGGATCCCCAGACCACGCCAAAAGCCTTTGCTTCCACTGACGACGAGTAACCATTGTTTTTGTGTTGATTTGTGTCAAAAAAGAAGAAAAAAATTAATAATCAGTAAATTTGAGCGTTATGTGAAAGATTCTGACGATGGTTGTTCGATTCAAATGCAAAGATACAAAACAAAAGAGAACACAAAATGCACAACAAATGGCCTTCGACCACTCTACTGTGGGGTACTGTTTGCATTTTTGTGTGTAGGGGGACATTCTGCCATGCTCAACAAACCAAGTGTTTACGTTCGCTTTTTCAGTGCCATAAATCGACGCGCCAAGTCATCGAAATCGGGATCGTCTTCGTCGTTGCGTGGAGCTGCGGGGGCGCTGTTTCCGCCTTTGGCATTGCTACCCGAACCGCCACTAGGCCCGCGACCATCGCCAGGAAGAGTTCCTGGAACGGAGGGGAAGGCGGGGATGTCCACAGTGTTGAATGACGGAGAGCCTAACCAACAAAATCAATTGCCAAAACAAAAAAAAGGTAAAAGTGAGAGAGATATACCTGCAAAGTGCCGCTCGTTGTTGGCGCGATGCGTACCGTTCCCGGGCACACTCGGAAACGCGGGTGTTTGAGAACCAGGGTAGCCAGGATAGTCTGGCGCTGGCGCTGATCGAGGAGGGATGCTAGAATAGTCATTCTGCGAGAAGGCGGCCGTGTTGCCATCCTTGTAAGGGGCCGGAGCAGACGATGAAGAGCTGGCTCCACCACCGTACCCAGCCGTGTACTGTTGTTGCTGGTGTTGATATGGGGCTTGGTTTTGGCCAGCCATCGGCGGATAGGGCGCATTTTGTGGCGCAGGATAGGGGTTGCCTTGTTGGGGGACGATAAATCCTCCAGCGCCAATGCCGCCGCCACCGCCACCGCCAAAGAAGTTGTTGTTGTTGGGATTGTTGTTGTTGCTGTTGTTCCCATTGCTGTGACCAGTGGGGGAACCCAGCGTGATGACCTCGCCCGAAATTAATGGAGGCGGGCCGATGAGCTGCGGGCTGTCGAGCGGCGCAAGCAAGACGTCCTGAGCCGGAGGCACCCAGTTGATCTTCAATGCGCGAGCAATCTCAATGAGATACTGCGTCACGAGGAACTGCTCTGGCGCCTGCACACTGAATTTTCGCATCACCTGTGGAGGAATCTCGCAGATGAGTGTTGTTTTGTTCCAAATGGCAAAGCATTGCTGGGAGAAGCAAACGTACTCTGTCGCTGACGCCCTGCGTCTCCATGGCTGCCATACCAAACTCCTTGCCGTACTTGGCAATGAGCTGCTCTCGAATCTGCAGAGAAAACCCCCAAGAAAACACCAAAAATCAGAATTGGGAAACGCTGCACGAGTACGACACCTTGGTTGAGCAGTCTTGCGGCGCACCAGAGTCAGTTCCTGCACTTCGGTGGTAAGTCGTGGTGCGACCCAGATGATTGTATTGACGGCCTCTCTGATGCCATCGTCGCAGTATCTAAATATTGTCCAAACGAAAAGCTCGTTAGAATTCGTTTACATGTGGTGTCTGCGACCACGGCCGGGATGTCAAGCTTACTTCATCTGCTCGATGATGCCATAGCGAGCGAGCAGCAGGTCGCAGTACAGCTCGATCAGCTCCATGGCCTCAATCATGTAGTCTTCACGGATGATGTGCTCGACCTGCGTCATGCCATGGCGAACGAACAAAACGCCCAAAGCCACACACCACCCCGCAACCCACACCAACCCAAAACCATACCAAGAGTGACAAGCGCATCCAAGTTAGCATATCTCGCGGAATGGAGGGTCGTCGCAGCAGCCCAGCGAAAGCGAGAGGACAGCGTAAAGTTTACCTTGATGCGCGCTGATTCCTCCTTGCCCTTGTCCAGCAGCGCGCCAATCTGCTTGCGCGCGACTGCGTTCTGGTTGGCTACATCAACAAGCGCAACAGGCGCAACACAGTCACAAGAAAGGGAGGAAGGGTGAGTTGTTGCACTTTGACTTTGGAAGCGGATGATGACGCAACGGTCGGTCGGTTTAGAGACACTCACACACACACTCTCACTCTCTCACTCTCTCTCTCTGTCCCTGCGAATAAAAGTGAAAGGATGCTCTACCCCCCCCCCATTTGTCTTGGTTTGAAATGGGCGCGATACCTTTCTTGTTCTGAAGCATTTTCAGGCGATTCACAGCCAGCTTGAGCTGCACTTTGAGACGTGTTCCGTTGAAACCCATTTTCTATGGTTTGGTGTCTGAGAACGTTTGAGAACTGAGGTTGACCAAAAATAATCAGTTTGATTCTCGCAGCGAAAATGCGATCTCATTACATTGGCAGCCCTTATTGTTTCACAAGCATCACGGTTGTGTAGGTCACAGGCATCTACATGAACATTCTCAAGCACACAAGAAAGCCGACACGATTCGGTGCACTGCTCAAACCTATGGAGGCGGTAGATGCCAAGGCATTTGCCATGCGCCAGACATCGGCTATTGGGAACATCGCGATGGACGCACAATGGAGCTGCTTCAACTACTGTGCAACTGGTGGAAGCAGAACGATGTTGCGCCTTCAACCAAGCTGTTACGGAGCTGTGTAACTTTCTTTTTGAACGAAGAATTGCGTCTCTGCGTTTGTAGCGTATCTTCACAAGCGGTTCGGAGCTGAATTCCTCCTCTGTTGATACAATGTATTAAGAGCTCAAAACAAATCTAAAATTAAATAAATCGCAACAGCTTCGGTTGTATGTTCCGGAACGCACTGTGCTGCAAACCTTTCTTGCTCTTGGAAAGCTCAAACCAACGTTCCCTACCCTGGTAACAGCGTGCTGTGGTCAATTTCCAAAAACGCCAGTGCAAACCTCGCGTTTTCATGTGCTGGAGAAAACCCCACTCAACGATAGGGTGCTCTTGGAGATGCAAAACGACCCTGCCGTGTTCGGAACTAGTACAAATGTCTGCGTAACGGGACAAATGACGGGCTGATTGTGGCCCCTCGCATCTGGCGGCGTATTGGGTGGCGACAACGGAGACTGCGATGCAGACGCGTGATGGTGTTGTAGACCAAGCGCAGCGCATGCTGCAGAGAAGGCCTCTGAGTTAGAATAGACCAGCCGAGCTTGCATTTGCACGAGATAAGTTTGATCCCAAGGCTGGATGAGCTCGGTGTGTGCGACATCTACACAGAAATCCGCCGCCGAGGCAAAGACAGTCCAGAGGCATTCTGCTGCGGCCGTGGCATTGCTCAATGACAGGGTACCAGCGGATGTCTCCAGTGCAACGGTCGACTGCAGATGCAGCAGGGCCACCAGGGCGTCCAAGGTTGGCTGTCGAACTGCATCCAGGTACACTTCCAAAAACAAGCGACTAAACTCGCTCATCTCAGCTTCGTTCGTGTCACTTGGTTGAGCACCGTGGATTCCGTCCCCTTGTGCGTGTTCTTGGTGGTGAGGATTCGTGCCAGACTCGGGATGGTCAGCGTGCGGCGGGAAATGTCGCGCAAACGATCCATCCACTGTCATGTACTCTCCAACGTGGTCATGCACCGCGGCATGGTTCGTGTCTGTGGTACTACTGCTGGTACAAGTGTCGTCGGCAACCGACATGCTGTCCGGGGGCGAGGGTGCCATGCCTGGATAGCCTGCAGCATCCATCGTCCATGCCGGGTGCATGGCTTGTGTGAACGCGGTCAACGAGCTCGGGTGCATGGACGACCCTCTGAATCCGAATGGGCTTTCTTGTGGCGGGTGCTGGTGCTCGAGGAGTGTGGGTTGAGCGTAATACGGTGGCATGGTCGCAGCAGCAGCAGCAGCGTCATCATGGTTTCTGGTCTGGACGGTGGCCATTCCGCCATCGCCGCCATACACGTACATGTTGTTATGTGATCCTTCTAATAATGACGGCGATGAGGACAGCATTGCATCGGTGGTGGCGGTTGTTGAGGCCGACTCGGACTCGGTCACCATTTGGCTCCGATCATTGTCGTCCCGAGTTATTGACGGTGCATTGGCCCCAGTCGTCGCATTGGCGTGGTCTGGTGGTTGGTCGTCGTCGTCGTCGTGCTCGTGCTCGTGCTCGTGCTCGTGCTCGTTCTCTTCAATCACTGCATCCAGACTGCTGACGAGATCGGCCACCGTGACGGCCGCCTCGTCCTCAGTCAGCTCTTCGATGACGACCATGATGATTTCACTGTGTACAGGTCAAAGCCGCACTCCGTCCGAGCTCACACAGCCACCGACGCGGGTTCAGGTGCTCGAACAGCTAAGAAACAGGCTCTTGCTATCTTTCGATGGATCGGGAGCGTCCCACTCAGCTGAGCGAAACGCGATTCGGTCGGAAAGAACGCGGCAGAATCAGAACGAAGCTTTTCTGGCCGAAAGACTTTTGCTCGAGCTTGGGCTTTGGAACCGCAAGAGCTCGGTTTGAAGCAAAGGAGATTGTTGATGGTAGGATGTACGGAAGGTGGTTTTCCCTTCGAAGGGTGGCGAGGGCGGGGAGAATGTCCAAGAAGCTGTGCAGGAAGCTGTGCGTTCAACAAAGAAAAAAAAAAACTTAAAAGAAAAAAAAAAAAAGAGGGAGATTTTGGCGATTTCCGCGCGTGATGAACGCAAACGAAGAGTGACCCGGAAATAAAGGAAAATGACGGCAAATATTACTGTCGGAAATGTTGGGGTGAGTGGAAGGAGGCTGGAGCGATGCAGAAACCAGGGTGGAGCGGTGAAATCGGCCAACTTTTGTCCAAACCAAAGGATTGCATGTTCAAGGTCTTCCCGAAGATGGAATCGAGCACCGCTTTCCCAGATCATGGGCCATGTTGTTTCCAACCCAAAGCAACGGGTTTGAACTCTCCGTCGCTCGTTTGCATCATTTTGTTACGTTCAGGCATTCTTCAAACTTTTGTTTTGAAGTCCAACTTTACACTGCAAATGCGGTGTCAAAATTTTTTTGTCTGGCGATCACGCTCTGCCTCCTTGCCAATCTCACACACTCTGCGAGTTCTTTTGTAAGACCTTGATAGATATTGAATTTTACGCTTGAGGTGTGCAGGCGAAGGAGTGTGGTTGCCGACAGACTGGCTTTCGCAGCTGATTGTTCCGTTCGTTTTGCCCCGCCCCCTCCATTTCCCACTTTGCTATTCCTCCCCACCACACATCCAGCAGCATCTTGACCATCAGCAATTGCACATCAGTCGCTGATCACCAAACACAAACGAAGACGAAACGAAGGCTCAGTCTTTCAATTTTATTTCGAAAACCACAAAACCCCCAACCCAACAATGGCCACTAAGGACGCTAAGCTCGACCGCGACGAGGTCACCAACGCCTACAACGCCGTCCGCGACAACAACGACCCGATCACCTGGTAAGCGGATGCTGCTCTGCCTCGAGTGCGCTGATGATGATGATGTCGATGAAAGCGAACCAAAAAAAAAAAAAAAAAAAAAAAAAAAAAAAAACTGTCTATGTTTCGATTCTTTTGTATTTTTTATTTTTTGTTTTCAATGAAGGGGATTTTCTGCCTTCGCATTGCCATTCTCCCGATTTCCGATGCATCAGCGCAATCTACGACACAACACACCGTAGTGCCTGACAACTTGGCCGCTCGTTCGCTCAACGGATCTGTTTTGGAGCTGTAGTGCGGTCAGGCGGCTTTTATTTTTTATTTTTTATTTTTTATTTTTTATTTTTCATTTTTTAATTCTAATTCTTCCTGCTGATCTGCACTCCGCCATCGCCTCCTGGGGCGTTTTTGCGATGCGACGCAGCGTGGATGAGGCAAGGATAGCGCGGCCTTTGCCCCCCCCCCGCCTCGCGGTTCGAGTCACGCAATGCAATCTTTTTCTATTTTTTTCCCTATTTTTTTTTTTGTTTTTTTCTTCTTCTTCTTCTGCTTTGCGCTTCTCGCCCCTTCCGCACATCCGCACATCCGCACATCCGCACATCCACGTCGCTCCATCTGCGCACTATCGCACGCGTCGATGTCTGTTGCTCTGCTCCTTTCGATCCACGCAAACACAAAACGAACAAACAACAAAAAAGAGAACAACAATCGAGAATTTTTTTTCATTGTTTTGTTTTTTCCAAACTGTGGATGAAAAAGGCAAGCAAACAAAAACGAATTGAAACGGAAAAAAAAAAAAAAAAAAAACCAAAACAACAACAATCTTGAAAAAAAAAAGAAAGTATTGAAAATTTCAACGTCTTTGTGTTTTTGACTCGTGTTTGAATGTTTGTCTGAATGTTTGTCTGAATGTCTGATTGTTCGTTTTGTGTTTTGTTTTTCACAAACAGGGCTGTCTTCAAGTACGGCGATGGCAACCTCATCTCCACTGCCGCCACCGGCACCGAGTACGACGAGTTCCTCACTCACTTCACCGGTAAGTTGTTCAGAGTCGTGGTTTTTGACAAAACTGAGACCTAACATGATCATGATTGCTTGCTTGCTGACAGACGACGAGCGTGTTTACGGCTTCCTCCGCCTCGAGACCGGCGACGAGCTCAGCAAGCGTGCCAAGTTTGCCTTTGTTGCCTGGATTGGCGAGGATGTCGGCGCCCTCAAGAAGGCCAAGGTCAGCACTGACAAGGCCATCGTCAAGTCCGTCGTTGCTGTACGTAGTTTTTGTTTTCGATCTTGGGTTGTTGTTGTTGTTGTTGAGTGCCATCGCCGGGTTGACGATTTTGGTCTCACTCTGTTTGAACAACCCCCCTGTTTTTCACAGTCTTTCGCTGCCGAGATTCTCACCTCTGAGCGATCGGACCTCCGCTACGACACCATCTTTGCCCGCGTTAAGAAGGCTGGCGGCGCTGACTACAACGGTGGTCGCTAAACAGAGCACCGTTCGCATCTTCCCCAGGTTTTTTCATCAAATTGAACGATTCCTTGTGTGCATACCTTGAAAAGCTCTTTTTTTTTTTTGTGAAGTTTGTTTCCCCGTCAATATCAAAGAAATGAACACACGCTGAGCTTTACCCCCCCCCCTGGCTTAGTAAACTTTCTGAGAAATGGAAGTGCTGTGCAGTCTTTGCCTTTTTTTTTTGTTTTTTTTTTTGTCGCTTCTGTTGCATCGCAAGGAGATGACTGGTCGCAGCGTCCGCGCCACCCTCGCTGCTGCTGCTGCTGCGCTGTGCCTGGCTTGCATGCTGCTTGCCACTCCAGCGCGCGCAGTGCCCGCCGCCCTGCTGAGCCAGCAGGACGACGCGAGTGATTCGGCGTTGTTGCAGCGCGTGATTCTGTGCTCCGACATGCATGCCCCGCTCACCAACACCCCCGACACGACTGCCATCCGCGTGTATGGCTCGTCTCCGCTGTCCACACTCACCGTCCTCGTCACCCGGGACCCAGCTGCACTCGACGTCGACGGCTTGCGCTCTGCCGGCTGCCAGTCGCCAACCTCCGTCCCACTGCCGGCTGGCCATGCCGCGTTCCTGGTCAACTTTTGGCGCGTGGCTACCGTCGACAAGGCCATTGGACTCCAGGCGCTGAGCAAGCTCGCTGAGATTGGCGGGCGTGCGACCAGTCTGGTTGGCGATGCGCACCTCTCGCTCGTCACGCTGCCACACGAGAACGTCCTCGCGCTGGAGCAGCTCCTGGTCGATGCTGAGAAGGAGCGATTGATTGTGGCGCCAGCCGTGTCGACTCGCCTGTCAGAGAAGCTCGAGCTCGTTGGCGCGTTCGCCGCGCCAGTCACCTCGGACATTGTTGACCGTCTCGACGGCGAGCGCTACCTCGGACACCTGGCCAAGCTGACGGGCGTGGAGCCCTTCACTCTGCCTGCCACCGGGTCGAAGGAGTACACCATCAAGACGCGCATGTCCACGACCAGCGACAATGCGCTGGCGGCCGATTTCCTCGCCGCGCACTGCTCGGCGCTCGGACTGCAGGTCGAGTTCCAAACGCTCAAGGTCTCTGGCAAGGAGACGCGCAACGTTGTTTGCAAGCACCTCGGACGCGTCACCCCAAGCAAGATTGTCGTCGTTGGTGCTCATTTCGACTCGACCAGCCAGTCCGCAGCCACGCTCGCGCCTGGTGCCGTGGACAATGGCAGCGGCACTGCTGGTGTCATGGCCATTGCCGAGGTCATTGCCGACGTCCAGTTCAACCACACCATCCATCTCGTCTTTTTCACTGGCGAGGAGCAGGGTCTGTACGGATCGCAGCACTATGTCGACCAGGCCGTCAAGGCAAAGCTTGACATCACCTGCGCTCTGATCATGGACATGATTGGCTACTCTGACTTGTACTTTGGCGTCATGGTCGAGGGCACTCGCGATGCGCCCATCCAAACGCTGATGACCAACGTCGTGGCCAACATGAAAGTGTACGCGCCGGCGTTGGACGTGTCCACCTCGTCCAACAGCTTTGGCTCGGACCACATCCCCTTCCAACGCGCCAACATTCCTGCCATCCTCGCCATCGAGCAAGACGACACGGACTACCCGTCCTACCACCGCACCACCGACACCGTGTCGAACGTGAATGAGGCGCAGTCGATTGCCATTCTCCGCGGATTGACCGGCACGCTGATTTCGGCGGCTGGAGTGTTGAATGCCACCATTTCTGCCATTTAAACAACAAAGGGAATTTGGTTTTTGTTTGTGGTAGTTGTTGTTATCGTTGTGAATACATGTTAGATGTTTTTTTTTTTCCTGTTGTTCGAAAAGCGTCAGGACAAACGTTTGTGTTGCAAGTGGTTGTACATCAGCCATTCCGAACAGCTCCTTGGCTGCGAGCTAAACGAATCGCGCCTTCCGAGTCGCCTGAATCAAATTCGACAATCACCACAACAGATTAGCTTAGCGACTCAAGCAAACACGCCAAAAAACAAAAAAATCATCCCAAGCAATGAAACCATACCTTGTCGCAGCTTCAAGTACATTTGCAGCAACGTCCATGTTTTGGAAAACTCTGGTGCTGCAACTTGCGGAAGCGACCTGGCCGCAGCTTCGAGTTGATTGGCCACGCATTGGGAAGCAGCGAGCTGGACTTGCAATGCACCTCGAGCAAGATCCGGGCTCAGCAAGGGGTCTTGCATCACTTGCTTGGTGGGTTCAAATGAGAACGACTGTACCGCCACGGCTTGTGCAGCAGCAGGAGGGATTCGTTCGTCCAGTTGCAATGTTGCCTGACCGATGCGAGCCAGAGCATCGTGCACCCGACCGAGCATCACGCAAGCCTCAACAGAATACAAGGTGGCAAGGAATCTGTTCAATAAAACAAGTACAAATAAGGATTCTCGGATAAAAAATCAATTCAACGACAAAACGCTCTCGTTACCGCAAATTGGCAGGCGCCTGCGAGCTCTGCTCCAGGTTTTCAGCGTGAAGAAGAGCCGTTGCCGGGTCTTGCAACTCGAGTGCAACGTAGGCCAGCTTCAACAGTGCATTGTACTTGAGAGCCAACCGCGATTGGCGCTGTTTTTCGGCCACAATCTGGGCCTGGCTGGCCTTGTCCAGGTCGAGGGGCGGAGCTGGTGGCGCATCTGGATTATCGTCGAGATGGTGGGGCAAGAGCACAAGGGCGTTTTGGAGACACACCATTGCATTGTGCAGCGACAGTGGTTGTTGTGCAGCGACCGGATTGTGCGCCGTGTCGGTCGATGAATGTCGAAGCGATGCCAAAGCGCTCAGGTCGACGAGGTAGCCAGAGACGGGCTTTTCGCCCTTTGTGTCGGTGGAGGCATCGGACGACGAGGCGGCGGCTGGGAATAGCACGGGCACGGCTGGCGGGGCGGCATCTTTTGGTGGTCGAGAGTGTTGTTGTTGAAGGTGGTGGCCGATGCAACACTCAGCCAGACGCAGCCATAGACGTGGACTTTTGTGCAAGGCGGTGAGCGCCTCCTGAAGGCTATTGTACGCGGCCTCGTACTGTTCTGTGAGCAAGAGCTGGACGCCGTAGCTGTAGAGCAGTTCGTACCGCCGATCTTGCGCAAACTTGGTCACGTCGCGACTGGTCGTGGGTCGTCTTGCGGCACTTGATGCACTTCCTGGCGTGGACGCTGCAGCCTTGCTGTTGGCCTTGGAGGACGCTTTGGACAATGAGGAGGAGGAGGAGGATGAGGTAAGATGGAGAACGGGTGCAGCGGAGGTGCTGACAAAGCTGGCTGTCGCAAACGCCTCGTTTTCTTGAAGGGCTCGTGCAAAATAAAGCGCTGCCATGGAATGCTTGCCCATCGCATGATGGACGCATCCGAGGTTGTTAAAATACAGAATGGTCAGACGGTCTGGACCCGCCGCGACCTCTTTGCTACTGTTCTCCACGCGTTGTCGGTGGTGTTGGTAGCAACTGCTCAGAATCTTGATTGCCTTTCGGGGATTGCTGCGCAACACTTCAAATCGGGCCTTGAAAACGAGTCCAGCCACATTTTGGCTGTCAATGTTGAGCGCCGATTTGATTTCACGCTGGCAGTTTTTGATCGAGTGGCTCAACAGGTGAAGCTTGGCCTTGTATAGCAAAATGCTGAACTGGAAGCGAACGTGGGGTGGTAAATCATGCGACTGGGAGGCAGACGAGTCTGCTCCGGCTGCGGGTGACGAGGGTGAAGCGGTGGGAGCAGCAGCAGCAGCTGTTGCAGCCGGTGCACTCAATGGTTCCGAGGGTGGAGCAATATTCTCGAGATAGGTGAGGATGGTAGCAGCATGGCCGACTTCCTTCTTGTTAATGTAAAGGTCGAGAAGAAGGAAGCAGATTTTGCGTGCCAGAGTCTCCTCGACAGCTTGAATGTACTTGAATTGCCGAGCGAGAATGGCAATTGCGCTCTCAAACTGACGCAAATGCACCAGCACAACTGCATGGTTGTACGACAAGACGCTCGATTCAATGTTATCGTCAAAGGAGTCGGGCGAGAGCTGGAGAAGCAAAGGCACCGAAGGGTGTGAGATTCGAGCTGCAGCAAAAAAAGCAAAACACATGAAGGAGCATTGAACAAGCAGACAAGTGAGCGTTACATTGGCATGGGATGCTCTGATGGTCTCTAACGCGCGCAGGAACGAGATCGGCTGGGTAAACTTGGAGCGCACAAAGTCGGCGAGCGCGAGGTTGTGCGCGACCTGTGATTGTCCCGCAATGTTGCCAGTCAAAGTGAGACACGCAAGGCACACACATGCATTGATGGATGGATGCGCTGAGCATCATTTCATCTCGGCTTCGCTGGCTGGTCGTAACGAGAGCACTTTACCTTGACGTCCTTTGGGCGATCTCGAGCAATCTCGCGGACCACCTGCTCCCGCAAGCAAACCAACCAGCGACACACAACGAGATGAGACTCAGTGCACCAAGCGTCGCGAGGCAAGAGAGAGAGAGAGAGAGAGAGAGAGAGAGCGAGAGCGAGGGAGAGAGTGTGTGGTGAGATTGTCAGCCTTCCCCTCCCCCCAACGATGCGCTGTGCGGCGGTGATTGCAGTCATCGCGTTGAAGCTGGAGGTCGTGCTAGAGTGTCCCCAGCCGCAGTGGGGTGCGTGAGTGCGTGATGACCAAACCTGTGAGGCAGCGTCAAAGCGACCAGCTGCAAAGTGCTCGAGCGCGACGCCGGCCGCTTCCTCAGCTTGCATCTCGACAAGTTTTGACAATGCACAATGAACACCAAGCAACCCAATCAAGAAAAGAAGAGAAAAACAACAACCAAGCCCGAGTCAAAGACTGAACGACAGTCAAAGTGCGAAAACAGAGACTGAGCGCTCGCTGACTTTTTCATTCATTCAGTGCCAATCCAAAAACCCAATCCAAACAATCCCTGTAACCTGGCGATTCCATTCGCCCTAGTGCAATACAGATACACTCTCATACTACTCTAGTCTTGATTTTTGTTGTGTTTTCAAATCAGCACCCATCCGAAAATGCTGTCGATGCTCGTCTCGTCTCGCGCTGCCGTGTCGGTCCGCTCGCTCGGCGCTGTCGCTCGCATGTACTCTGCCAACGCCGCCGGTCAGTGCGCCTTCCCCTCTTCCCCCCCCCCTCCCTCTTTCCCTTCCTTCCTTCCACCGCATTCAACCTCAACAACACCCCGCTACCTTTCCATCTCCCCCCTCTTGTGGGATTGGAAGCAGCGCGGCAGTTGCTCTGTCATTTCGCATGTGGTTCCATTCACTTGCTCACTCTCGCTCACTCACTCACTTTCTCACTTTGCACTCGATGAAGCTGCTGTGCTCGCATCCATCTTCTCATCTTGCGATCATCATCATCAGCATCATCGTCATCGTTCAGTCATGCGTCGGAAACTCACAGGATTCGACAAGTCGCAAAAGTGGGCTTGATATTCAGCGGAAGGAGCGAAAGCCGCAAGAGAAGAGAAGAGAGAGAGAGAGAGAGAGAGAGAGAGGGAGAGGAAGAAGTGCGAGAATCCGTGAATCTGAGAGAATCTGAGAGAATCTGAGAGAATCCGGATTAGAATTGCCAACTTGCTCACTCACTCCAACCTTGTTCTTATTTCGGCAGTCGCCCCCGCCGGCCTCCGTTACACCAAGGACCACGAGTGGGTCAGCGTCAAGGAGAGCACTGCCACCCTTGGCATTACCCAGTACGCCGTCGACTCGCTCGGTGATGTTACTTTTGTCGAGTTCCCCGATGTCGGCAAGAAGTTTGCCGCTGGCAGTAAGTGGATTTTGTCGTTGCTCCCCGCCTGCAATCTTGGCGTGCATGCCGAGAACAGGACGACACTCAGCACACACTCCCATTCCTTGTTTGTATTTCTGCCTTGTCTATCGTTTCAGAGGCCGTTGGTGTGGTCGAATCCGTCAAGGCCACCTCAGATCTGTACACCCCCGTCTCTGGCGAGGTCGTTGAGGTCAACAAGGCCGTCTCGGCCAACTCGTCGCTCGTCAACTCTGCGCCATACACTGAGGGTACGGACGGTTTGTTTGAAGTGTTGGCTTTGGGCGAATTGTCCGTTGAAACTGACGAAATGATATCTGGTGGCTTGTTTGTTTTTGTGTTTTTGTTCTTTGGCCATGTTCATCTTTCAGGCTGGCTCGTCAAGATGCGCCTCAGCGACCCCAAGGAGGTCGAGAAGCTTTTCGATGAGGCTGCCTACAAGAAGTTCTGCGCCGGCCTGGACCATTAAAAACAGCCCATTGTTTCGACCCCGCGAGGAAATTTGAGTCGTGTCGCGTTTCTCGATTGCAATATACACATTTTTTTTTTTTGCTTGTTTCGTTTGTCATTGACGTTGACGGGTATGAGGGGGGGGGGCAGCAAGAGAGCACAAAGTGCAGTGTTTCTGTATATTTGTTTTGGTGGACCACCCACCACGTATGTTATGATCAGAGAGATCGGTAAAGTATTGGGTTGATGATTCGAGCAATAACAATAATGTGTGTGTCATTTGGTCGGTCACTGCGTTCCGCGCTTCGCGATTCCGCCTTTGGTAATTTTATCCTTATGCCGTCTTTGTGATGATTTGAAAGTTCGTTCGGAGTGAGTTCGGTCTGGAAAATTTACAGGAAACCAATGCAAGGTTTGATTTGTTGACGCTCCATCTCGTCCCCCCTGTTTGACTCTTCTGCTCGCCATTGTGCTGTTGGACGTAATGCCAACTCTTCCTCTCGAGTTTCTCGACTTGTTTGTCAGCCATACATCCTGTTCGATTTGACCTGACTCATTCTTTTATTTGACAACCCCTCTTTTTTTGTTTTCTTTGTTTTGTTGTGTTAAAAACTTTAAATTTTTTTTTTTTTGTTTTTATTTTTTGCTTTTGCAGTTTTTTTTTTTTTCCCTCTCGCCCCTGACAACGCACCTCCCGACTGACTCCACAAAAGAGTCACATACGTCATCTTACACCTTCATCGTCTCTGTCACTGCGTATCGTCAGCGCGCGTCCCCTGGGAAACAATGTCAGACCCGCCGCCGCTTGTGCAAACCGATTTGACAGATCATTGGAACCCGCTCGAAGTCTGGGTCGTTAGCATGGCCGCGCTAATCCTGCTCACCCAGCTGTCCATCGCCATCTTCATGGTCGTTCACCGTGATTACAAGCCGTTCAAGGCCAAGCAGCCGTGGTCGCTGCTCGTGGGTGCCGTTGGCGCAGTGTGCTTTTTCGCATCGGAGCTGCATGCGAATCTGCTGTTACCGCAGCACGGCCCGGTGCTCAACAACTGCTCGTTCTGGAAGCAGTGGATGTATGTGCCGTTCGGACTGGGTCTCGTTGCTACCGCGCTGCTGTACCGCTTGTTTATGCGCTGGGTGATTCTCAGACTGCTCAACACCCGCCTGGTGACATCGCGCAAGATCGATAGAGCCGTCATCAAGATCATTGGCATCGCCGTCATCTACGTGCCGATGCTTGTGGTCTCATTGATCAATTCACTGGCAGGGGATGTTCACCATATCGCCATGAAGTACCAGGATGGCACACCCGGGTCGTTTTGCTACACCCAATCCAAAGCGCTCAACTACACGACAAACTGCGTCCTCGGTGTGTACGCATGCGCCTTGGCTGGCTGGTGGACATACTCTCTCCGAAATGTGCGACAATCCTTTAACGAGTACAAGAGCGCGAGGATTGCTTGGTGTATCACCAGCCTGAGTCTCATCACGTACATTGGCTGCGTGTTTGTGATTGGCAACTCCACCTACTACGAGCGTGTCCTGTTTCTCGTTCTGAACGTGAGCCTGTCAAGCCCCATTTTCACTGCCGTGGTCATGAATGTGTTTGTTGGCTGGGTGATTGGTCGCGAGGAGCAACTCGTTGCCTTCGATGCCGGCTTGGCGCTGACCATGCTCACCCACGTCCCCAAATCCCGCCATAGCCCAAAGACCAGTAGCGGACAAGGCTCCAATCCTGCGAGCAGCACTCCGCCTTCCGGTTCGACTCATTCTGCTCCAACAATGTCGGTCACCGACACAGAGTACCACGAGGACGAGCCGGATGCTCTGGAAATTGAGATTGGCTTGGCGCCGCCGCAAATGGTTCAAATCCAGCCAACTGTTTCTTAGAGGATGTGTATAGTGTAATAGTTGTTGTTGTTGTTGTTGTAGTCGATTGAGTGACTTTGTGTGTTCAGACTGTTGTGAATCAAACGTTCGATTTAGACCGAACGCCACGTCTCGGGGGTTTCGTTGAGTGTTTGTCATGGTGTGCTTTCGTTCATGATGCATCTTTGCTTTTACGCATCCTTTTGCCATGTGTCAAGCGACGCACTGTGCTTGCGAGACCTTGTCAAGCATGCCGCACAAAATGCAAAACGAGTGGAAATTTGACGATTCACAAATTACAACAGTGCTGTGCGCGTGTTTGGGCGATTGAGACGATGCCCCCCCCCCTCCCAAACAGTTCATGCAGTGTTCCACAATCCTCCCAACACATAGGCAATCTGAGTGTTGAGGATTGCGGGATCACTCTCCCTTTTATAGTCGTTTCAAATCCAACTCTTACTCACCGCTATCAATCAGTCATCAGCTGAAGCAACACCGACACCAGCCGTTCCTGCCCCAGCTGCCGTTTGGTCTTCCTTGCAACTCTTCACCAGTTGTAGGAGGGTGGAGGGTGTCAGCGCTGACGACCTCGACTCGACTCTCGGGCCCGCCTTGCAGAATTGTTCAATCTCGGCGCGCTCTCCGCCTCTGCCGTCGAAGCACTGCACTTTCCCCTCCTTCCGCTTTGGGAGGTCCGCTTCACCGTGAAGCTCTGGACTGAGCTCGGCTACTCCACCACCCTCAGCCATCATCCGCTCGAGCGAAGGTTGGTTGATTGTTCACACCCTCCCAACTCTCCCTCCACAACACAACCTGTCAAGCCCTCGCTCGAGCCCCTCGGTGCCTCTGACTGACGACACGGCTCTCGCAATACGCAAGCCCAAGCTTGATCCAGCTTGATCCAAGAATCCACCGTTCTCGTCCGGGCAACTTTGAATCGTTCAATCCCGTTAAAAATCTGTGCCCGACAACAACAACCCAATAATCCTGAAACCAAGTTACCGTTGTTTGAACCAAACAAGAAGATGACAAACACGACTTGGCTCAAAACCGACGTGACGCACTATTACAACCCGTTGGAAGTCTGGGTCGTCAGCATGGGCGCGCTTTTGCTCGGCGCGCAACTGTGCATGGCGCTGCTGCTGGTGGTCAAGCGGGAGTGGAAGCCATTCAAGGCAAAACAACCCGCCGTCCTGATGGTTGCCGCGGTGGCTGCCATTATTGCGTTTCTAGGAGAGATGCACGGAGAGTTTCTGCTGCCTCAGGAGGGCACAGTGATGGGCGCCTGCTACTTTTGGAAGCAGTGGGTCTATGCCACCTTCGGCTTGGGATTGTTTGCAACGGCGCACCTGTACCGCTTTTACACGCGATGGGTGGTCTTGCACATTTTGAACTCGCGCCTCCTCAGCACCTCAAGAAAGCTCGATCGGCGCGTCATCCAGCTCGCAGGCGCCGTCGTCATCTTTTTGCCTGTCGTGCTGCTCAGCATCATTGTCACCACGGCAGGCGATATGGGCATCGAGCCGATTGTGATGGCCAACGGCGAGCTCAAGAATGTCTGTGTCACGAAAAGCAAGGTGATGGTCTACTCGATTAACGCCGCGATGGGCTTGTATCTGTTCGCCCTTGCTGGATGGTGGACGTACACCCTCCGCAACGTGCGCGTGTCCTTTAACGAGTACAGCAGCGCTCGATCGGGCTTGGTCTCCTCGCTGGTTTGTCTCGTTGTGTACATTCTCATCATCTTTTCCCTGGACAACTCCACCTACTACTACCGCTCGCTCAAGCTCGCACTGAATATTGGCATCACGACGCCAATTTTCGCAGCGATCGCCACCGGCGCCGTTCTAGACTGGCTCACAAATCCCGAGCGGGCAGAGAGCGCGTTCGAGGCTGGCATGGCCATGACCATGCTCACACACATGCCTTCGCGCACAAAGTCCAGCTTTGCTCTGAATCCCGAGGTCGAGACCAGCACGGCAGCGAGGAAATCCTCCGGCGCGAGCAACTCGGACTCTGCACGCAGCGCACCTCCGCCGGCAGACGTATCAGATTATGCTGCGGAAATGGAGGAAGAGGAGGGCCCGAATTTCGAGTTGGATTTGGGTGTTGTGACGGTGACGCCGTCGTCTCCATGATGATCAGAACAATCTTAAAAAAAAAAAAATCCTGTCCGTTTGTTTATGTGTTTTGATAGCCAACGCTATCTTGCTTTGTTTTTGTTCTTTGTTCGATTTCGCTTGTGTGTTTTGTGTTTTATCGTCTTCCCGTTCTCAATGTGTGTTTTGTGTTTTATCGTCTTCCCGTTCTCAATCTCCAATTCAATCTCAGTCTCATCGCAATCAGTCTCAATCTCAGTCTTTTTTTTTTTTTTTTCTTTTTTTTTTTCCCTTTCCCCGTTTTTCCCTCTCTTTCTCTCTCCCTTTCGTCGCCGCTCTCACGATGCACGACGCGTTCCAAGTCCGCGCGGTTGTGGAGAAGCTCCCTCTTGCGATTGAGGCCGTGACCACCTGGGGCGACAAGATCATCCTGTCGACGGACAAGACGCCCCTGCTTGTGTACTCTGTGCCCGGACTCGATCCCAACGGCAACGTCATCCCCGGCGCAGACACGACGCCGCAGCTCCTCGAGAGCAAGAAGGCCTTCTCAAAGCGCCCTGCGTCCCAGCTCACCGTCATCGAGGAGCTCAACCTCCTCGTCTCGCTCTCTGGTAAAGCTGCTTGCTGTCGTTTTGAAGCAATTGTCTCGTTCCTTCCTTTCCCCCAGCGTCCTTTGTTGTTCGGCCTGCGGGTAGGGGGGGGGAGGCAATCGAGTGCGATTGAGAGTATTGAACGGAGCACAAAGGACGGGGTCTGCAGTGTGGCGGAGGCTGGAGATGAGTGGATTGAGAGCTGTGCATTGAGCTTGCATTGCGCCGCGCTCGTGATGCTCTCTCTTGCCGTTTGTCTGACTTGGCCTTGAATGCTCTGGAATCCCTGCTTCTTCTAGATGGAATGGTCTCGGTGCACGACCTGCCGCACTTTTCGCCGCGATTCAGCCTGGCCAAGACGCGCGGCGCATCGCTGTACGCGCTGGACGTCCAGACACCGGAAGTGCTGCCGTCGACGCGACCGTCGTCATCGCGCGGCCAGCAGCAGCAGCAGCAGGCACAGGCTCAACAGCAGCTGCGCGTCAGACTTTGTGTGGTTGTCAAAAAGAAGATCATCACGTTCCTCTGGGAAGGCGGCACGTTCGTCGAAGACAAGGTTTGGCGTCTTGCTAAAACTGTGTCGCTGACTGCTTTGAGCTCTGCAACGGTGCCTCTAACCTCTCCGCTTTTGCTCTTCACAATGTGAAAACAGGAACTAAACACACCGGATGTTGCTCGTGCAGTCGCTTGGTGCGAGCACTCCCTGTGTGTGGGTTTCAAGAAGGAGTACAATCTGATCCATATTGATTCCGGCGCGCTGACCGATCTCTTCCCGACCGGCAAATCGGGAGAGCCACTCATTGCTCGCGTGTCCAACAAGGAGCTGTTGCTGCAAAAAGATCGTAAGTTTGAGGTCTGGGTTTTCGTTTTTTGTTTTTGTTGTTCTTTTGGTTTGTCTTCGGGCGTTGGCGCTCACATTCATTGCCTTGTTCTATGCTGGGGCTCTCGTCCATTAGTCATCAGCATCTTTATTGGTTATGATGGCAAACCTACGCGGCGCTTTGGCATCAGCTGGTCTGACACACCCACTTATCTCGGTACGCACACAACAAGCGATTTCGTGTTGTTGTTGTTGTTGTTGGCTTGACGCTGACTCTTCTGATCTAATTCGTCGCTCCAAAACAGACCTGGTCCCGCCGTACGCGGTGGCCTTGCTGCCGCGTGGCCTCGAGGTGCGAACTCTGGAAACGCAAATCCAAGTGCAAACGCTTGATCTGCCGAAAGTGCAGTTCATTGCGCAGGGTCGCGGAGTGTTTGCAGCCTCTCCCACGCATGTTTGGCATCTGATGTCCATGCCACTTCAGAGTCAGGTACGGCGCTGTTCGAGTTGGGTGTCACAATTTGATTTTTGTTGTTCGCATTTTTGCCATGTAAATTTTCACTTTTGACCGTTCTCATTCACAGATTGAGCAACTGATTCAACAAAAAGAGTACGAAGAGGCTCTGAATCTTGCACAACTTCTCAAAGACGTTTCTGAAGAGCGAAAGGTATGGACTGTCCGTGGTTTCTGTATTTTCTGTGTGTTATTGTTGTTTCCCGTTCCAGATACGACCCTTTCGAAATGCAAACAACTCACTACTGCCCTCTATATTGCCCACCCCGCCTCACAGCAAGCGCAAGTACGACAAATCCGAACTCTTCATGCGTACTCCTTGTTTGATCAGCACAAGTATGACGAGTCGCTCGTCATCTTTACTGAGCTCGATATGGACCCGCCCCAAGTGATTGGTCTCTATCCGGAGCTGTTGCCCGAGGAGCTTCGTCGACAGATGAAGTACCCCATTGCGTTGCCAAAATTCGGTGAGCACCCGTGCAATTCGTTCCCCAAGGTTTTTGGTCGTGAACGCTTCTCATTTTGCTTATCAACCCTTTTTGAACTGAACAGAGCGTGGCGAGCTGGAAAAGGCCAAGTTGGCTTTGATTGAGTTCCTCACCCAAAAGCGCAACCGTCTGATCAAGGCTGCGGCCGACCCATCGGCGCAAGACGAAATGACTCGCAAAGAAGTCAGCCAAATTATTGATACGACTCTACTCAAGTGCTACTTGGACACGAACGCTGCCCTCGTTGGTCCTCTGCTCCGTGTTGAAAACTACTGTCATGTTGGAGAGTCTGAGAAGATTTTGAAGCGCAGCGAGGTATGTGCTGGGGTCGAGTCGATGGTTGGTTCTTTTTTTGGTTGCTTGTTGCGCTGTCTCTGAACCTCTTGTTTCCCCGTTGGCCCAACCACCCAAACAGCGATACGCCGAGCTTGTCATGCTCTATCAAGGCAAGGGTTTGCATCGAAAGGCACTGGAGCTTCTTTTCCGGTACGGCACCACACTGTGCGCAATTTCTTGTGCCGGTTGTTTGGCGTGTGCTGATCTGTATTTGCTTGCATTTATGTGATACAGCGAGGCTCAAAACCCTGCCAGTGCGCTTCGTGGCCATATGCGAACCGTCAACTACCTCCAAAAGCTTGGCGCCGAACATCTCGATCTCATTCTCGAGTTTTCGCGATGGGTTTTGCTCTTGGCTCCCGAAGACGGCCTCAGAGTATGTGTCTTGAAGCTGGTTGTGTGCTTCTTTGCAAGACACGCGTGTAAAATTCACGAGTTCTTCCACCTGTTTTTGAACAGATCTTTACCGAAGACATGAAGGAAATCGAGACTTTGCCGCACGACAAGATCCTGACCCACTTGGAAGGATTCGAGACGATTTTGGAACGTCAAGCCGTGTCGTCGGGATTCCAAGAGTCTCGCCTTGTGCTCCCTTATCTCGAGCATGTCATTGACAACTGGCACGCGACCGCGACCGACTTTCACAACAAGCGCGTGCTGCTCTACTTGACCGCCGTGCAGGCGCTTCGAAAGGATACCGAGCCCCGCTCCAACCAACCCGCTGGCACCGAAGCCGGCGCGCTCGGCATGTATCGCCGAAAGTTGATTGCCTTCCTCGAAACCTCGCGGAATTACAAGCCTCCGATCATGCTCAGCCGCTTCCCGACGGATGGTAGCCATTCTCGTTTCGCGCTGGATATTCAATGCCTGTTGTGACTCTCAACTTTTGCGTCTGATATGTTGTTTGTCGTCTTCATCGCGCAGACTTGTACGAGGAGCGAGCCTTGCTGCTCGGCCGATTGAATCGCCACGAGCAGGCTTTGAACATTTATGTGACCAAGTTGAACAACACATTCATGGCGGAGCAGTAAGTTTCGGTTTCATTTTCGAAGTGTTTCCTTTTCTTTGTTTGTTTTGGCATTCACTTCCATGTCTGTCGTGCTCAGATACTGCGCCAAGAACTACAATCGCGACGTGGAGGGACAGAAAGACGTGTATTTATCTCTCTTGAAAGTCTATCTTCGCACACCGGACGTCTACGGCGAGGGCGCGCCAACGGATACGGAACCCATGATTGAGCAGGCTCTGAGCCTCCTGATCCACCATTACAACCACATCGACACGCCCAAGGCGCTGGAGCTCCTCCCTTCCAACATTCCCATTCAAGGTCTCGAGCCGTTCTTTGAGGCGGTTTTGCGTGACCGCACCGAGGCCCGGCGTGCGGCTCAAGTGTTGAAAAACCTGCACAAGGCCGAGCAGCTCCAAGTCCAAGAGCAGTTGATGCACTATCAGGCACGCCGTGTCCTGATTACCGAAGACAAGATCTGTCCCGTGTGTGGCAAGCGCATTGCCAACAGGTGAGAGGAAGGGCAGAGCGATGACGAAGAGAGAGGGAGAGAGATGAGTTGGTTGAGATTCTTTCACTTACCTTTTTGTCTGTGTTTGCCGTCATCGTCACCCACTTTGTCCCAGTGCATTTGCTTACTACCCCAACGGCACGATTGTCCACTACGGTTGCTTGAAGGATCGCAATGTTGCTCCAGTGTAATCTGTTTTTTTTTTCTGTTGAACTGGTCGGTGCTTGGGGCTTTTGTTGGTGTTGGATGGTTGTTGTGTCTGAATTGTTTCGTGTTGTATATGAACAAACAAGCTTGTGTGCTTCTTTTTGAATCCATTGTTACTCGATTTGCTTTCATGCTCGTTGTTCTGACCTCGTTAGTCAGTCCTCCTTTATTTTATTTATTCTTTTTTGATTTCTTATTCTTTTTGTAGTTTTTTTTTTTTTTTTTCGGTGCATCATGTTCCACGCGCTCAGAACGCGCGAGCTGGAGCAGCCGAGACGACTCTTTCCTCATATGCCCAGCCGGGTTGATGTTTCCGACCCAACCGGCGGCATGACCAGTCTGGACGATGAGATACGTCTCTGGCATGATCGGTACGCGATTCGTGTAGCTCGAGTCAGAGTGAGAGAGTGAAGCGGAGAGGCGGTTTCAACCATGAAACAGTTACAGCTCACGAACAGCTCACCCAACGGCGCTACACCCCACGCTGCAACCCATTCCCCAACATCACACACACACATACACACACACGCACACAGGACTCTGGCGGCGATGCGGACCCGGACGGCTGCTCGGCTCCCTCGCTCGCTGTACTCGTCGCTGCAAGGCGTTGCAAGCTTCCGTGCAGGCCAGCTCACGACGCTCAACTCGCCGCCGGGGCCCAGTGAAGACGACGGAGCGAGTGCCCGCAGCGCTGCAGATCCAGTCGATGACGCGCAGGCCCGTGGCCCTCGGACGCCGCTGCCTGCCAATCGCTCTGGTGGCAATGCGACTCCCACTGCGCAGCCAGGGCAGCCACTTCGCGTCGCAAGCACGCTGCAGCGCAGATCGCTCATCCGAGCTGACTTGTCGGACGCAGAGAGACCAGAGTATGGCGGCTTTTACAATCTCGAGTTCACTCCCGGCGGCGAGTGTCTGGTGGCAACGGCGTCGAATGGCGCGTTTCTGCTGCTCGATCCGCGGACGTACTCGGAAGTCGGTCGTGTGAGCAACGCTCATGGAGGCGAAGGCGTCAATGTTGTTCGCTTTTTGAACGAGCGCGTATTCGCCACGGGCGGCGACGACTTTTCAGTCAAATTGTGGGATTTGCGAAAGTGCTGCCGCTCCACGTCCTCGCAGCCCAATGAGGCGCGTTTCGTCCAGACTGCAACCACACCGGCAGCCTCACTGATGGACAGGGTGACGCCACTGCAAGAGCTCCGAGGCCATCATGGCTGGGTCAAGAATGTCGAGATTGCGCGCGACGGACGTCTTGTCACTGCCGGCATGGACAACACCATCCGATTGTGGAGCGTGCATCAGCAAACGCATGGTGTGGCGGCAAGTTTTGAAATCAATCAGAGGCCAGCAGCCCTGTTTACGCCGGTACGGCGCAATGTGCCATCGCCAGCAACAATCACTCCCGTTAGGACACCACACCCAGTTGATGCTGCGCAACAGCAAATCAATGAGCTGCTCAACGCGTTGCCCGCCGATAGCTTCCGCACACCACCACGCGATGGCGCGGGGCCTGGGTCTGAAACATTGCCAATTCCAAACCTTCCCCCAGCGGCCGCCTCGCCATCAAGCAGCTCGCTGTCGGCTGCCCATCATGCTGGGAACTTTCTATCCGTTGACGACATACACGAAAACTTCAACCCCAACCTAATTTATTATCGGTCGTTCAATGAGGAAGTCGCCAGCCGGACAGAGGAAAAGGGCCAGTTTCGCCAACTCTGCCATACTTTACCAAGCTTTCTTTTGCGCACTCTGGAGCAAATGAGAAGTATCGTCACAGCCCCCAAGCACCAATCGGCGCACCCTGCATCGTGGAACGGTAATGCTGAAGCCGGCCTGGCAAACGGAGCAGAGCCCGTGCTCCACTTTCCGCCCTTCTTGTGCCGGATGCGACTTTCCCGAGATGGCACCCAGATGGTGATTGCCCTCCGGGATGCCCTGCTTCTTGTGAGCAACCTTAATCTCGACACCTTGGCTGAAGACTTTGGCCAGTCACAATTGCAATGGCTCGCAGAGCACGGGTTTGTTCAGCACTACGACTTGCCTTCCAAAACATGGCAGCCGCATTCAATGCTCAGCGACGAGTCAGCGGACGACCCACCAGCACGATCGCGGCAAAGAAATCACATTGAGCTGCTGGAAGAATCGCCCACTCGAACAGGCGTTTGCACCACACTGCACTTTGACCCGTCCGGCCGCTTCCTGCTGACTCGACGGTCCTGCGCGAGGGACGAGCAATCGATCGTGTTTGACTTGCACTCCAAACGACCTGTCGAGGATTCTCCAATCGGAGAGCGGTTGAGGTCTTCCGACAGCAGCAGTCGACTTTCCCAATTCCGCGAATTGCAAGAGCGTCCGTTGGGAAGCGCGCACGTCCCGTGGATTGCCAGTGTGACTGTAAGTTTTCTTCTTTTTGTGTGCAATCCGCTCCTTTCCGACCGACTTACTTGGGAAAACAAACTTAACTGGATGTGCTTGCTTGCACCAACAACAAACAACCAAAAGGAATCTGGGACCGCTCCCGAATACATCAAAGAAGCGTGCTTCAGTGCCGACGGTCGATTTATCGCGTCACCGTACCAGCGCACGTAAGTTTGCTAGAGATCTATTCCGCAAATGTGTTTAAGCGGATGTTGGGGAATGCTAAAATGTGCGTAACTTTGTGGTGGACAGCGTCCGAGTGTTCGACTTTGAGAACGCGTTCATGCGTTATAGCACGCACGGTGTTCAATGCCCAGAGCTGCCACCGATTCTGTCAATTCCGACACATCACTCTGAGAGTGTCTTGACCTGCCGGTACGCGCTTCTTCGCTGTTGTTGTTGCTTTTGATTCTGGTTTCGTTCTGACTTGCAATGTATTGTGCGACTAGATTCTCTCCCATCATGCCAGTTCTCGTAACGGCCGGGTTGGATGGGAGAGTCGTGTTTTACAACCCTCAATTTTAGAATGTTGTGCAGCTGCAACCCCGGTTTGAACGCGTGCTGGCGATGCGACATTTTCCCAATCGCTCTTGCATTAAAAAACAATACTGTCATGTTGTTCCTTCAGGCAATGGATCCAAAACACAAACTCGCGTTTGTACCGCCAAAACCGAACGAGTTGGATAGAGCCGCACGAATTACTCGAGGCTTGGCGACTTTGGGTGTATAGTCGAGAGTAAATTCGGTGGATTGGCTCTCCAAATTGGCCGTCGGGGGCACCATTTTCTAAACCAAGAAGGGGCAGAGAAGGAGGACGATGCAAAAAAAAATGAGGAACAGGCGGATAGCATGAAAAATCACCCGAGCTGCGATCGAATGCAGAAAAAGTACCTCAGAGATGGCCAGCACGGAGAAGATGGCTTCCACCGCTCCCGCCGCACCGAGAAGATGGCCGATGGCTCCCTTTGTGGACGAGATGGCAAGCGATGTTGCGTGCGCTCCAAACACGGTCTTGATGGCTCGGTTTTCGACAGCGTCGCCTGCAAGAGAATGCGCGGCAGTTCTTTCGTTTGAGCAAACGGAATGGTTCACCATCCAAGACGCGCAATCAAACATGGAGCATCTTGCCTAGTGGAGTAGATGTCGCATGCGCATTCACATAGTCGACATCCGCGGGGGTCAGTCCAGCTTGTCGGATTGCAGACTCCATGCAATGGATTGCACCGCGTCCATCCTCAGAAGGTGCAGTCATGTGGAAGGCGTCTCCTGTTAGAGTGGAAGAGAGGTGGGGTGATTGTTAGGGTTGTGGATTCAATATGAAAAACCCAAAGTTAAAACAGAGCTCTGGCAGAAACAACTACGAACAAGGCGCAGTTTTTCACGCACCGGAAAGTCCGTAGCCACGAATTTCGGCGTAAATGGTTGCGCCGCGGCGTTTGGCATGCTCGTATTCCTCCAAAACAAGAACGCCCGAGCCTTCTCCAATCACAAAGCCGTCGCGGCGTTCGTCGAAAGGACGGGAGGCGAGTTTCGGAGAATCATTGAAGGCCGTCGAAAGGGCTTTCACTTTGCAAAACCCGGCCACCGACAGTGGTGTGATGCAGGCCTCGGTACCTCCGGCGACTATTTCCAAGCCAGAGCACACACGGTTTGTGTGAGGGCGAAGCAGTGACCGAATCTCAATCACTGCCAAACAACCATAGCTGAGACTCACCCATCACTTCTGCATCGCCGTTCCGGATAAACCGGAAGGCATCGCCGATTGCATGCGCTCCAGTGGCACACGCAGTCGATACGGAGTGGTTGACGCCCCGCAAGCCGTGACGGATCGAGACGTGTCCCGACGCCATATTGACCAGAATTCGCGGCACAAAGAACGGACTCAGTTTGCGGTAGCCCGGACGATTATCGAATGATGTTCCAGCATCAGTTTGTGCTACAACAGCAGCAGCAGCAGCAGCAGCAGCAGCTGGAGCGCTTGTTGTCGGCGGAGCGAAGAGCGCCGAGGCTGTGGCCATGTCGTCCATGCTGACCATGCCACATCCGATCGCGACGCCCGTTTCGCGCTGCTCGGCGTCGGTCTTTGGGTGCCATCCTGCATCGTCCAGCGCCTGCGAGGCGGCGGCCATGGCGAACTGGATAAAGTCGGGCATGCGCTTGGAATCGCCCGGCTCGAGCCACTCGCTCGGGTTGAACAGCCCGGCCGCAACGCCCGCCTCGCCGCGCGGCACCTGTGCAGCGATCGACGTCGGCAGTCCACTGTATGCATCTGCAGGCAGGAGTCACACAATCACTAGTCATCAATCCACTCAAATCGCCATCGTCTACCACCACCCCCTTACCAGCGTTGCGAATGCGGTCGACTGCGCAGTCGCCAGCAACGAGTCGCTTCCAAGTGTTTGCAACGCCAACGCCGAGCGGAGTGACGAGGCCTAGGAGGAGGAGGAGGAAGAAGATGAAGAGTTTGAACATGTTGCTCAGATACGTGTCAATTCTGCATCCCCTTCATCCTCATTTCTCAGACGGGTACCAAGGCCAGTCACAACGACGCGACGTTGCACAGTTGGAAACAGTGGCGGCGCAGTTGTCAGTTTGCACGCAAGCTTGTGCATCGTGGTAGTGATGGGTGAGGTTGCAGTCCAGAATGCGACTGAGATGAGTTGCTGTCAAAATTTGTACAATTTCGTTCACCGACCACTTCAAGAACTATCATACACATCAAAAAACAGCATACAAACAATCCAGTCATGAAGTTTAAGTCGTAAACGATCTGACTTGGTGGCAATCTGGCGCACGTCAGGGAGGACTATTGAGCTTCACTTTCAACATGTTCGCATTTTGATCTATTTTCCCTCCACTTCTCAATCTGCCAAACTCGTTCCTTATGTTTGTTTTCACTCTTCTTTTCTTCTTCCCTTCTTTTGTCACAGTCGTGCAATGAAGTTCCTTGTTCAGTTTGTGCTCGAGCTGCTGCCATTCCGCATGCCCGAGTTTGCAGCCGCGGCCGAGTGGGCGAACGTCCCATTCACCGTCCTGCTCGCACTCCCAAACAATGTAAGCAACCCGTCATACGCTGTGTTTGTTATGAACTGGAGGGGGAGTGGTGGCAGGCAGCCAGCAGAGGCTCTACTCCACGAGGACGACGCTTCATGTTGCACACAACCGGACAACTGACTGACTTGCTGACTGCACGGCCGTGATGTAGGACACTTCGCCATACTCAATCATCGATATGCCGTCGGAGGAGGACGCCAAGCGCGTGGTTGAGCGATGCGCGCTCGTGCGGTCAGTGCTGTTTCAGTTTCTCAGAGCTTTGCGGTGCTTCAGACATGCACCAGCAAGAGAGCTCATGTTGGCGTGTTGGTTGCATGCCATATGCCAGATCCATCTACTTGTACCTGGGACACGGCGACAGTTACGAGCAGCTCGGAAGGTCGCGTTTTGCTGGTAACGCATCGTGTTGTTTGCGTCATTGCCACTTTCGCAGATTGCATTGCTCAAGTGCTCGAGAAGTTGGATCTTAGTCGTCATCATGATGCTCTGGACATGTTACTAACTTTGTGAGCAAATGATTCTGACGCGTTGAATCATTGCAGGAAACAGCGCTCGCGCCTGCACGCTCGTTTAGCTGCACAGTCGCGGCATGCTATCGCCGATTGTCATTGCAAGACAAGGAGGAGCGACGCAGGCGGCTTGACTACATTGACTTTCCCGGGCCCATTGACATGAAGAATCCAGAGGTTGCCCTGCATCTTCTCGAGCTGTACGACGGCACAGTGCTGCATTCCACCGACGCACCCTTCTACGGCGTGTTCTTTGCGTTGTGGGTAAGTAGTGTCCGTGCTTATGCGGACGAATGGGAAGTCGTTCGTTGTTGAGTTGGCTCATCATGATTCGTGTGGGCTAGCTGCGAGATGGTGTTCGGTCCCTGGTCACGCACTATTCGCTCAAGACCCGCACATACATCAACACAACGTCAATGAACGAGACGCTGGCGTTTTTGATGGCTCACCAAGCGTTGGTACGTGAGTTTGGGCTGAAAATCTTGGTCGACCTTTTGGGCTGAGCTGACTGGCCTTGATTTTGCTCATTTGCTTCATGCAGATTAAGCCAGGAAGCGTGGTCTTTGATCCTTTTGCTGGAAGCTGTATGTTTGGCAACCACATTGTCGCTGCACTCTGGCTTGCTGATGTGAGCGAGCCACTCACATTTCTTTATGTCGTTTTTTTGTTTTGTTGTTCGGCAGGCGGCATGCTGGTGCCTTGCGCTCACTATGGCGCATTTATCGTGGGAGGAGACATTGATCCTCGAATGATGAGTGCCAAAGGTAGTACTTTTGCACGTCTGGGCCAGAGCTTTGGATTTTGTCGTCTGACTGTTCGTTTCCTCGCTTTTGTTTTTCTTTTTTTTTTTTGGTTTTGGTAAACAGATCCAACTCACAATGCTCGCATGAGCTTTGTGCAGTACAAACTGGAATCACAGTTGCTAGATGTTGTGGTCACTGACAATTCGCATAGCACGTTCCGTGGCAATGTCAAGTTTGATGCCATTCTTTCTGATCGTACGTTGTCAATCGCGCCCCCCCCTATTCTCCGCAACCCGCTCATTGTTTTCTTGCTGACTCTGTGAACCAACTTGACTTTTTCGAACAGCGCCATACGGCATTCGCGAAGCGGCCAAGAAAATTGCTCAAGTTCCCAACGCGAAGCCGATTCCGCTTGAAAAGTAAGATTCAGCTTTGAGTCGCGGGGTCTCGCTGTCTTTGATGCGCTTTTTGTGTCATTTTTGATGTCAATTCTTTGCGATTGTCAATGTTTCACAGGCGTGCTGCGCACATTCCACGCAAGATTCAGTACGCCCAAGATTTGCTCATCTGCGACCTTGTGGACTTTGCTGCTACGCATCTTGTGGTCGGTGGACGCCTGGTCTTTTGGATGCCGACACACGATGAGCCGTAAGAAATGCAAGCTTTTGGAAGGAGGTGTTCTCGTGGGGTTGAAAAAAAAAACCGACAAAAAAACGTCGTGACTGATGTTGACTCTGCTTGCAGTCTCGATGAATACGTCCCCATCCACCCTGCTATGAGGCTGATCAGTAACAGCTCGCAACCGATGGCTGGCCGCCGTCACCGTATCATGGTCACGCTGCAAAAGCTGCACGATCCGACGGTAAGACCCGGCTGCTTGCAACAAGATGCTCGGCGTGTGCTCACCGCCAATTGCTCACGGTCCGTGTTCCTTCTTGTTACTTGCTCGTCCTAGCCAACTGAGCGAGCGACAATCTCTGAAAAGTACGCCCAGATCATGTTTGAAAACTCGCGTTCGACCCAATCCAAGATCAAGTACCAAGCGGAATTGGCAGAGCAGGCGGAGCAAGAGCGGATAGCTGCCACGAGTCCCGGTGACAATGCATAATCGGGTGAACCTTTTTTTTTGTTTTGTTTTTGCAATTCGCAGTGTTTCATTTCTTTGTGTCGCTTGAAAGCAAACCGACAAAGCCACTCAATCACAGCATTGCCAATGGTGGGAGCTTCCTGCGCTCTTGCCACTGGACTTAGGGATATTTGGTGAGGGCCTTCTTGACCTCCTCAAAGAAGCTGATTTGTGCACCGGGCAGCGCGCTTTCCACGAGGGAGGTGGACAGGGAGCCACGCAGCGAGGTGTGGAGGACGTAGGTGAAGCGGGTGCGTTTGCCGCCATCGATGGACTGAATCCAAAATCCGCACGGGTAATTGTGCCCACGAACGAGGCCATGCTCATGGGGTGTATCGGGGTGCTCGACGCTCTGGGCTGAGCCGCGCAGAGCGGGTCGAAGCGAGAAGGAACAAGCAAAGTTGGCAGAAGTGTGTTTCGGGTGAGCATCCAGCATCAAAAATCAATCCACCAAATCATGCAATATGAGCACTCCATAAGCATAGAGTACTATGCTCCGATGAGCTCACATACCAGCGCAAATCCAGTCGTCGGTGCCATCGAGCTTGCGCAGGACGGACAGGTCGACAAAGTCGCGCGCCGAGATCAGTCCCATCATGGCCGAGTGGGTGATTGTCCGGATGATGGAGACCGTGTCGCTGACCTGCTGAACAAGGCTCATCGACTTTGACGACGAGTCCCATTTGGCGCGCATCGTGTCTGGGCCAGGACGTACAAACAGGACGACGCGCTCGGGCGACGCGTCAATCTCGCCCGTCGCACGGAACCTGTGCGCGGAACATTCAAGCCATGCGTCGTGTTTGCACATCCGTCAAGCCAAAGTGAGAGTCGGTCGTGGTGGTGGTGGTCGTGGTGGTCGTGGTGGTCGACCAGCTCAATCTCAAATGGCTCTTTCAATGCAAATCCAAACAACAATTTTTTGCTACTTGCTACGAACGGCGTGGGCTTACAGGGTCTCTGGGATGCCTTCAATGTTGCCGGCGTGGATGGTGATGCCCTTCTACATGCATGGATCAAGTCAGCAGGCTGTGAGCATTTTCTCCATACTCATTCTCAGATTGAAATTCGAGCCAAATTTCAAGTTCACTCATATCGTCCACCCGGTCTAGTCTAGTCTCGCTTTTTCTATCTCTCTGTGCAAGTTGGTCATTGGAATGGAGATCGCTGGATTGCGGAGAGGTTTTTGTTTTGTTTGGCGCACCGTCTGCTTCACGGGACGCAGCGTCGAGTCCTGCGCGAATTTGAGCGTCTCGTCAATCACTCGCGCGACAATGGTGTCGTAGTCAGCCATGTTAACAAGAAGAAAAAAAAAAGAGTGAAAATAAACTAATTGCAACTAGGAAGTAATCAAAAATGTGTGGAGAGCTGGGGGTTGTTGCATTGGAAACCAAAAACAATAGAGAAAACCCATTGATCATGGCAAAAGCTGTTGCTTCCGTCGCTCGAGCAAGCTGCTGACCAGAGTTTGTTGCATCAAGCCATGGAGTTGCACAGACATGCTGGAGCATGCTTCCAGCGCCTGCGAGATTGCAAATGTCCAGAACAACAAACAACAAAAGTCAATTTAACGTGAACGAAAAAAATAAAAAAAAAAAACATGCAATGAAACGCAACCATACCTTGACTGAAAGCTTCAACGATGATTCTCCAGATTGATCTAACAAGGTGACGAGGTTGTCGCTGACGCGAAGCGCTTGTGTGGCAATAGCGGAAGCTCGCGATTCTTCCAGATGCGTTGGGTCCCACAGCACGATGTTTGTGTTTGCAGCAAGGGCCTAGCAAAGAGAGGCAACATGGCAAGAACAGCAAACTGACTGAGCAAAGGGGAAACGTGGGACCGAGCTGCACGCGACGTCTGAAGCATCATCTTACCACTGAAGCGGCGGTGACCATGTCATTCATTTCGATGCCAGCATCCGCAAGAGCCAGTGTGCAGCAGTTGATGGACGCAGCAAGCGCACCGCCATCGTCCTGTCACACCGAGTTGGGATTGAGTATCCGTGACAAGTCCGCAACACACGCATTCTGAAGTGTTCGCGGCGCACACACTTACGCCAATGATCGTCACGAATAGGTCAATCGAGCTCTTGGCGTACTTTTCGAGCCGTACGGACGATTGCAGAGCTGTCGCGACGCTTGTTGCAAACTGCCTGTCTGCAGCGGCAGCACTCGTGTTTGCGTCGGTGCCAATCCTTGCATCGTCGCGCGGGGATGCGAACGGAGCGCGCGCAACGTCGCACTGGAGCACTGCCTGCTCATTGAACTGCTGCAGACCACCCGCGCGGGTGTTCTCGCGCGGTCCATACACTGCAGCCATGACGCGGGTGCCTGCCAGCTCGAGGTACGCCGACCCGTTCGCGTGCGACACGGTGCCCGTGGACATGTCTGTCCTCCCAATACACAAGCGGCAGTAAGAACGAGCAAAGCCAGTCCCCAACCGCCACCCCCAGTTGATCAATGCACGGCGTTGCATTCAGGAGTGATCAGGCACAACCAGTCCAACGGGAGGAGAGGGGCAGAGTGGGCGCCGTGATCCCCTCAACGTATGAAGCAGCACACACATGGAGCAGAGCTTACAGATTGGCCGGAGCTGGGCAGCGGGGCGACCGTCAGGCCGCGACACTGCTGTTGATGAGCCTGCTAATGATGATGATGATGATGATGATGATGATGGTGGTGGTGGCGGTGCGAGTGTCGACAGTGGGAAGGTCGTTTCGGGACCCGTAATGCGGTAGCGATCGACTGGCATTGGATTGGATGGAGAAGCTGAGGAGCGATTATTGAATAAGATACAAAGACTGACATTATCATAAAGTATCATCATCAAACATACATTGGCTGGGATTGGTTGGGGATGGTCGAGCTCAAAAAGCAAAACAAAAAACAAATGGTGGGATGAAAGGTGTTTGGGGAAAATCGACGCAAGAGACGGCAAGTTTGCTGGCATAGGGCTGCGACTGCTTGGTAAATATCGGCAAAAGTCAACGCGTGTTGGTTGGGTGGAAATGGCAGGTGGAACGGTTGGGTTTTTGCTGACAACGAAGCGAAACAGCAGGAAAAAAAACGCCGAACAATCGCAGACAATCCAGCAACAAACAGAGACGCCAACACAAGCACCAGACACCAAAAGCAACAAATACCACCGCATCCATGCGATCGTGCAGGCTAGAGGCGCGAAAACGGGACGCACCGTCACAGCTTGAGAGTCTGGCGGAAAGACTTGCTCGAATTCGCAGCTACAGTCACCGGCTCGACCACGGCACCGGCCTCGACGCAAATAAAGTGATTGACCTGTATCGCGCAGAGTATGTCGTAAGTGATCGGCCAGCTTCAAAACCCGAAACACCCACCAAAACACCCAGAAAAAGAACACCAAACTGACGTACTTCTTCACCGCCCAAATCAGCAATGGCCTTGCCGCCTTCCTCGGCGGGATTCCACACAACAGTGTCGGGCATGTTCTCCTTGACGAGCTGAACACCTTTGCCGCCAGCCAGATTGAGAATCAGGTGCTCATCGAGCGTCTTCATGTAGATTCTGTCGGTGAGCTCGGAAACAGTGACAACATCGCGGTCTTCGTGCTTGGTGGCCATGTTGTCGACCTTGTCCTTGAAGTCGCGGTCGGTGAGACCAGCAACCGTGACTGTCTTGAGGCTGTCCGTACGGAAGTACGTGTGCAGCAGCGTTGTGAATGAAAACTCTTCCGTTCCTGCATCCGCAGACACAATCAATTGGTTTGGTTTGGTAGGGTCAGCCACATCGTCACCCACATTTTCAACCACTGCAAACGCGAGTCACTCAATCCAATATGGAGAATGTTTGACTCCACGGATCCTTCAAGTATGCTTAGGATGAAAGTGATTCGCACAAACTCTGGATTGATTGGTGTTGTTTTTGTTGGTTACCAGTGTTGTGCACAACAAGGTGCTGCTCGAGCGACTTTGGCGTCAGCGTCACCGTGTAGACGAGTCTGAACGGATGGTTCCACATTGCCCTGGTTGCCTCAGAATCTGAGAGCTCAAACACGGCCATCGCGCTGTCGTTCCCGTCGCTGCCTCGCTGGGCGACCGAGTCCTTGTCCTTGTATGCAAACGCAGTGGATCGCGCAAACCCGTGCTGGGGGCGGCCGTTGTCCCATGCGCCAAATTGCGGGAAGACGACCGGAATTCCGCCTCGAATTGCCTTCTTGTTGTCGTACACGGCTTTCTTGCTCACAAAGAGCAGTTCCGTCCCGCGATGCGTCCACGAGACGAGCGTTGCGCCAAGAAGATTGACCGTCGCAGTGCTCTCCCCAGCAGACAGCTCAACGGTCTGCAGCGACACTCCAGCAGTCGTGGGCGATGGCGGCGACAGGACGCGAATGGACATTTTTTTTTTGTTGGTCTGAGAATTTGGGAAGCAAAAAAATGGAAGACTGGGACAGAATTGAAACTGGATTGCGATTCGAAGTAAGTTCGGACAAGAAGCACTGTAGATCGACTGCGGATCAACGGATGAAGAAATGCTCACCCCAGGATTGAAACTTACTCGTCAGAAAGCGCTGCCATTGGCATGAATGGATCAGAGCCACGCAGACCCTTTTCGCGGATTATTGCACGCAGACCCATGCGAATGAGACTACTGAGAAACGCGACGCCATGAAGATCGTGAAAGCTCGAGTTCAAACGTTTACAAATTATCTACAGCAAAAAAACACCCAACAAACAAATAACAGCGACATCACAAGTTACGGACACGAGGAACAAACTCTTGATACAACACGGTGGACTGCGTGTCGTACACATTGATCGTCATGGTCGTGCTGTTGAAGGATTGCAGCATGAAGCCTCCGGTCGAGGCGCCAAAGCGGTTTTGCTTGATGGGATTGTACTTGCCAAGCTTGGCACCGGCGCCAGACACGAGGTACTTGACGCCGTTGTGATGGAGGACTTGCAATTCGTGGTCGTGGCCACAGAGATAGGCGTCGACCTGGTACTTTTCCAGCAGCGGCTTGAGATCGTCCTGCAAGTCGGGGTTGTTGCCGTTCGAGCCGCCAGAGTAGACGGGGTAGTGTCCAGCCACGACCAGCCAGTCCGCTTTCGAGCTGCTGAGTGTCGTTTTGATCCAGTCGAGCTGAACGTCCGCGTCGCTGCGCATTGTCTCTCGCTTGGCAAGCTGTGCATCGACTGCGCTGCGCGAACGCCGGCCGTCGGCAACCATTCCCTCCAGCTCGTTAAAGTAAAAGTCGGGCGACATGATGACTGTGTCGATAAAGACAAACTGGAGTGTCGTCAAGCCATCCGGGAGCACCACAACCTGCGTGTACCAGGACGAGGGCATGTGCCAACGGCGGTTTCGGTCGACGTTCGTGTACGCCACCTGCGCTGAAATGTTTCCCTCGTGGTCATGGTTGCCCAGCAGCGAGTACCATGTAATGTTGAGGCTCGGGTGGGTGTAAATGTCGTCGAACGCCGTCTTCCAGAGCGGGTCGGTCACGTTCGCCACACCCACGTCGTCTGAGACAAGAACAAATGGAACGAGAGACAGACACACGTGAGGCAGACTGTCACACTCGCAAAAAAGAAAAAAAAGTCATTGTTGAATCATTCTCTTGCTCTCAAACAGTTCGTGCTGCTGATGTTCCAGTACATGGAGGTTCAATGGCGCTTGCATTGCCATGGGAAAAACAAAATAAAATACATTGTTTGGTTGTTTGTTTTTCCCACCTTTGGGAGCATAGTTGCAACTCGCCTCACCCCGCTCTCCTCCACGTCCACTTCACTCAGCTTCAGTATTCCACCCGAATCCCAGTGCATTTTTCACGCCTCACATCGAGTGCAAGTCGGCGCTCACAATCCCAACGTCCGGCGGCGGTATTTTTTCAAATGGCAACCAATCGGCGCGCCGAGCTCATCCACGCTCTCATCCTCTTCCGTCGCTTCCGGTGATTGCACACCAACTTCCGCTTTCAACGTCCTCCTGCATCATCAACGCGCAGCCGTCCATGCAAACCGTTCGACGGGGGAAAGAACACCAAACAAAGCAGCCCACTGTTTGTAAACAACGGAAACAAGCGAGCCATTTACAGAAATTGTCGCCCACAGAGACCAGGAAACTCGGATGGAAGATGCCGCCAACGTTGCCCAGCGCTTGAGCTACCTCGGTCTGTTGATCGCCGTTCAGACCCCAATCGCCGAGCGTCAGAAAGTGGAGCGGCGTTTCTTCTTGTGCAGCAGCTGCATTCACTGCTCGTGCCGATGCGCCGCTCGCCCAGGTTGCAGCAATCACAACCATGTAGCTCCAAATCCAGCGTTGACCGGTCATTTGTGCGTGTTTGCAGTCGCCAAAAACGAGAACTGGACTTTCTGAATCCATCTTCATATTTCTGATCTCGTTCATTTCCTTTATTCACTCCTTTTCCTTGTTCACACAAAATGCTGTCGTCCGTTCTTCTGCGCAATGTAACGAATACAGAAAAAAAAAAAAAAAAAAAAACCTGTTGTTTCCCTCGTGCTTTTTTTTTGTTCTATTGGGACCTTTGCGGTGGCTTGTGGTCGCCTTCGTCCTGTCGCTCGCCGCTCCTCTGATGTGGCATTTGTTTGCGCTCTGTTGCTTACCACCGGCCCCGCGCCTAGACTCCTCTCCAGTGTCCTTGAAGGAGGAACGATGGCTAACTTTTTTTTTTTTTTTTTTTTTTTTTTTTTTTTTTTGGCTTTGTAGGCGCGCTCCTTCTCCACTGTGGCCCGCCCCGCTGCTGCCGCTGCTGCCGCCGCCGCCTCTGCCGCTGCCACCAAGGTACGTCCCACTCGGCGGGTCAGCGCCTTCCGTCCACCCACTTCCCCCTTCACGAACACTCAGTGTCGCGGTTCGTTGTATGGCGTTTCAACAAAACGCACGCGTCGGTTTTTTTTTTTTTTTTTTGTTGGGTTGCCGCAAATTCGTCGCTCGCTTGCCTTGTTCCACGGCGTGCTTTGGCTGCGGGATGCATGCAGCCACACTCAATGCTTGTCTACACACCCCTCCACGACTCGCGTGGGCGCTCGCTGTAGCCCAGACACGACCCACTGTCCCAATGCTTGGTCTCAATGCTTTGATCGTGACTTTTTTTTTTCTTATCTCGTTTTGGTGGATCAGGCGTTGATTTTCGACTCAACAAACTGTCAACCAGCATCATCATCATCATCATCATTATTGGCAGTGACATCATTGCGCAGGACCAATGCGTGAGATTGAGGAGCAAGTCAAAAAAAAAAAAGGTTCTGGTCTTCTGTGCACTCACTTTTTTGGTTGCTCATCTTCCAGGTGCCCACCACCAAGCTCTACATCAACGGCGAGTTTGTCGAGTCGCAGACCAAGGAGTGGATTGACGTCCACAACCCCGTACGTCCATCGAGTCATGTGCTCTATTTTGTGCCTTTTTTTTTTTTTTTTTTGTTGGATTCACTTTTGTTTTGATTTCACCTTGTCACCTTCCAACGTTGCAAAACAACAAACAAAACAAAACCAAAACCAAAACACAAAAATAGGCCACCCAGGAGGTCGTCACTCGCGTGCCCGTGGCCACCCAGGCCGAGATGCAGGCTGCCACCGCTGCCGCTGCCGCCGCTTACAAGACTTGGAAGAAGACGTCTCCCATCCAGCGCCAGGGCATCATGCTCAAGCTCCAGCACCTCGTTCGCGCCAACATGGGCGACATTGCTCGCTCCATCACGATCGAGCAGGGCAAGACCCTTGCTGACGCCGACGGCGACGTTCTTCGCGGCCTCCAGGTTGTCGAGCATGCCTGCAGCATTCCCTCGCTGCTGCTCGGTGACACGCTCGGCTCGCTCAGCGCCGATCTTGACACTTACACCTACCGCGAGCCGATTGGTGTCTGCGCTGGCATCACCCCCTTCAACTTCCCTGCCATGATCCCGCTGTGGATGTTCCCGCTCGCCATTGCCTGCGGCAACACGTACGTGCTCAAGCCCTCCGAGCGCAACCCGACCGCGGCCATGAAGCTCGTGTCCCTCGCTGCTGAGGCTGGCGTCCCCAAGGGTGTCTTGAACGTCATCCACGGCTCGATCGACTCTGTCAACTACATTTGCGACGCCCCCGAGATTCGCGCCATCTCCTTTGTCGGCTCCGACCGCGCTGGTCTCCACATTTACTCGCGTGGCTCGGCCAACGGCAAGCGCGTCCAGGCCAACAACGGTGCCAAGAACCACGGCATCATCATGCCCGACGCCAACAAGGAGCACACCCTCAACTCGCTCGTCGGCGCCGCTTTCGGTGCTGCCGGCCAACGCTGCATGGCTCTCTCGACCGCCGTCTTTGTCGGCGAGGCCCGCAAGTGGATTCCCGAGCTGATTGAGCGCTCGCGCGAGCTCAAGGTCGGAAGCGGCCTCGACTCGGCCACCCAAGTCGGCCCTCTGATTTCGCCCCAGGCCAAGAAGCGCGTTCTCTCGCTCATCCAGTCCGGCGTTGACGAAGGCGCCAAGCTCTTGCTCGACGGACGCGACGTCACCGTCCCCGGCTTTGAGAAGGGCAACTTTGTTGGCCCCACCATCCTCGCCGATGTCACTCCCTCGATGAAGTGCTACAAGGAGGAGATTTTCGGCCCCGTTCTTGTCTGCCTCTCCGCCGAGACCCTTGACGATGCCATCCAAATCATCAACAACAACCCTTACGGCAACGGCACTGCCATTTTCACCAACAATGGCGCTATTGCTCGCAAGTTCACCAACGAGGTCGATGCCGGCCAGATTGGCATCAACGTCCCGATCCCAGTGCCGCTGCCCATGTTCTCCTTCACTGGCTCTCGCAAGTCCTTCTTCGGCGACCTCAACTTCTACGGCAAGGCCGGTGTCCAGTTCTACACCCAGCTCAAGACCGTCACCTCGCTCTGGAAGGAGACTGACGCGACCACCCGCGCTGCCGCCGTCTCGATGCCCACCATGCGTTAAAACAAAAAAATGAGTGTGTAGCTGTCCCCGTTGATGTACGCTTGTGCTGGTTTTTGTTCTTCTTTTTTTTCGCATTATTACAATTGATGATTTGAGCTCTGGCCGCCATCGAGTGAGCCAATGTGAGAAGGCTTGACATTTATTGCAAGAAAGCTGGAGACACTGGATGGCGGATGACAGACGTGGCCATGGTTGACAAAAAGCAGTCGTCACAATTCGACTTTGAGCTCACGCGAAAGGTTGGCGAGCATGGTCTGCCACGCGTCTTCCTTCTCTGTGGCGGAGCTCACCCGGGTGACTCGTGACAAGTCGCAGAAGACCGCCATCAAGGTATTGGAAGCCTTCGTGTAGAAGCCGACATGACGCATCAGAAGATCGTCGTGCATGTAGCCTGCTGTGGCCATTCTCTGCGCGGCCTCGCGAATCGCCTTTCGAGCGTCCGCAGGTACTTGCTTGGGAAACTCTCCTGTCTTGACAAATGGCATGACGAGCACCGGCTGCTGAAGCAGTGTGACGACAACCGCCTCGGGAAACTGGGGGTCTCGCTGATGCCAGATGTCGTTCCACCGATTGCACTCGGCTTGAATGTCCTCCAAGTTGGGCTCGTTGAAGAACTTGACGACGCAGACGCGGCCCGCTGCGTTCGATGCAAGCCACGCCGTGCCATCGCCGCCACCACCGAGTCGGAGTGTCAGGTAGAGGCGATTTGACGCTTTGTCAATGGTCGGCATGTGGTGAAAGTCAAGAGGCATCTTGAACGACTCCCATGCGTAGCTTTTCGAAGTGACGGCAAGGGCTGTGTGGCATCGGCCGCGTATTGGGACGATGCGGCTCATCTTGTAGAGCGCGGAAGCGATAACGGACACGATTTCCTTGTCTCGGTAGTAGAAGGGTTGGCTGCAGCGGAGCTCGCGCTTCAGAGGCTCGCGCTGCTGCGTTGGCGGCGGGAACGGCGTGGCTGTCACTTGGGTTGCCGCGAACTGCGACAAGGGGAACGAGGCGTGCTGGTCCAGTTCGTGTGCTGTCGATTCCCCGCATCGAATGAGCTCCCCGCGGCACGCGGCAAGCTCGTTCGATGCGGCGTCGTCCAGCCAGCAGATGCGCCAGTACATGTAGTTGGTCAGGATGCCAAACACCGAGTTCAGGTTGTAGGTGATGCGCAGCTCCTGCAAGTAGTCGTACAGCTGCCCGAGAATGAGTGGATTGTCCGAGTCTTCGAGCGCGAGTTGCTTGCGTTGCTCCTCGTATTTCGGACTGCTGGTGGGTTCCGGGGCGGACGGCTTCTTGATCACGAGAGCACCATGACCGATGCCGAGCCACGAGACGTGCCAGAGGTCCTGTGCCGCGTTCGCTGCCGAGAGCTTGATGCCGGCGGTCTTGAAGCAATAAGGAATCTCGCCCAGTTGATGCTGTCCGAGGACTTTGGCGACCGCAGTAAGCGTGAGGTACACCAGCAGCCGAACAGCTGCCTCGCCATCATACCCAGCCCGAGCAGCATCATGAAGAGCATCAGCAGGACGCGCTGTGTATTCCAAATCGGTATGTACGCCAAATTCGCCGTGGAGTGCAACGGCAGCTTTGTGCGCTGCTGACACAAATGCACGCATGTTCGATTTGCCCAGATTGGCAGGACCGAGAGCTGGCAAGACAATGTCCTTATCGAGCAGGAACTCGGAAGCCCTCGACACGGCTTTCTGGCGCGCTGTCTCGGCGGCTGCGGCTTTCGCCTCGGCAGCTGCCTCGGCTTTCAGCTTCTCGTTTCTCTCGTTGTCGGCTCTCTTCTCGGCGGCAGCTGCCACGGCTTCCTGGCGCTCCTGCTCGGCGGCTGCGGCCTTCGCCTCGGCTTTCAGCTCCCGGAGGAGGGTTTTGAGTAGTACGAAACCAACTGCATGCGGGACAGACTCGCTGGTGTCTGGCAGCCCCAGCTCATTAAGCACTGCCGCGGCGTTCGTCCGCTGTTCATCTGACAGCTGTGGCAGCTCGTTGCCTTTGATGGTACTTGCATCGGGCAGAGCCGCCAGGAGGCCAGACCGCTGGGTGGCCAGGTTGACGTTGGGCAAACGAGGCGAAAATGGCGCCAAACTTTTTGCCGAGACAAGGCCGAGACAAGCTGCCAAATCGTGCATCGGGTCGCTCGGAGCGGCGGCGGCGAGGCCTTGGTCGCCATGACTCGCATCTTGCGATGACATGGTTGCTCTGTCACTGCTCACAGAAGTCGAGTCGGTGCCGCCAAGCCGGGAGAGGAAATCGAAGCAACACAATGCAACAAAAATGAACGCTGAGTTTCAAACGGTCTCATGGGATGTTGTGGCCGTCGCAGTGCAGCTGGACGACCAGCCGTGGGCCGCATACACTTACATTGAAACACTCTGAAAGTGCTCAGTGAGATCGCTGACGGGGGATTCTGGTACAGCTCGGTCGTTGTTGTTTGACATTTTGGACTTGGAGTGTGGGCTTCGACACAGCTGGCAAATTGACTGACCCGCTCATGATTCGGAAAGGCGAATGAACGTCTACTAGAGAATACTGGAGCACGAGGGATGAGATCGGGAAGAAGTTGGGGAGCTTGGGCAGCCAGACGACGTTTGCTCGAGGCACCGTTCAGCGTTGATCCGAACGACACGACGCCTGTTGTGCCGGCAAAAAACACCGATGTGGCTTCGCGACCATTTCAACCGCGCCACTCACGACGATCGACGGTGGCTCGAAGCACACAAGAAAGCCGACACTGCTCAACAAACCGATGGAGGCGGTAGATGCCGAGGCATTTGCCATGCGCCAGACATCGGCTGTTGGGAACATCGCGATGGAAGCATGAAGGAGACGCTTCAACTACTGCACCACTGGTGGAAGCAGGACGATGTTGTGCCTTCTTCTGCCAAGCTGTTACGGAGCTGTGTAACTTTCTTTTTGAACGAAGCATTGCGTCCCGTCGCGTATCTTCGTGAGCAGCTCAGAGCCGAGCTCCTCCTCTGTGCCGGATATTTTGCCTTGATTGGCATGATTCTTCAGCACTTCTGCTTTATTGAATGCGCACTCTTGGTCAACAACCTGAATCGGGATTTTGCTCTTGTTCAAATTTAATTGATTTGGCACTCTTCCTTTTTCCTACCATTTTTTTTTTTTTTTTTTGTTGTTGTTGTTGTTGTTGTTCTGGTTGGTGATTTCCCCCTCCTTTTAGTTCACACTTACGACAAGAAAATGACGCTTACTTGGCAACACGCGGTTGGCTCGCTGGCTGGAACGGTGCTCTCGATGGCGATCGGTGCGTTCTGGCACAGCCCGTACGGATTTCTGGACGAGTGGATGCGCCTGAACGGCATCCGCATCAGCAAGAACCGCACTCCCGAGCAAGCCAAGCAGCAGAACAAGGAGATGAAGATGGGTCTTGCCATCAGCGCCTTCAGCCTCTATGTCCAGTTCCTGACCATCGCCGTCCTGCTCACTCAGCTCAACCTCGGATTCACGACCGACGTCGCAACGGCCTGCAAGACCTTCGCAGTGCGTTGTTTCCTTTGCCCTTCACCCCACAGCGTCTCCCTCCTGTTGTTGAGCCATTGCGTTCTCTCGTCACTCCATCCAATAGAACGCGCGCGCGCTCGCTCTCTCTCGCCTGGTTTGCGTTCCAAGATTGCGAAAAATTCAAAAAATCGAAAAAAATCAAAAAATCAAAAAAATCAAAAATCAAAAATCGAAAAAAAAAAAAAAATCAAAAAAAGGTCATTTTTGATCCGTTTCGCGTTCGGTACGATTGAACCAACACACGCATCGAACTGCGCGGAAAATTTTTACTGACTATGAATCGGAGAACAATTATAGCGAGGCTAAGACTGAAAGAAGAACAACCATCAAACAAACAAACAAAACAAAAAAATGCTCAGAAATTTGCGGGATTCGACGTGCATTTACACGACACCCGAACGTTGCGCGCTCACATTGATTGGCGCTTTCTGATCAACAGACGCTCGCCGGAATTTGGTTTGCATTCACTGCTTGCTCGGCTGGCGCTGACTTTGCCTGGAACCAACGCGCGGTTGGGCTGCTCCACATCTTCTTGGGACATACGTTTGTCACGATGATTGCCGGCACCTTGCTTTCGCAGTTTGTCACCAAGTGGCTCCCGCAGTAAAAAAAAAACCGGACATGTGCATGGCTTTTGTGCCTTTGCTTGATGAGCTTCAAGCGAGATTTCGTTTGAAGAGGCATTGAGCAAATTGGGTTGTACCACGAGTGCTTTGCCCAGCCTCTCGCATTGGCTGTTTGCTGGAGAGCTTCGACTCTGCAGCTTGTGTTTGTTGTCACTTTAAGAAATGGATTGTTTTGAGAGCCAATCGCTGGTTTACAACTCGATCTACGAAATTGCCAAGAAAAGGAAAGAAAAAAAAAAGTTCCCTACGTAGTATATACTGCGTTCAGGCAAGCTTCACCCTTTCCAATAGAGAGAACATCTTTTGGGCCATCCGAACTGAGGTTGCCCTCTATTTCCAGTGCTTTCCGGCCATTCGAGCGAGCAGAGGTCGCCGCTGAGCCGACTGACGATCGAAACGACTTCTTCCAAAGTCGTTTGACCTGGTCCACCTTGCTTGCAGCAAGCACGATCAACACTCGAGTGGCTCATTTTTCTCTTCCTCATCGGACTGTCTCACTCTATTTTGTGTTGAATTGCTCTCAGTAGTCATGGATCAACCACCACAGCGAATGCTCAAGCCGCGCGCGTTGCGGAGCGTGCTTCAGGAAGCGACCACCTTTGGCGTCACTCACACCCTGCAAGTGTCGTCGTGTTTCCCCCCTTCTCATATGCGCACGCCTTGTGGGAGCCGGGGGAGAGGCTAGGAGGGGAGGGGGAAACTGAAGAAGGGTTTACTGCGCAGAGTCTGTCCTGCACCATCGCACAAGGGCACTGCCATCGTCGTCGTTGTCGTCTTCTGCTTATTCAACGTGGCGCGCGGCATCGTCGGCGTCCTACTCTGCGGACAATGCACAAAACCAAGGAAAAAAAAAAAACTTCAATGCAAATCCCATACAAAAAAAAAAAAAAAAAAAAAAAAACTCCAATGCAAATCCCATACAAAATGAAAAGGCCATTAAATCATGTGGTGCTGTTGAGGTCGGCTTTGGGTTTTTTCGTTGCCTGGCGATGTGCTGGTCTGCGCGGTCTGAGCCGAGTGCCAAAAGTCCCGCAGTCCCACATGCAACGATGCTTGATGCGGGTGCGCGATGACTGGCGAGCGGCGGGCGGCCAGGCGGTGGACGACAGAGAAGAAACGACGCGGAGATGGAAGTTACTGCGGCGAGGCATGTCAGCGCATCCATGCTGCCGGTGATGCTGCTGCCGATGCTGATGCTGCTGGCAGGATGATGGTCTGTCGGTCGGGTGGTCGGGCGGGTGGGCCGGGCGAGCAGGGTTCGCTTTCCAAATCTCCTCCATTCATCCTCCTCTGACCCTACCCTCGTCTCCCCCATTGATCGGATGCGACACCGAGCTGACATCTGGCTTTGCTCACTTACCTCCCCATCGTTGGCTCCAACCAGGCTCCTGACGCAGAACGGAACACTGATCGCGCTGACGGGCGACAACGACCAGAGCGCGCGCGTCACGGGCGCCATCGCTGCGAACGTCTGGCACGCATTCGAGCGCGAAGGCAAGGCTGCATTCGATACAACCGCCATGAACTTCCTGTTGCTCGGCTGCGAGAGCGGTCGCGTCGGCGTCACCCGCGTCGCTGGATTGCTGCTCTGCCTGTACGCCAAGCCGTCCGTCGAGTACGGTCTGCTCAAGTCCAAGGTGGGTGCCTGCGATGCATGATTTATGGAGGCTGGAACTTGTTGCTGCTTCCTAGCAGGGAGGGGGGTAGGGCAGGGGGAAACTCTGGGCGAAATTCTAACTTTTTTTTTTTTTACTCAAACCATCCGTTGCTCCTCGCTCTCGATTCAACGAAAACGAAACAGGCCCTTGCTCTTGCCAAGCACCTCGAGGAGCCCTTGTCAAGCGTAGTCATCGGTGGACTCGCTGTCGGCACCAACCTTGACAACTTTTAAAATTGCAAATTTTTGTTGTTTTCCCTCCTCTTGTTGAATCAACAAGCCCGCCAAGCAGTTTCGGACGGCATCTACTCGAGACTTGAACCACGATCCTTTTTTTTTTTTTTTGGGGGGGCGGAAGGGCTATTTGTTGTGCTGCGATGATGTCGCTTTTGTTGTTGTTGTTGTTGAGCCGTTTGTTTTTGTTCGTTTTGTTCCTCTCTTTGTGTCATCTTGCTTTTGTTGTTTCTTGTCCTGTTCAACATGGAATTTTTTACCATCATCTTTTGGCTTTGCAATTCAAGCTCACTCTTTCCAACAATATACAATGCAAACGCAACTGCCCGTTCCCAAGTTTGCGCATGTTCGCGGGACGACGGACATTGCGTTCCACTCCAGGTGCGTTCGTGTTGGCTGCTCAGCCTAATGTTTTCTTTGCGTGTCGATGATAAAGGCTGAGTGAGCTCTCGGCACTTGCGCAAGAGAGATAAAAAGAAAAAAAAAAAACAAAAAAAAAAGTTTTCCCGCCATTTTATTTGGCGCCAAAAAAATCTCGCCTTCTCGTTTTCCTGCTTCTGGCGACAGGCGGCCCTCTGGCTCTGTGCCAGTCTTCCCACCAGCGTTTTTCACGTCGTTTACAGCGTGAATTCAGTGGTCCTGCTGTGGCTGCGATGATACACTCATGTGCAGGCAGGGGAGAGCAATCGCAAGAAAGCGGCATTTTTTTTTTCTTTGCTTCCTCACTTCGTTGGTTGTTTGTTCAGTGGGAAGATCATTACGTGCGGAGCTGCGGACGCGTCCATTCGCATTTTTGATCCCAACGCGGAGGCTCCCGTGGACCTGGACAACAGCGCCAATCTCGAGCCCGTCTGCTTGGCAGTCAATGTGAGTCACCGAAAACGAAAAAAACACTGTTTTCCCGCCAATTTTTTTTTGCGCTCACCGATTGGACATTGCTGTATGCTCATCTACTGCAGGGTGACGCGATCGTTGTCGGCACATTGCAAATGTCCATTACACAATTCAGCTCGGAGACACGCCGTTTCGCACGGACGCTGTTCCGCCACGGCTCCGAGGTCCGCTCGATCTCGCTCAGTGGGGATGGCAGCTCCATTGCAGCTTGCTTCAACTTGTAAGCCCCTGTGATGAATCTCGTGTCCACTAGAATGGAACGCGTGTTTGTTTGCGGCTCACACGTTCGTTGGAACTTTGGCTTTTGACAGCGCCGAAAACGTGTACATCATCGACATGCACGACCCATCCAAGCTCAAGGCGCTGCGTGGACACACTGACGCCGTTCGTAGCGTTGCCTACGACCCGATTGGAACTTATTTGGTAAAAAAACATTGTGTGTTTTGTTGTGTTTGCTGTGATTTTCGTGCTCATCGTCCGCGTCAACTTTGCCTCCGACCCCAGGCTTCTGCCAGCTGTGACGGAACCGTCAAGATTTGGAACGTCGAAAAGGAAGAGTGCGTCCGCAGTGCCAAGGCGTTGAAGGCCACTCGTGATGTTCAGTACGTGAACCAACAACAAGTTTTGGGTTTGCCGGGCAGTCTTCTGGTTGTCCCAGTTGTCTTTCCCGCGACTGACAACGCTCATTTGACTCTGACACAGTGTAAACGATCGATGCCGCTTGGCTTGGCGCCACGACGGGCGTTTCTTGGCGCTTCCCACTGGCAGCAGTACGTGGTTTTTGTTGTCCTTGAGTATTCTGACAGCTTGCTGCGTGTTTTGACTGACTTTTTGGCGGCGCTTCGACGCTTCAACAGTGGTTTCTATTCTAGAGCGTGATGCATGGTCCGTTGCCTTCCATCTCAAGGACGAAACATACACGGAGGTACATGAACTTTGCCCTTACAAAGCATCCTTGCACTATTTTGCCCCCCCCCCTCAAACCTCTGCTCACTCTTCTTGCCTTGATGCGATTCACAGCCAATCTCGATCGTCAGCTGGTCGAGCAACCCCCGCATTTTGGCCAGCGTCAGCCTCGATGGCCAAATCCTCGTGTGGGATGTCGACAAGCGCCACCAGATTGCTCGCTTCAAATCAGACCAGCCACTCCTTGGCATTGCTTGGCACCCGACCGATATGACCATTGCCATGGTACAGTACAGACGGGCATCCGTGACAACGGTTTAGCAGGATTGGTTTTCTCATTAATCTTCTCCTTTGCTTTGTTTTTTTTGTTTCCCTTTGCTTTTGCTCTTGCCTCGCTGAATTGTGCAGATCGACGCCGCTGGCCGCTACACTGTCTGGACGGATGTTTTGCAATCGTTTGGATCGGTGGCACCAGCTGCCCCGCAAGAAACAACGCTGCCGTTCTCTCTGGATGGGCTGGAGGTCAAGAAGCCCGAGCCCGAGCCCGAAAAGAAGAAGAAGTCCCACAAGCACCGCCGTACCGTCGGAAGTGACGATGAAGAAGGAGAAATTGGCGAGGAGAGCGAGCTAGTCGAATCTGAAGATGAACAGCCGGCTGCACAGCCTTCCACCCCTGTTCCTACTCGCCAGAGCTCGCGAAACCAAGACTCTGCCCCGATGGATACGAGCAAGGATGTCACCAAAACCCCCGGAAGCAGCAGCAGCAAGAGTAGTTTGCATCGCCATTCTTCCAGCAGCAGCTCGCGTCACTCTCCATCCTCGTCTTCTTCCTCGCGTCACTCTTCGTCGTCGTCGTCGTCATCGTCATCATCTTCATCCTCGGGAAGCTCGCGGATTGAGTGGTCTCCGCTTCAGGGCGCATTCCAGCCGGGCGCAACGCCCGTTGGGCTCAAACGCCGCTACATGGCCTACAACGAAATTGGCTACATTACCAGCCGAAACGAGCACACACAGGCAGCCATTGATGTACACTTCCACGACGCCGCACTTCGACGCTCCATCAAGCTGACCGATCACTACAATTTCACTCTTGCATTTTTGAGCGAGCACGGCGTCGTGTTTGCCAGTGAAGCTGGTGCCGCTACCGCCAGTACGATCTGCTACCGCATGTTTGAGAGCTGGGCGCCAAACAGCGAGTGGATGGTCTCGCTCCCCGACAACGAATCGGCGCGAGCTGTTGCGGCCGAGCGTCGCTTTGTGGCTGTCGCAACCGATCGTAACCAGCTGCGTCTCTTCTCTGCCACAGGTGTGCCCTCCGGCGTGCTTTGCCTTGATGGCCCGGTTGTGACCATGACGGCGCGAGGCGATTGCTTGTTTGTTGTCTACCACGGCGAGCAGGCGGCGCTGCGCCATGAGCAGCCCATGAAATACCTGCTCTTGGACGTGCACCGACAGGAGCGCATTGCTCATGGGCACCTGCCGTTGAGCAACGCGAGCCAGGCGGCTGCGAGTGCCGCTGCGACGGCTGCGCTCAATGTGACCAACACTGGCATGGCGACTGCTGCAGCCAGTGCCGCCACTCCTGCAACTCCCTCCTCCTCGTCGTCGGCATCTTTCACCGCATCCTCTTCCACCACCTCCACTCCCTCGGGCGTATCGCTCGTGTGGGTTGGATTCACGGCGGCTGGCGTTCCAGCAACCTGCGACTCGTTGGGCATTGTCCGCGTGCTGTCGGTTGCCAACTTTGGTAGCATTTGGATGGTGCTGACAGACCTTGCCAGCGCCCGGAAGAACGCTCCGGACTGGCTCTGGCCGATTGCCATCAGTGACGCGCAAGTTCGCGTGCTCCTTTGCAAAGGCGGTGAGCGCTACCCTGTTGTCGGTGGCATGGCGGATGCTGTGCAGTCGCTCGTCCCGATCGTCATGCCCGTCAACGGAGGAGCCACCATGGAGGAGAAGAGCGTGCGTGGTCAACTGTGGTTTGACAATCGCGAGTGGCTGGCTTCGCACGACTATGAGGCGCACAAGGATCGTGAAGCACACGCCAACGAGCTTGATCGCCATCTCTTCCCGATGATTGCTGTACGTGGTTGCGAGTGTGTTGCCTTGTGTGGGTCGAGGAGACTTGATGTTGATTTTCTGTTGCTGATTTTGATTCTTGTTTGTTTGTGTGTTTGGTTGCTTGCTTGCTTGTAGGCCGCCATCTCGAGCTCTCGCCATATGCGCGCTCTCGAACTGTGCTGCCGTCTGCGAACTGTGGACAGCATCGACCGTATGATTCAGTATGCATACAAGAGCAACGCTCCTACGCTTGTGGATCGAATGCAGCTTGTCCGTGAGACGGTAAGTTGTCGCATCGTCACGGCGCAAGTGTTTCTGTTGCAGAACCATCGAATGTGGCATTCACCTTGATGTCGTTGTGCAATCAATTGTCATTGGATAGCTCCTGGAAGCCGAGGCTGCCGAAGAAGAGGGTGACGAGGCCGAGCTGGAAGACGAAGAAGAGGCTGTGGAATACGTGGAGGAGACTCAACAGTCAAATTCGCGCGCGGCACATGACTCGTTCGGCTTTTCCTTCAATGACGACTCGTTGTCGCATGCAGCACCGACCTCGGCGATGATGACGACACCGCGGCAACCTGCGCGCACGATTGTCACTCCCTCGAGCTACGCCACTCCAACCACCACCCCCAAATCAACGTTTGCCAAAATGAGCGAATCAGCCAGCATCGGCTCTCCGACCATGTCCGGCGGTCAAAAGCGACTTGCATCGGCCATGGACGGCGATGACTCGATGGACTCGTTTTCAGCGACGAAAAAGCGCGCAAGCCTGACCGAATCGTCGAGCTCAACCCCTTTTGAAAAGTCAAAGTCCAAGCCCGCCATCACTTCGCCCGTCTCCAGCGATGACCATTCTGATGAGGATGCTCCCAAAACAAAGCGAGGTATGTTGTATCAGCTGGCTGGTTGTGTCTGAGCCGGGTTTGGTTGGAGCTCGTGTTACAATTTTTTCTCACCTGCTTTTTTGCTTTTCTAGTGAATCCATTCGCCAAGAAGGCTGCCACGGCTGCTCCTGCAGCAAATGCTACTCCGGCCGCGAAAGCCATGTCGTTCTTTGACAGCGTACGGGCTACGCCCAAGCCGACCCCGGCGTTCTAGTTCCAGTTGTTATTGATTTTTCAGTGTTTTTTTTTTCCATCCAAGTTGTGTGAATGGTGTTGCGTGTGTGCGTTGATGCTATTGCTGTTAAAGATCTAGATTGTTTCTCAAACTGGTCGCTGCAATGCTGAAACATTGAAGAGATGCTGGCTTTCTTATCTGCATTGTTATTCATAATCGCAAAAGATTAACTCAGACATGGCAGAAAGAACAAAAGATGCAAGCTGCACAAAACAGCGGATTGGCAGCAAAGGAGCACAGCTAAAACAAAGACAAACCAAAGCGCAAGAGTCATGGAAGGAAAAAAAAAATCAAAAACAAAAGCAAAACAAACAAACAAAAAAACCAAAACCAGGAGGAAACACCAATCAGGTATCATCGGATCGCCTCAGTCAAGCGGGCTTGATCGTGAGGCAGCAGATACAAGGGTAGGTCGCAAAACTCAAACAGAACAAAACAAACACCAAGAAGGGTAAACCTGCCAAGGATATAGAAACACCCCGTCAGTCACTGTTGGTATTCACATCCACGGCCACGTTCAGCAGTCCCATCCATACTGCACACACACGTACACGAAAATTCTAGTACCTGGTTGCTTTCAAAACTCCTTGAACAACTCATCGTAGGGATCTGGAATCGGCGCCAGTCCTTGGATTTGCTCCTCCTGGTATTGGTCGAAATTGGACGCATCGCCGTCGGACACGACCTTGGGGACATACGGTGGATCGACCTTGCCGGCGTAGAGCGCATCAAAGTTGATGGATTTAAAGAATGGGTGCGTCTTGATGCCGCCTGCTCCGTCCTTCATGTTTCCGAGGCGGCGAGTGAGGTCTGCCGTGCAGAGTTTGCGGATGAGGTCTGTTTCGTCGGCGTGGAAGTGCTTTGGAAAGTCGATGGTGCCCTGGACAATCTTTTCGTAGATGCCCATGGGGTTGGGATCGGTGAAGGGCGCATGTCCAGTCATCATTTCAAAGAGTAGAATGCCCAGGGCCCACCAATCCACGGCGTGGCTGTAGCCCTTTGACAAGATAATCTCCGGGGCAAGGTACTCGGGAGTGCCGCACAGCGTCCAGGTGCGATCGTACACGCGTTTTGCAAAGCCAAAGTCTGTGATTCGCACATGCCCCTTGGCGTCTAATAGCAAGTTCTCTGGCTTGAGGTCGCGGTAAATAATGTCCAGGTTGTGCAGGTACTCGAGGCCCAGCGCAACCTCTGCGGCGTAGAATTTGGCAACGTGCGTGGGGAAGCGGCCAAAGTGGTGCAGGTGCGTAAACATTTCGCCACCGTTGACAAAGTCGAGGACAATGTACAGTGACCGGGTGTCCTTAAACCAGGCGGCCATGTTGACAATGAACGGACAGCTGACGGTTGCCAAAATGTTCTTCTCCTGCAGGACGTGCTCGACCTGCTTTGTCTTGACAATCCGCTCCTTTTTGAGCACCTTGACGGCAACCCACGCCCGCGTCTGCTTGTCCCGTCCGAGCAAGACGCGCCCGAACGATCCGGTGCCCAGCGTCCGCATGAGTTCGTACGAGTCAATGTTCTTGCACTGCTCCGCGAGTGGTTGCTACAAAGTTGGAGAGCGCAAGTGAGTGAGGATCAGCTTTTTTCTTTCTGTTTTTTTTTTCTTCTTTTTTTTTCTTTTGTTTTGCTGTTGTTTCGTTGTGATTGTCTTTTGGTGCATCTGATCTCATTGCCATGGGGTGTGATGGATGTGGATGTGGATGGGTTGGTCGTGTGAGTTTGGGACACAAATTGCTGCCGATTTGATCCAACAACTCCTCCGCCGGTGGGCTCGCCTGAGTGTGCGTTCAACAACAACAACAACAACAACAACAACCACACTCACGTTTTGCACGATCAATCGAGTGCGAATCCCAATGCAAATGCAAAAGCAAAAGCAAAAGCAACAAAGGAAGGAAGGCGAATCATTGAAAAAAAAAAAAAAATCCGCTTCGTTCCAATTGAATTTTCTTTCCATCAATGGTGCATCAGCAACCACCAAATCGTCATCTCTGCATCGCTCATCACACTCAAGCCTTCCATTCTTTTCCTTTCTCTCCTCCTCTTCCTCTTACTCTTCCCTCCCTTTTGATTCAACCAAACAAATTTCGTTCGTTTTTTTTTTTTTTTTCAATGCACAGCGATTGCTTTTTATTTTTTATTTTTTATTATTATTATTATTATTATTATTTTTTATTTTATTCTTGTTCGATCGTCCCCTTCTTTTGCTTTTTGTCCTCGTCGTTCCTTCACTCGCACTCCATTTCAGCAAAACCAAAAACACAATCGCATTTTTGACGAACAGTCACTCGTTTTGCACGACGCGCGTCAAACAACTGCGCGCATAGCATCGGAATCAAACAACAAAAGAAGAGAAAGCACAAACAATTGATCGATTTTGCGCTGATGACGCTCACTCCACTCCACTCCACTCCACTCACTCTACTCACTCCACACAATCGACGCCCCAAACGTCAAACTCAACACTAAGAATCAACACGTTGAAAACAGGCATAAAACGCAGGGCATTACAGTGCTCATGCTGGTTGGCTCGGAGCCGCCGACTTTGAGCTGCTGCTGCTCAAACAACTCGCGCTGCTTCTCCAGCTCAACCGACGCCGACTGCCGGCGATACCGCTTGAAGAAGGTCGCCATGAGAGACTAGAAGAGTCAGGTGGTTTAGTGCAAAAGTGGACAGGGCGCGCGCACGACTGGAGCAGAGACGGAAGAAAAAGAAAAAGAGGAAGGTCCCGAAACGAAAAACGAAGGAGGAAACAGAGGACTGACAGTCACCTGAAGAAGAAGAGCTATTTGAAGAGAATGAATTACAAGTGTATTTATACGGGATGCAGTGCTGGAGAGCAAATTGGGCAACGCGAGGCCTTGAGGTGGTCTGTTGGAAAGTGAAACAAACCGACCGGCGATCGTCGCTCAACGGTCACGATCTCGGCCGGAACTTGACATGAAATTGCTACTGAAGCATAGCAGAATGGATGTGCGAGTGTCCTTTGCTGAGAGCGCAGTGAAAGGGCGACAGGCAGACCGATCAGGGCTGAGCCCGAATTCGCAACAGCAGGAATCAAAGCTGGACTATCGCGATGTGACACACAACGCAACGCCAATCGTGATAAACGCACCACCAACAATGGTTTCTGAACAAACAAGAGTTCGCCAAGCATGAGCTGGCCACCGATTCGTCCTTCTCCAAGTTTCAACCACACGTTTTTACCCTTCATGCGAACAGGTTCGCCCAACAGCCGGCCAGCGATCGACGTGAACAGCAGCGTTAGCGAATTTGTGATGGGAACAGCCATGGAGATATCTGCAGGGTAATCGTGACCGTTTCATGTGAGCGAAATCCAACCAGAAAATCAAATGCGGAAACACGGAACGTTACCAGCACTTCCAAGTGTGACAAAGTAGATCAGCGAGCCTGCCTGGTTGATTGCAAACGGAATGATAAACTGAACACATCGATGGGGAAGTGAGTACACTCGGAACCAAACAATAATCTCAGAAATTTGGCGCCAAATCTTCAAAGCGAATCAACCCATCGATGCTGCAGCACACTCACGCGCCACCGCAGCACAGCGTTGGTGAACTGCTCAGCTAGCCATCGTGAAAGTGATAGACGGACAGCCGGGCGTGCAACAGCAGCAGCAGCAGCAGCAACAGCAGCAGCATCAGCACGGCTCAAGTGAGGATGACCGGTTGGACGATCCGCGGCAGAACGCGCGGCCATGAATGGATTGGTTGCACCCCAGCATAGTGCGACAATCACAAACCAGAAGAGCGACCGCAGCGCATCGCTGGTCTCGAGCCCGACGTCCGGCATTGGGGAAGGGGGGTTGTCTGAGATTTGAAGCTTTGGATTCAACAACGAGTGCACAAAATCAGAACTGAGCAGTTGTTAAGAGTCTGAGCGGTAGCTTACAGTGCAGCCCGATTTGCGCTGTTCAACTGATCACACAAGCCAAACACAATTCTTTTGGAATGGTCCAAATCACTGGAAAGACGATTCACAATTGGCTGGACCCTCAAGTTCAGTCTAGACTAGGCACCAGTCAGCTGGCATACCAGTCCACTTACAACCTACCTCCAGAGACATACAGTTTTTAGTGATCCCAGTCTCTGAGCATTGTTTGGTCGCTACTGAAGTTCGGCATACAGTGTAACAGTACTCTAAGGTTCGAACGCAAGAAGCCGCGTGAACCACACATGTATTGGTTGGAAGGTACATGGCAGCATTCGAGTCTGACAGACACACCAAACAACGAGAAGGAAAATCAGGCAACTAGATTCCCACGATGTTCGCGATAGCGTCTATCTGGGGCTCCGTTCTTTCTCAGTTTAGGATTGTATGCGCCCGATGGTTGAAAGTGCAGATAATAGTTCAAGATGTAAAAGACCGTCTCAGGAGAAAAGACAGGAATCGGGAAAAACTGGAAAAACTCTTCGAGCGGTTTGCACAAAGAGGGAAGAACGCCCATACCAGCAAGAGTTGTGCGTGTGAGACGAGCCACATCAGCCGGTTCGCACCTCGAAGCGCGTAAGACTTTAGAAATGTCGGCTGTGTCAAGAATCATCCACGCGTAGGTTGAGCAGTTCAAGTAGCGAGAAGGTCGGCGGGGCAAGATCCAGGATTCGAAGGAATTGAGGAGGTTGTACCGCATGCTATTGTTGCTATGTTGGTTTTTTAGATCGGCCGCCTTGTTTGCCATCAACTGCAGCTGTGCAGGTTTGAACTCCAACTCCACCACATAGTCTGGATCGCGAAGGTCGTCAATATCACTCTCCCAGTCTACGAGCTGGCCCCGATCATCGAGGAGACGCATTTTTGTTTCTTTAACTGGCCAAAAGCTGATATAATTTGGCACGGCGACGGCGACGGGGGCAGCGGCGGGGGCGGCACCAGCTTGGTCGAGGGGCGGAAGAAACATTAGAGCAATGTGACCCACTGAGCACTCCTTCTCATTCTTCGTGATGCCGTCAATCACCGCGGCGTGCGGTTTCCATACGAAGATTCGGACGCAACCCTCGGAAAGTCGTGGCTGCTGGTCGAACCGCAAAGTCGCGGCTTCACGTAATTTTCCGAAATACTTGGTTGTAAAGGCATCCCAGGTCCATTTCTTGAAGCCATCTTTCAAATCTGGCCAGTGCTTTTGAGGCGGGCCGAAAGACAAGTCGCGCATTTTGTTCTTGCCCGTTTGACGAACAACTGCAAAGAATCTGGACCAGAAAGAAGGGTTGTCGTCGGCGAGAGGCACAGCCTGAAAGAAGGCCACACACACCGCGATAACGCCAAGAATCAAAACCAAGAACAAAAAGGCAATACAATAGACCCAGAGCCGCGGGGGGTAAGAGCCGCATAGCACAGTCGCTACGCAAACAATCAACTTGACAGATGTTCTCTCAGGGCGAACACAAGCTGTGGTCGCCGCGACCAGGAGCCAAATCACAAACGCGTCCGCAAGCACGAGAACACCCACGTCCTCTTGCTCTTGGTAGGATTGCCAAGACAGCCAAGCTATGGTCGCAGCTATGATCACTACGTGCGAGAGCGCGCGTCGAGCAAGATGGTCGAGCGATTTAACCACCTCGCTCGTATTGGGCAGCTTGGCTCGTAGAGTTGAAAAGAGCCTTCGAATGCGCTCTGCAGGATGAGTTGATGGTGCGAAACAGGCGTCGTGAGTACAAACCAAGAAAAAAAACCAAAAAAAAAAAGCGCGGGAAAACAAGATCGCTGGTTGTTCGTCACGTCCCAGGGGACCAAAAAAAAAAAAAAAAACCTGCCAAGCGCTTGGGCGGGAAGAGAGCATGCCAAAGGTGCTATGCTAGTAAACCAGAGCTTCACATCGGGATATATATATATGTGTGTGTTGGGGGGAGGGGCGAGTGCCGGATAACATAAAAGCCGTTTCCCGCCCATTTGTTGGTCTTCCTTTACTTTTCGACAACGAAGCACACGCGCGCGTGCGTGTACGGGTGAGTGTGCGAGTGAGTGTAAGTGCGGGTGCGAGTGTGAGAAAGTGAAGTGCGTGAGTGAAAGAGAATAGTGCAGATAATGGGGGATGTATACGGTTTTTACCCATTGCTGAAAGACGAAGAAAAAAAAAAACCGAAATAAAAAAAGAAACGAAAAAAAGGGAACTGCACCAATTTGGATCGGCTCCGCTTCAAAATCAATTGTCGGAAGCTCATCCAGATAGGAAATAGATTCAAGGGTTTAGTAGATGGTACAATCTGAGTCAAGTGAGACATAGTTTATTCGTTTCGATCTGTCGCTTTGACCGTAAGGTGGCGCAAATCTGATCTGTGTGCTCGCAAAAAAAAAAAAAAAAAAAAAAAAAAAAAAAATGTGTTGCACAAAAGCAGCAGCAAATCATTTTCGCATGGGTGTATAGGCTTGCTCGCGAATGACAGCCTGCGCTATCGTCCGTTTCGTCTTGTTCAGCTTGATCTGGGCATCAGACATTGGGGCGCGAACGGAGCCGGCGGGTCTTTGCGTCGCTGGTCGATGGGTCTGATTCATCTGTGATTGAGGATCAACACAGGTCGCAAGATCAGCACCTCCAATAGAAATTGCACTCCTCACATTGCACAACGCCAAAACAAAAAAGAACCCAACATACTGCTGCAGTGATCGAATAGAGTTGCGTCGGCGACCGTGTTCCAAACCCACCGTTCGCCGGGGCTTTCAACTGCTGAACTGCATGCTGCTGTTGTTGCAATGCAGACGACTCTTTCAATGCCCGAAGACGCGCTCCGATGCGATCAACCTTGGAATCATTGAACCGTTGCTGGGCAAAGAATGTCTCGCGCCAGGAAGTGTTTGGCTGTGGGGCGACACCCGGGAACGTGGACTCTGTCAAACGCTTCCAGATGTCGTCGGTACTGCCGACGAGATCGACATTGTTCAGTTCGACGCGAACGAGTTGGCGAGGGGTGCACCGTTGCAATGCAGGAAGTAATGCGTCGAGTGGAAGCAGGTTTCCAAACGAGGTGAAGCGCTCGAGATGGGTTGCAATGACATGTTGACACATGGCTGTCAGGGATGGTATCGCCCGATGGACGGTGGAGGTGACAGTGTGGTGGTGGGTGCTTTCAGAGCGGCCGCCACTGCGAGCAAACGGGTCGTGGCGGGCTGCGCTTGAATGCGGTGCCAAGCTTGGCGTGCGACTGCTTGCGGGTGCCGATGGCATTAACGATGCTGGGATGTTCGCAAAGGGAGATTCGGCGGCGGCTGACGGTGGCGGCGCTGCTATCCGAAGAAGGGATGCGGAGGGAGTTGCAGCAGCGGCCGGGGGGTTTGGGTCGTCATAGCGCAGCTTTTTAGTTGGCGGAGTGTCTGTGGATGCTTCATTGGGGCGCTTGGTTGTCGGGCTAGGGCCAGTAGCATGATGGGAGCTTGGTGGCACGGCCGCTCGGTTGTTTGGAGCTGTTGCGGCCTCGCCCAGCTCGACCGCCTTTCGCCATCGCTCGACCAGACTTGCTGCACGGGTTTGTAATTGTTGGCACACGAGATCTGGCTTGACATGCCGATTGGCGCCCTTTGAGAGTGTTTCAAGTCGTGCGGCGCAGTGTTTCCGGATGGCGTTGACACGCTTCCCGATGCCCGTCTGCCTGAGCGTTTCTGTATCGACTGTGGTTTTCCTGTTCCATGATCAGACCGTTGCCAAACAAAAACAACAAAAACAAGAGTCCATCATTCAATGTCAGTCGGTGAGTGAGATGTTGAGTTGGAAAACACAACAGGTTTGCGACCTACTCGAGCTGTGCAATGATGCCAGTCAGGACGACATAGTCGACTTGAGCTTGAGCTTGAGACTGGGCTTGAGGTTGAGGTTGAGCTTGGGACTGGGACTGCGCGGGTCGCACAGCCAGTGTGGTGCGGTTTGCTTGGTTCGCTGGTGATGATGACGCGCTGCTCACGGCATGCTTGGAGGCGACCAGGCCTCGTGCTTGGGTGTGCAGTGATGACTGGGCTTCTGCAGTGGTCGTGGCTGGCGGCTGAGGCTGCAGCGTTGTGTCAATCTTGGCTGCCAATCGCTTGAGCTCGTCGATGGTTGTCGCAGTCGCCGCCGCCGCCGCCATCACTGAGAATCTTGGGGGACAGAAGAAAGCAGACTGACTATTCATCCCCTTTATTTGTATCACAAATTCAATCGCATCAAAAAGTAGCAATCTTTTGACATGTCTCAGAATTGCTCCTCGCTCTCTCTCGCTCTCTCTCGCTCTTTCTCTCGCTGATCACAATTCAAGTCGCTCTGATTTGCAATTACAGCACAATCTCATCACTCTTTTTTTGTTCATTTTCATTATGGTGTCCCCTGGTGCCGTTCGCTTTGTCCAAGTGCTCTCGGTGCTCTCGTGCATCGGTGTCATTGTCTGCGGCATTCTGCAGCTCAAGAACGGCGGGTGAGGGCCTCGAGTTTCAACTCCATCCATCCATCCATCCATGCATTCTATTTCAATGGATTTGCCGCGGTTGATGTTGTGTGTGTGTGTGTGGGGAAGAATGAGAGAGCGGCGAGATGCCGAAACCAGCGAAACCAATTGAGAAATGGGGTGACTTTGGCACAAACTGGGGCGACCCGCGGCTGGGCTTCCCGCTTTGTCTACTCCTTAGCAAGTCGTGCGTGTGTGTGTGTAGCGAGTGTGTGCAGGTGTTGAGCGGTGCACTTGGACGATGGGAAGAAGCAGCAGCAGTTGAAAAGGAAAAAAAAAAAAAAAAAAAAAAGATCGGTTTTGTATTTTGCGGGTTGTTGTTGTTGTTTGTTGTTTCGTGAACTGTGGCAGATCTGCTTTGTGTGATTTGTGATGTGTGATGTGTGTGTGTTTGGATGAAAGTAGTGAACAAACGGCGGAACTGCTGATGATGATGATGACGATGACGATGAAAGACAACGAGCAAAAGCAAAAGCGGAAGAGTCAAAAAAAAAAAAAAAAAAAAAAAAAAAAAAAAAAAAAAAAGAGGAATTTTTGTGGCAAAATAGCAGTAGAATTGAGATTTTGAAAGGAAGTTGAAGTCGAAGTCGAAGAAGCAATAAGCAGAAGCATCAAGAAGACGGCGTGTGTGCATCATGAGTGGTCATCGAGAGCGAGGTTGCACAGAGTTGCAGAAGAGAGAGAGAAAAAACAAAGCGACCAAAGAGAAGAGAAGAGAAGCCGAAGCCGAAAACTGAACAATGCGAGAGAACATGCTTTTTTGGTCTATGGAATCGCACTCTTGCTCTACTCTTCTACTCTACTCTGCACTCTCATCATTCATCACTCATCATCGACCAATGACGTGCTCTTTCGTCGTCCAAACGCTCGCACTTTTGTCGTTCGTTGGTTTTGTTGTTGTTGTCGCTTCGGTTTTCGGCTGTTGTTGTGGATTTTTTGATTTTGTTTTCTTTTTTCACTTCCGACTCACCTTTCATCCAAACTCGTTTGATATTCAGGCTCGGAAGCGGATCCAGCCTCAATCTCCAATACTGCGAAACTTCACCGACGGAAGCATGCTGGGAAGATGTATGAAACAAGAAAAAAAAAAAAAAAAAAAAAAACTCCAACAGCGAACGATTGAACTTTGACAGCTCAACAACAATGTATGTGATTTGCTGCGGATATCAGAACTATGGGCCCAATGCTGGTTACGCCATGACCCTGTATGGCGGTGTGCTCGTGTAAGTCCTCTGGAGCATCGTTTTGTTGGGGGGAATAGTTCGGCTCTCACTCATGTTGTGAATTTGGCTGCAAAACAGTGCCTTTGGCTGCATCCTCTTCATGGTTGGCGCTCGTAGCGAGGGCTGGTTCCCTGCTCTTCAGGTACAATTGCATTTTTGCCACGTTTTGTGTTGGTAGTGTTAGGACAGCTCTTTGGAACTCATCAAACCAAACAAAACAGCCCTGGCGGTACTGCGGTGTGGCTCTTCTTGGCACTGGCATCTGCACGCTCGGATCCGCTGCTAGTAAGTTGGTGCCTGTTCTTGCTAACAACCAAACTCGTGTTCTTTGCGGCTAACACTTCGTTGCCGTTTTTTTTTCTTCTTCTTCCTTTTCGTGCTTTTGCAGACCTCGGCATCATTCTCGGCGGCTTTGCCATCCTTGTTGGCCTCACCATGTTCCTCATGGCTGTGATTAGCAACGTCGAGTACGGCATGGAGCCTGGCAAGGAGCCCTGGATTCCGCTTGGCATCATCACTTTTGTGCAGCTCATGGCTGCCCTCTGGGCTATCGGCGCCATCGCTGTCGGCCTCATGTGCATCATTTCTCAGGTACAGGAATCGACTCGAGTTATCGACAACGGGAAGCACTTGGTCGAGCGAAAAAATTGAACTCACTATCCTTCTCATCCTTTTTTTTGTTCTGTTTTTGCTTCGAGCAGGCACGCAACGACACCAAGCTCGAGTGGTGCAAGACCCAATCTGGTCAAGACGATGAAGTCTGCTGGACGTAAGTTTGAACGTAAAGTAGCGTTGAAATTATGACAAAATGCTCAACTTGTCTGCTTTTCTTTTGCTCCAGTCAAACATACAACACCAAGTTTGCCTACTGCTGCTACGGCGCTGGTCTCATGTACGTTCGATCTAGTGACATGGTGCGGCGTTGTTTTCTCGCATGATGCTGAACTGTTTGTTTGTGGCAGGATCTTTGGCGCCATCGCGTTTATTGCCACTATTCGCTTCAAGAACTGGTTCCCGTCGCTCTACCAGTGGAATGTCCTGTCGCTCGTCCACGTACGTTGGTCATAGTATCGCTGTGCTCGCTCTGCATCTCCAAAACACGCCTGCTAACATTTGTCGCCGTTGTCGCTTTCCCCAACAGGTTTTCGTTGGTGTCATTTCTCTCGGTGCTACCGGCAACACTGGCATCATTCTTGGATCGCTGGAGATTGGATTTGTGAGTTTGTGGTGGTGGTCGGAAAGGATTGACGTGCGGTTTGTTTGTCGGCGGAGCAATCTCGCTCAAATGTTGCTTCCGATATTGTCCCATGTGCACACAGGGTGGCATCATGATGCTCATGTTCATCTTCTTCTCGGTCACATCCGGCCCCAAGTCCCTCTAAACCACCAGGGAGTGAATGCAGTTTGGAGAAAACTCGACTCGATAGTTGTTACGCCTTTTTGTTGTTTTTCCGTTTTGTTGGCGACAGTGTGCATGTGGCTTTATCATTGTCATATCATTGTCATAAATCTTCAAATCTCGAAATACTTGCTTCCATTCTGGCCTTTGGATTGAGAATGAAACTAACGAAAAACTCCCTTACTGCTGTGCCCGTCGACAATGTGCACAAATGAACGAGTCCAAACAATGGAAACAGCCAACCGTAGTCAAAAATAATCTCAATTGGTATTGTACAAATAAATACAACAATACAGTACATGCAAACAAAAAAAACAAAACAACAAAAGACAAAGCACTAATCGAGCCGCGAGCGACGAGACGGCCTGTGACCATCATCGACAGGATCTGCAGCAGGCCGCTTTGACGTTGGCGGCTCGACTCGAGGTTTTTTTCTGGAATGGGAGTGGGCAGCGGGCGCGTCGTCGGCAGGCCGCTTGGAGCCGTTTCGCTCGGACTTATGGGCGGTCGCTGATGGGGCCGGTGCGCCCAGTGTTGAAGGGTCGGCGGGATGAGGCGCGTCCTTTGTCGCTGGCAGTGTCGTCGACCTTGTTCGACTTGAAGGGCCGAAACGTACGGCCGGCAGTCGTGTGGTCTTCATCCTCCGCATCCTCATTTTCATCCTCGTCTTCGTCCTCGTCCTCTTCGTCGTCGTCGTTGTTGGTGTTGTCGAGGTCTTCGATTGTAGCACCCTTGGTTTCATTCTCAGTGTCCATCGGGGTGGCGGAAGTGCGGCCAGTCGCTTCAATTTGCTCGACGCTAAAGACAAACTTGCTCGTTTCGCGGTTGGCCGAGATGCGAACAATGCTGTGGTCGGGCAGATTGCCGGAAATGATCATGCGACCAAGCTCCGTGACCAGGTTGCGCTCAATGTAGCGACGCATGGGACGCGCGCCGTACACGGGGTCAAAGGACGCCTTGAGCACAAGGTCGGCGCCGGAAGGATCGAGCTCGATCTGAATGTCGCGCTGCGCAAGACGCGTGGCAAGCGAGTTGAGCTGCAGCTGGACAATCTGGCGGAGATGGCTCTTGTCGAGGGGCGTGAAGATCACAATGTCGTCGAGACGGTTGAGGAACTCTGGGCGGAAGTGACCGCGAACGGCGCCCATCACTCGGTCCTTGGCCTCGGGCTTGAGCTCGCCGTTGGCATCGATGCCACCGTTGACAAGGTACTCGGAGCCAAGGTTGCTCGTCAGGATGATGACCGTGTTGCAAAAGTTGACAGTGCGGCCTTGCGAGTCCGTGAGGCGGCCATCGTCGAGAATCTGGAGCAGCACATTCCACACCTGAGGGTGGGCCTTTTCAACCTCGTCGAACAGCACGACAGAGTACGGACGGCGGCGAACGCGCTCGGTCAGCTGGCCACCCTCGTCGTGGCCAATGTAGCCGGGCGGGGCGCCAATCAAGCGGGCGACAGAGTGCTGCTCCATGTACTCGCTCATGTCAAAGCGGATGAGCATCTTTTCGTCGTCAAAGAGCTCCTCGGCCAGGGCCTTGGCCAGCTGCGTCTTGCCGGTGCCGGTCGAGCCGAGGAAGAGGAAGGAGCCCGTCGGCTGGTTTTCGCGGGCGAGGCCAGCGCGGGTGCGCAGAATCGCCTCCGAAACGGCATCCACAGCTTCGTCCTGGCCCACCACCTTGCGGTGGAGGGAGGCTGCAAGGTGCAGGACGCGATCGCGCTCGCTTTGGTTGAGGCGCGAGATCGGGATGCCCGTCCAGCGGCTCACGACATCGGCAATCTGGTCGGGGCCAACCACTTCAGTCACAAGGCGGCCAGAGGACGAGAAGGGCTGGTTGGCGCCGGTCTTGGTCTTGGCAGAGGCGCTGGGCGAAAGCCGGCCGTCGACCTTGCGTTGCTGCTCTTCGGCGTCATGGGCTTCGCGGTGGCGCTTGGCTTCGCGCTCCTCCTCCTCGCGGAGGCGAGCCTCTTCCTGGGCCTCTTCTTGGGTCAGGATGGCAATCTTGCGCTCGAGCTCGGGGATGGCACCGTAGCGCAAGTCGGCCACGAGGGCCAAGTCGCGACGGCGCTCGGCCGTGTCCGCCTTGGTCTTGAGGTCTTCGAGCTTTTGGCGAAGGTCGCGCAGCTCGTTGACGCGACGCTTTTCGCTTTCGTAGCGCATGACGAGGGGTTGGATTTCCTCCTTGATGTGGGACAGCTCGTCGTGCACGGCCTTGAGGCGTTGCTTGGAGGCGGCATCCTTCTCCTTCTCGAGGGCGGTCGCTTCGACCTCCAGCTGCAGGCGGCGGCGCTCCAGCTGGTCGATGATCTCGGGCTGCGAGTCCAGCTGAACGCGCGTGTTGGCGCAGGCCTCGTCCATCAGGTCGATGGCCTTGTCGGGCAAAAAGCGCTGGGTAATATAGCGGCCGGCAAGCTGGGCAGCCATGACAAGCGCGCTGTCGGTAATGTGCACGCCGTGGTGCGACTCGTAGCGCTCCTTCAGGCCGCGGAGAATCGAGATGGTGTCTTCGACGGTCGGCTCCGAGACCAGCACTTGCTGGAAGCGACGCTCAAAGGCCGCGTCCTTCTCGACATGCTTGCGGTACTCGTCGAGGGTGGTGGCACCAATGCAGCGCAGCGAGCGGGCGAGCATGGGCTTGAGCAGGTTGGCAGCGTCCATGGCGCCGTCGGCCTTGCCGGCACCGAGGACGAGGTGGATTTCGTCGATAAAGAGAATGACGCCTCGGTCCGAGTCCTCGACCTCCTTGAGCACGGCCTTGAGACGCTCCTCAAACTCGCCGCGGTACTTGGCGCCGGAAACGAGCGCGCCCATGTCGAGCGAGATGAGACGGCAGCGCAGGTTGTCGGGCACGTCGCCGCGCACAATGCGCTGAGCCAGGCCCTCGACAATCGCGGACTTGCCGACGCCAGGCTCACCTATGAGCACGGGGTTGTTCTTGGTGCGGCGGGAGAGGACGCGAATGACGCGGCGAATCTCGTCGTCGCGGCCAATGACCGGGTCGAGCTTGCCCGCCTCTGCATCTGCAACGAGGTCGTGCCCGTACTTGGCGAGCGCGTCGTAGGCCGTGTCGGACGACTTGGACTCGACCTTGTGCTTGCCGCGGACCTCCTTGACGGCGGCGTCGAGCGCGGTCTGGGTGAGCCCGCCCTCCTTGAGCGCCTCGGCGACCTGGCGATCCTCAAACAGGGCCATGAAGAGGTGGTCTACGGCGAGGTGCGAGTCGCTCTGCTTGCGTTGCGCCGTCTGTGCGCTCCGCAGAATCTTGATCAGCGCCGAGCTTGGCGCGACCTGGTCTGGCGCCGGGTCCTGGCTGGGCGTGCGGTTGAGCTGGCGCTTGAGTGCGCGCTCGCAGTTGGTAAAGTCGACGCCTGCGCGCTGGCAGACTGCCCGGGCGAGGCCGTCCTCGTCAGCAAACAACGCCACGGCGACATGCAGCGGGGTCATTGCGGCGTGGGCGTTGTCCAGCGCGAGCTGCTGAGCGGCCGCAAGCAGTGCGTTCGTCTTGTCGGTAAAGTGCTCGGGGTTCATTGTGCTGCTTTGCTTTGTGAGCTTGCTTTGTGTAAAAGTCAAAGCGTCAGAGTGCGAAATTCAAAAAAAAATTTTTTTTTTAAAAAAAAAAGGTTGTCGAGAAAGCGAAAGAAAAGCGAAAAGAAAGGCGAAAAAGAAAACGCGAAGAAGTGGCGATTTTGTGTTCGAGTCTTTGGAGGACCTCGCTTTCAGAAGAGAGAGAAAGAGAAAAGGCAAAGTCAAGGAATAAGGAAGGAAAAGGAATGAGATGTTGATTGATTGTCTGAGATTCGGATGAAGAAGAAGAAGACTGAGAAAGACTTCAAAAAGAAAGGAAAAAGAAGACTGAGTTACAAAACGGGAAAAAGTTGGTCGGCTTTTAAATACGTTTGGTTTCTTCGAGCAACTTCCAGCGAGTGCGAGGCGCTTCGAGGTTGCTTGCTGCCCCAACTGCGCCTTCCCCGTTGCTTGAAAGAGAGAGAAAGAGAGAAAGAGAGAGAGAGAGACATTCGAGATTGTTGCTCTTTGGCTTGAACTTGGGCGGCCAAGAGCGCTGGAAAAAAAAAAGACGGGATTCGAGATTGAGGTGAAATTGAGCGAAAATCAATCTGTCATCGCCTTACTGAGGACTCGAAGCGTACCAGGGAGTTTACTGCAAAAAGCAATCAGCGCCATCATGTCAATGTGTTATGGATTGATGTGTATCTGTATTTGGAGTGTGTTCACTCGTCGCTTTGTATAAGTGAAGTCTCTTGTTTCCCTATTATCACTCTCATCATCAACCCATTACTCGTATCTTCGTGGAAGGATCTCTGATCATAACATTTTGGGCCAGAATTCGGCGCAGGTGGAGGAGAATCTGTCGCCAGAGAAACGCTCCTCATCAACCACATTGCATCTCAAACTGATCTCGTAAATTCAGACCTGACGATCAGTCCATTTTATCTTCCTGTCATGAAGCACTCGCTTTGGCTGCCGGTCGCTGTGGCTGCGCTGCTCGCCTTGCTTGCCGCTCCATCACACCAGGTTACCATTCCCCACCACCACCACCACCACCTGCAACCCAATCGACACTCTGAGCTTGTTGTGACTATGTGTGCAGTGACTCACCATCGTATTGCATTCGAACCGACGTGCAGGCGGGTGAAACCAATCCCGACAACATCCCGACCGCGAACTGCTTCCCGTGGACCAATCCTGGCCTCGACGGTGCGCGCGCTGCCCCTCTGAACCACATTGGTATGTGTGTGTGTGTGTGTGTGTGTGTGTGTGTGTGTGTGTGTGTGTGTGTGTGTGTGTGTGTGTGTGTGTGTGTGTGTGTGTGTATGTGTGTGTCTCTCTCGCTTGGCCTTTGTCGCTCGTTATGACTGGTCGCATCCCTGCCGCTAATGCTCCGCTCTCTCTCGCGTTTCACTCGCTCAACCCCCCCCCCCGCCCCGCCCACTCTCATCTTCTCAGTCATGTTTGAAAACACTCAAGTCCGCGTCATTGAAGTCACCAACGCGCCTTCTCCAAAGAACCGGGTAACTACAAAAAACAAATTCACCACCAATCTTGATTCTGATTGAGCCCTTGTTTTGTCCGCAGTATGGCTCAACCATTGCCATTGTCGTGGCTCAACTTTTTTTTGCCTGGGTTGAATGCGCATTGACCAAAAGATTGGAGCAAAATTTAATGGAGCTCTCTCACTGTATTGGAAGCGCCGTCTGTCTCACCATTGTGACTTACTTCACTTGTTGTTCTGCTGTGCCAGTACCACACGCATCCACGCGCGAGTCTCTTTATGGAAGACAAGTCGTCCAGCGTCCGCCATTACAACGCCCATGGCATCATCACCACAGTGCCTGCGCTGCCGCCGCCAGTCCCCGTCTCTGACTACAACTCACCCATGACGGTTGACAACGGTCGCGTCTACTTTATGGCACCGTCAGTTCAAGATGTTGAGTTGTCTTGCGTGTGAACGACCTATAACCCTTTCTCACACTCGCTCGTATTGACTGAAATTATCGTTGCTGCATCAGAAACGACATGCACAGCGTCGAGAACGTCGACAACAAACCGTTCCACGCCATCCGACTCGAGATGAAGACCCTGAACACGTCCTTCTCCCAGCTCCCCTGCCCCACAGTGCCATGCGTGGACTCGACTGACATGGAGTTTGCCAGACGCGCCGCTATTGAGCGTTACGACATGCCGTACAAGTACGTTTTTGACCGCGAAGATGCGCTGTTGTTGGTGGTGGTTTTTGGCTTTTAACAAAACTCCTTTTTGATGCTGCCGCTGACACAGAGTCGTAGACCCCGTCCCCACGGCAAAGTGCTTCCCTTGGAACAGGCCGGAGCTCGATGGACCCGTTGCTGCCTATCAAACCGAGAAGGTTGTCCTGGAAAATGAAGTCATCCGAGTGCTCGACGTGACGATCAATCCTGGGCAAACCGAGGCCAACCACACGAGCCCGTACCCGGCTGTCTTTATCATGGATAAGAATGCCGGCATTCTCATCACCTCGGCGACCACTGGTGCCGTGATTCACCAGTCCATTCCCGCGGTGACGGATCCCGTCCTGTACGATGCTGGCAGCTCGTTTGCCAACGGCAAGATTCTCTACTTTGGCGTGCTTGGACTCCACAACATCCAAAACATTGACAACAAGCCCTTCCATGCCATTCGCGTCGAGCTCAAGCAGCAGAACGTGGAGCTTCCATGCTGATGATCGACTTGCACCGATGAAAAGTTGTTCACTTACGTGAATCCAAAGTCTCTCTCCATGCTCAAAATCGTAGTAATTTTCATCGTGATTTGTTTTGTCGAGGAGTAGAGCACAGTAGTCTTCCTTTGTTTTTTGCAACGTTGAATGAGATGCAAGTGCGCCATGTAGTATTCCTTCTCGCGCTGCTCTTCGCCAATGGCGACGCCGGTCCAGTGCAGCTGCGCGTGTTTTCCACATTCAGCACTCTGACGGGCGATTTCGGAGGCCTGGCAGAGGCGCATCGCGTTTGCCAAGTCGAAGGCGATCGCCTGAATGCTCAGACCGACCAGCCGCGCGAATGGAAGGCAATCTTGGCGTCGTGCGAGGACGGCGTCGCCCGCAGGTGCTCTCCAGCCAGCATGCCGAGCAGTCTGCATGGCGTGCTGCAGTTTGTCAATGTCCGCGGTGAGCTGCTCGGGAACTCGAGCGCCGAGTTGTTCGCTACGACTGGTTCTGGGCAAATCGGCGGGACGCTGGGCGGCGTGCTTCACCCGCTTCTGCTGCCCAATGGCGCCCTTCCACTGCCCGGTGAAGTCGACACTGCATGGACTGGGTACAATGCAGCGGGCAACGCCGAGCCAGCAGGGCACCAGTGCCTGCTTCATGACACGTCATCCCACGAAAAATCGTGGCGCAATGCGAATTCGGACGCGACAGGCACCATTGCGAGGATTGTCGTTGCGGAAAAGCAAGAAGAGTTCTTGGCAAGCAAGTACGCAGCTGTGGCTGGCAACCACCTTGGTGGCGACGACGATGAGCACGACTCGGACGTCGAAATGAAGGATTTCAGCGACGCGCTGGTGTCGCCGTTCGAGCTTGCAGTGTCGGGCGGCCAGCCCATCGTCCCATTGAGCCAAGAGCGAGGGCGAGATGGAACCATTGTGCATTCATGGTGGATGGCCTTTGTTGCGCCTTGCAATCAATATCACCGATTGATTTGCGTCGAACGTGCGTGCACATCCTTCTTGAAGCTTTCTATGGATGGCAGTGGTAGCAATGCACTCATGGCCTCTTTTCGTTGTTTCGTATTTGGCTTCGTTGCTTTCGTCACAGAACCAATATTCACATCAACCCAGAACGGCCTTCCAGTCGCAAAGGGCTTGCCTGCCGCCCAGTATGATGGCCCGAGTCGTTTGCAAACGACTCCGCTGGCGGACACGTGTGTTCAGTCACGCTCTAGTGCAGGCAATCAGGGATACCTGACAGACAACTTTTTGTGCTGTGGGCAACGCGGAGTGATTCACGCCGTGTCCGACCGCGTTCTCGTTTGCAGCTGGACATCCAACGCTGGCATCGAGTACACTTCGTCTGCCTTCGCTGCAGTCCAGATGGTGCCCGAGATGGACTGCTTCTGCGAGTGCACTGTCATGTTCTGATCGCTCGGCACCCAACCTCCTGGTGTCAACTTTTCATGTACTTTGAACTAGCAACGTTTTTGTTTTTTGTTGCACCCCAGACAAAGAAGAGAAAAATTGTAGTTTTAAGTTGTGTACAAAGCTGAAGCAAAGGATTGGAAGAAACACCGACAAATCGGGGAGGCTCACTGCAAAGAAAAAAAGAAAACCAAACAAGTAAACCGTTTACTTTTTGCCACCAAGGCCGCCCATGCCTCCCAAACCGAGGTTGTTCATCATATCACCAAGACCACCCATGCCGCCTGACGTGAACTGCTTCATCATGTTTTGAATGCCGCCCATGCCACCTGTTGAAAGGGGACAAACCAAGAAAGGAAGCGTCAGAAACAATGCCAGCGAAAGCCCGTCTTCACAAATCAGAGCAAAATTCTCATACCCATTTGCTTGAGCACGCGAGGATCCATCATCTTGGCCATCTGTGCGTTGAGCTGTTGCATCTGCGCGGGATTGACGTTGCGCGACATGTCGCCGCCCTTGAACAAGCCCTTCATGCCGCCCATCTGCTTGACCATTGCGGCAAACTTCTTGTACTGTGCCAGCAAGTCTGCGACCTCTCGCGGGTGAGCACCGGCGCCTCGAGCCACGCGCATGCATCGGTTTGGTTGAGTGGTAAAGATTTTGCCGTCGCTGTCGAGTTCTGTGTGCAGTTGTAGACAAGTAGTAAGCGATTACCCATTCCAACCACTTTCAAGGTGGCTTTTTTTGTGTACCTGTATCTGTCATGGAGTCCATAATTGTCATACACCGCTTGAGGCGACGCATCGACTCTTGCTCGGAACCCTTCGTGATGAGTTCGGAATCAAATCCAGGGATCATGCCCATGATTTTGCCAAAGGGGCCCATCTTCATGATGTTCTGGAACTGCTCGTACATGTCTCGCAGCGAAAAGACACCGGCCTGGAGCTTTGTGAGCAGCTCCTTGTTGTTGTCGAGCTTCAAGTCTTGCACGACCTCCATCAGGCCACCAATGTCTCCCATACCTGGGGGGGGGGTTGCACAACAAACAGGTCAATTAGAATGTCCACGGACGGCAATGGGCATATGGTGCAGGAACTGGGGATCGAGAGCGACAGCCGTTGTTCGCGCTTACCGAGAAGTTTGCCGATGAATGCCTTGGTCTCGAAGCGTTCGAAATCCTCCATGTGCTCACCAGTACCGATGAAAATGATTGGCGATTGTGTAGCGGCAACTCTGTCAGCAGCAGCAAACGAGGAAAAGCGGAAGCCAAACGAAAAAAAAAAAAAAAAAACGATCAACAAAACGAGAAAACAAATCCAAAATGACAGTCTCTCCATTCCCCAGCACCAACTCAAACCCAACAAAAAGCTTTTTTAAAACTTCTCAAACTTACGCGGAAAGCGCACCACCACCCTTGGCATGACCATCGAGCTTGGTCATGATGACCGAACCGACATCGACGGTGGCCTTGAAGGCCTGAGCCTGGCCGAGGGCAGCCTGACCGATCGTCGCATCGAGGACAAAGATGACATTCTGGGGGTCGACAGCCTTGGAGATTTGGAGCATCTCCTCAAAGAGACTGGCCTCCTGCTTGTGGCGACCGCTGGTGTCGACAATGATAATCTCAAAGCCCTCCTTCTTGAAGCGCTCCACACCCTCCTCGGCAATGAGAACGGGGTCTGCCTCAGTGTAGCTACCGTAGAAGGGGATGCGCGCCTTAGTGGCGTTCTGCTTGAGCTGGTCAAAGGCGCCAGCACGGAAGGTGTCCGCGCAGACCAAGCACGTCTTCCAGCCCTTCTTGTGGTAGTAGTAGGCGAGCTTGGTGCACGTGGTGGTCTTGCCGCTGCCTTGCAGACCAACAAACATGATGACGTTGGGCTTTCCCTTGACTGGCTTGTACGGCGCAATGCCCGGGTCCACGAGTCTGCAGAGCTCGTCGTAGACTGCCTTCTGGATGACGCGCTTCTTGTTCAGTCCCGCGGCCATTTCGTCAAAGTTGACTGCGGCCTTGACGCTCGTTCTGTGAGTGAGAGTGAGAAGGGGGGGAGGGAGTGAGTGAGCAGTGCGAAGTGAGAAGGAGGAAGGGAGCATTTGCCAGTCTCTGCGGCTGTCTCTCTCGCTGTCCGTCCGACCGACCCCCCCCCCCACCGCGGCCCATCTCACAAGTGCTCGTGACACTCTCTTTTGTTTTGTGATCGCAGTGGGGCTCCTCCACTGTTGATTTGCAGCAAGACCAACGACCATTTGTCATGAGGCTTTTTATTGTTTCTCGCCCTTTCTCTTGCTGTTTGAATGCCTGGTTTGATCTGCCGCAGCTCGCCAAGTGGCGTTGTGCATTGTAAAAGCCTTGAACGAAACGGGAGAGAGAGAGAGAGCAGAGAGGCATGGAAAGCAAAGCATGGAAAGCAAAGAACAGACAACACTAATGGAAACGCCATACAAAAAAAAAAAAAAAAAAAAAAAAAAACCACACAGCAGCGGCCAGCGCGGCTCCATGCTGGCAAACGCGTTGGCTGCGTTGATAGCCTGCGTTTTGACTTTGATCACTCCTGCGACTGGTACGAAATACGATATGGCTATGCTGTGATATTGTTTGCCACCAACACTCCACCCCCCCCCCCACACACAACAGCTCGCAGTCTGACGCGCTCACCGAAGCTTCATGACGAGCTTGACGTTGACGTCCGCCTCGAGCAGCGCAGTGCAAATCTCCTTCAGCATGGCGTCGAGAACCTCCTCGTCAATCACTGCCGAGGCAGTCATGTTGCGCAGCGCGCCGGTGATCTTGCGTCCGAGGTCGGCAAGAACCATGGCTGAAGTAGAACGATTGAAAGATGGAAGGAAGAGTGAGCAGTCCTCTTCCTCTTCTTCTTCTTCTTGTACATTCCCTTCTGATTGAAACAATGCCGCTGTGTGATATTCCCCCTATGCATGGCGCGCCGCCAGTGTCGCTGCATTACGTGGTTGAGGGCCGCGGGCCGCGTCGGATTCTGTTTGTGATGGGCCTGGGCGCGACGCTGGACGGGTGGATGTTCCAGCACGCGCACTTTGGCAAGCGCCATCCAGACAAGTACACTGTGTGCGTGTTTGACAACCGCGGCATTGGCGAGTCGGACTACAACTCGACCGTCAACTCGACCTCGATCATGGCGAACGACGCGTTGGCGCTCCTCAATCACCTCGGCTGGCACTCGGACGTCCACCTCGTCGGCATCTCCATGGTACAAGCGCTTTCCTCCGCGTACACGCACACACACACATCCCGCCTTCTTTGCTGTTGGAGTGATGGAGAACGTGTTCCAAAACAAGCCGTCGGCGCTTCGAGTCGGAGTTTGGTTTTTGGTCATTTTGACGTGTGCGGTTGGGGTTCTGCTGTGTTTGCTGCGTTCTGCTGATAGTTTGGCAAGCGACAGCATGATCGTGATAACCATGTGGTCCGTGGACGGCGGAGAGAGAGAGAGAGAGCAAGTGAGAAGAGGTGCGAAAACGAGGCGTTTTTGGATGAGCAATCCCCGCCTCCGCCCTGCAATATCAGCACACAATGAGCCAAGTTCCGCTCTCTGCTGCTCGCAGCACTATTTGGCAATGCTCATTCCGAAGCCCGTGACGACATTTTTGATCGAGTCGTCCAAACCGAAGCTCAATCCGGTTCATGAGTTTGTTTTTGGTCGCTTCCACTCACCGCCTTCGCTCACCTCTTTTGGCACAATCTTGACGCATAGGGCGGTATGATTTCAATGGAAGCGGCATCCCGCGCTCCCGAGGTCTTTGCGTCGCTCACACTCGTCAACACGCATGCGGGAGAGTGGAGACCAACTCCGTTGGCAACCTCGGCGCTGTTTCTGCGATCCATGACCGCAAAAGATACCACAGTGCGTCCCACCACTCTATCGTTTCGTTTCGCAGGATGTCTATTGATGTCATGAAGAGATATCCGGTTTTGCTGACAGTCGTTCCTGTGTTATTTCGCTGCAGTCACGTTTGGAAGCACTCTTCCGGCTGCTTCATAGCCATCGCCTCGACCCCAAGGGGCAGCGCGGGAAGGCCATCATCGAAGCGCTTCGCATGCGCATTGCGAAAGGGCGTCCTTCTCGGTTTGGATTTCTCGGACAGCTTGGGGCCGTCTTCCGCCACTCGGTCTCGGCACGGTAAACAAAGCGCATCTGCTTTTGTCTTTTTTTTTTTTCCTTGTTTTTTTTTTTTTATTCGAAGTAGTTACAGCTCCACCCCCCCCGTCACTTACGTTTGTTACTTTGTGTGCGTGTGTCTCACCCCCACAGTCGACTCGCTGCGCTCAAGGCCACTGGACTCCCAGTCCTGATCTGCGTCGGTACGGACGACATTCTTGTCCGCCCGCAGCGATCGCACGATCTGCACCGCCATTTGGGTGGAGTGCTTCGTGTTTTTGACGGCGTCGGTCATGCCCTTGTCTCTGAAGCGCACGACACGTTCAACACTGTTCTGGAAGATCACGTTCGAGCCCACGACCCGGCTGACGTGCACGGCGTGCGTCCCGTGGCGCGGGTGCCCAACTTTGACACCCTGCCGGCCATTGATAGCCTGTTTTTGATGATGGAGTCGCCCGAAAACTCCATGTCGATTGCAGGTGTGAGCATGTTTGACAGCAAGGATGCTCCATCACACGCAGAGCTCATCACGCTCCTCCACAAATGGACGCACCAATTCCCTCGACTGCGCCAGCGAGTGATCAACTGGCAAGCCGATGCATCCTCCTCGGCCAGCGGACCGCTGTCTTGGGTTGACGACCCAACCTTTGACATTACGCGACACGTCAAAGTCATTTCAGTCACGCCCGAATCCCGCCTGACCGTGCAAGAGGCGATCGGTCGCGAGCTGTCGCGTCCGTTGCTCCGAGACCGCCCGCTTTGGAATGCCGTCTTGTTCGATGGCGTTCCCCTTGCAGGCGTGACCGCGGCCGACGGCAAGACCGTGTACGGCGCTGAGGCTCGGGGCACTGCCCTGTTCATCCAGCTCCATCACGCCATTGCTGACGGCGGCCTGAGCGTTCATATGATTCTCGCCCTGTGCCAGGACTCGTCCACGGCCGCATCATCTGCTGCTGCGTCTGCCTCTGGCACCACAAGCACGCACCCACACAAGGCCGATTCCGCGGACAACTTTGGGTCGACTGCCCCGCTTGCAGTGCATTTGCAAAAGCACGACCCACACCAGCCCATCACACGGGCAGATCCCGCTTTGGTGAGCCGAACGTCCGCGGCGGAGAGCCACGCGCGTGTGGTCGAGCCAAAGATGCAGCGCAAGCGCCACTACGCGCAATTGCCGGCGCTCCGGTCGCTCTACTTGCTCGCGTCGTCCGTCTGGGCGCTGCTGATTGGCATTATTGCATGGCTCGTGTCTGCTGTCGGAGTCGGCATCAAGATGCTTGGGGTCAACCGTCTGGGACAGAGCCCGCTGCTGTACATGGACGGCACCCCGCGATCGAACGCGTCCCTCTCGTCCGTCATTGCGACGAGTCAGCAGCGCTTGAATGCTGCTCTCGACTGGCTCTCGCGAGGGGAGAGCGTCTGGAGTGTCATGAATGCGCTGCGTGGCCACTCGGGCGTGGACGTGCTCAGGCGGCTCAGCCAGCACGCTCAGTTTGCGCGGGTCTGAGACTGACTCGTTGCCTTTGAGCTTGCCGGGCATGACGCCGACTATCGCGACAGTATTGCGTACCCCTGACGAAGCCCAAGTGGGTTGCGTGGACCAAGCCACTCAACCTGGTGGAGGTCAAGCGCATCGGTCGCGCATTCGGTGTCACCGTCAATGATGTTCTGGTGGCGTGTGCCGCTGGTGCGTTCAATCGCGCCTTCCAGATGTCCCATCCGGGCGCCATCCCTGCCGAACTGCCGGTGCTCATTCCGTTCAACATGCGATCGCGCTTGTCGTCGCCCTTTTCGACCGCAGCCATCCCCAATGAAGCGGGCGTCGCCGCCTCGGCCAACCGCCATGCCTTTGCCAAGGCTGCGTCGAGCAGTCCCAAAAAGGGCGCGTCGGCCATCAAAATGGGCAACCAATCCACGATGGTGTGGTCCTCGCTGGCCACGGGCTCGAATTGGACGGCAGCTGCCCGTCTGAGCGAGACTCGCCGCCGCATGGACTTGCTCAAGCAATCGGCCGAGCCAATGCTTGCGTGGCTGACCGTCGCCCTCGTCGGTCTGATGCCCACCGCGATTTCCAAGTGGCTTGTCGGATTTTACGGAGACAAAGCCGCCGCCGTCATCACCAACGTCCCCGGTCCGCAGCTTCCGCTCACGATCGGCGGCCACCGCTTGCTGTCCTACACTGGCTTCATCCCAACCCCTGGCGCCAAGGGCGTCGGGCTGACCATCTTTTCGTACAATGGCTCTGTCTCCGTCTCGATGACTGGCAGCTGCCGCCTCAAGCCATCCGTTGCCACGCTCACTGGCGCGTTTGAAGATGAGTTTGCTGCGCTGACTCGTGCGGCGAACGACGTCCGGTGAATTGTTGTTGTTGTTGTTGTTGCATGAGAACGGCATTTGTCAAACCAAAAAAAAAAAAAAAAAAAGGACTATTTGCCCTTGATGACCATCTCGAAATCGAACCTGGCATTTTTGACGATAAACAAGTGCATGCGATTTAATGATGAATCGATCATAGGCTCAGAAATCGGATTTCCTTTTGCAGTCGCCGTTCTCTTTTGATCTAGTACGCATTTACCCAGCTGAGATGAACACCCAGCGTCGTTGGCGGAGTGGTTAACGCGGCAGACTTGAAATCTGCTTCTCGAAAGGGAGCATTGGTTCAAACCCAGTACGACGCGAACTTTTTCTTTTTGTCCATATTTGGATGGTTTTTTTTTTTTTTTTGGGTTTCAGAACTCTGCTTCCTCCTTTTGCCACAACAAATATGCCTTAAACAACTGCTCTTTGCTCATACTATGCTCTTTTTGCAAGAGAGAGGACCTTGGCGGAAAACACGAGCCAAAAACTGAATTTTCGCTTCGAAACACGATTTTCCCACTGCCAAGCGGACAACTCTCTCGTTCCATTCATCAATACTCAACCCAAGAGAACACAATACGAACAACCCTGATACCCCGAAGGAATACATTTATTGGTCGATGCTGAGCTCATCACAGCTCTGTGCGGTCACCGGCCGGCTTGCTCTTCGCCTTCTTGGCAGCCTTCTTCTTTTGCTGGAGCTCGTCAATCAGACGCGCGGTAGCTGCAGCAGGCGAATCGTTCTCGACGGGCTTGCGTTCGTCCACGGCCGGGCTGGAAGAATCACTGTCAGAGTCGAGGGCAGCGCCGTCGTCCGCCGAGGGCTTCTTGTTCTTCTTGTACTCGTTGTACTTGATCAGCAAGTCGTGCCGTTGTTCCAGAATAATCTCCAGCGCGCGAGCGTAAATTTCTTTCTGGCCAATGCGGAAAATCAGCGCGTGTCGCAGCCTGGGCGCGAGTGACGACCCGGACCGGTCCAGCGTAGCAATGTCCTCCTGCAACGCGATCCAAGCAAAAGCAAACCCGTCAGATCGAGGCAAGCAGGAAGGAACCAAACGTTTCATGCGAACGAAACCCTGGCATTCGAAACGAAATAGTAATAAAATAAGCTCGTGAATAAAACCAAGTCGAAATCGTACCTCAAGCGTCGTCCACTGGTAAGAACGAGCCGCAATGATCTTCTCGCCGAGAAATTCGAGAACATCGATTTCATTCCTCATACTCAGCTTGGAGGTCTTGCAGACCAGCTTTCCATGCTTTTCCTGGTACTGCTCAATGCGACGAAGCTCTTGGGGATTGGCCAGTACAACACGCACAGCTGCCAGCAAGTCTGGGTGGAAGTACTTCTTTTTGGTGTCGAGCAACGAGAACTCGGTAAAGTCGCTGAAGAAACAAAAAAAATATACCCAAAAGGATGAGAGGCAAACCACAATTTTTACAGTCGCCATCTGCGACTCTCAAGTCGCGGCTTACGCGTCAAGTTGATGCCTTCGCAGGATGGCCTTTCTGCGAGCTGCCATTTGAGTGGCACCGACGGCTTGGTCGAGGAAGACCGACACAAAGTCATGCGGGTTGTCGCGGATGGCAAATCCAAAGCGAAGCAAAAGTTGGTTGTTGGGCATCGGAACATAGTTTCGAACAATCTTGGAATCATTTTCAAAGGACAAGGATGAGAGTGGGGAGGGTGGGAGCGGGGAGGGTGGGAGCGGTGGAGGGGCAAGAGTCAGTTCACTTCAAACCGCGCAATTCAGCAAGAACACCAAGCGTCGCCTTTCCAACTCACCTGCTCGCCTGCAGCAATATCGCGCGTTGCCCGGAGAGTCATGGAGCCCAACATACGGCCTTGCATGGAGAAGTCGAGATGCGCGTTCTGTCCAGAAATCGCGTTGAGGTTTTGTGTTTGAGAGAAGCGTTCAAACCCCGAAAAGACCAAGCCACCAGAATTCAGCAAGTACGTACATTGTCGTAAGCATGGTTGACCCAGTCAATTCCGGGAACAATTCCGTAGCTGACGTCGCCGGTCTTGGACTTCATCGGAACGCCACGAGCAATCGCCGTCAGATACGCCCACTGGAATACTTCCGGCTTGACAATGATCCCGTCCATGATTGAAAGCTATCATCGAAACCGTTCATTTGACAATTGGCCAAGTGAGTTGTGCATTGAGAGAACCGGGCGACGAACAAACCCCGCGAGAGCCCTTGCCTTCGACACGGGTTCAAAATAACGGTGGTACTGCTCTTGCATATGGTCCACCAATGACTGCATCATGGCTGTTCAGTCATCAAACCATCACAGACATGGACATGAGCATGCAAGTACATTGAGACTCCTTGCTACAACGAAAACAAAAACAAACCGAACGCTTACCAACAAATTCTTCGCTGATTTGGAGCTCATTGACCTCGTTAAAGTCCCACATCACGGTCGAATTGAGCTCTTCTGGAAAGAGGCGTAAAAACCACAAATCAAAAATCACGAAAACGAAAGCGAGCCAGCCAGCAGCAACACAAGCAAAATTCGTCAAGGAGACAACAGTGACGCGGGATCGAAATTGGCATCAACACCAACAATAACGACAACAACAAAATCGCACCAACAGCAACGCAATCAAAACCATTCGAAATCATTGAGCAGTTGTGAGCGCCGATATGAATCCATCGCGAATAAAACGACTGGCTTTTGTGCACCTTCTCGTGCAGAATGTGCAGAGCAATTGCAGTCAATTCGTCGGGCTGCTGATCGCCAAACAAGCGCTGCATCTCCTCGGTGAGCGGGGAATCTTCGAGATATTGCGACGCAATCGTCAGGGTGACTGGCGCGCGAACAATTTCGTCGCCCTGATCAATGTCCGCGGTAGCGTACAATCCAAAGTCCTGCACCACCAACCCCACCACAATCAGCTTGCAAATTTTCCTCCGGTGCCACTCAATGATGCCGCTTTCTTCTGGGCGTCCTTACCGTCTCGGGACTGTAGCGAATGTTCGCCTTGATGAGCTCGATGCTGTTTTCCGTGTAAAAGTCTTGCAACCCTTGCATCAGCGACTCGGGAACTGAAAAAAAAAAAAAAAACAGCGTCCGTACAAAAGCAAACATAAAGGCAGCATCATTTGAGCACGAGTCGTTGTGGATTGTTTCGTAGGACGCTCAGATCGCGCCTTTCTGAGTTTGTTTTTGTTTCGTTTTCAGCTTGCTTCCAAAACAAACAACAGAGGCCTGTGAGCACGTACTCTGGCCTCCCGTCCGGCGTCGCAACTTGGCCAGAACATTGCGCTTCAATGCAGCTTTCTCGTCGTCGTGCTCGTCCGTTGGCTCGTGGTGGACGTGCGGTTCGAGCGGAAGATCGTCAAAGTCCAAGCCATGCTCGTCCACATCCACATCGCCCACATCGCTGCTCGCGGAAGCCGTCAGCAGCATCGATGACGGGAGTGATGAACACACGAGCAGGATGAGAGCCAGAGCGGCACAGAGCGCCAGGACAGTCCCGCGCTGGGCTCGGGTGGTTGGTCGTGTCGGTGCCATTCTTGACACCTCAGACACGAGCAACAGAAGAAAGAAGAGTGGTAGGTATTTCGAGGAGTTTGAATTTTGGGGCAATTTGATTTGGGGGTGCGGAGGGAGGGGAAAGTCGCGCGAGCTCAGGTTGCATCTAAATATTGAATCAACAACAAAAACAAAACAATCAATCATTTATGGATGACAAGCAAGCAAGCTGGGCGGCATGCAACTGACAACATCTTGTACAATACAAAGAAAAGTGGGGATCTGAATGGTGGGTCTGAATTTGGAGGTAAACGGGGTGTCTGAATGGTGGGTTTGAATACAAGACGAAACGGAACCTTCGAAAGTCCTACTCGTCCTTCTGCTGCTCCTCGACAGAGCTGACATCCTGGTCAGCGGAGATAACAGGCATGTCGTCTGGCATCGCGGCAGAAGTCGTTTCCGACGACGATGACGAGCTCGTGTTCTCGTCAATCGTCTGAACAGTGACAGGATCAACTGACTCAACAGTCTCGACAGTCTCGGGTGTCTCGATAGTCTCAGGTACCTCAACCGGGTCAACCGGGTCAACTGTCTGAGCAGGCTCAACAGTCTCGAGGACGTCCTCTTGCGGCTCTGGTACCGAATCGTCGTCAACTGCCTCCAGAATAATCTCTGGCGGATTGAGGGATGGCCGTTGCACAAGCTGCGCTTCCTGCTGCTGCACAAGCTGCGCTTCCTGCTGTTGCTGCTCCAACGCGGCCTGCTGGGCACGTTGCTGCTTCCTGCTGCTGCACAAGCTGCGCTTCCTGCTGTTGCTGCTCCAACGCGGCCTGCTGGGCACGTTGCTGCTCCAGCGCGGCCTGATGCGCCTCGGCCGCCTCCCGCAGTGCTTGCTCTTGTTGCTCCAAGGCTTCCTTCCGCTCGCGTTCGAGCAATGCCTCCTGCTCTTCTTGCTGCCTTTGCCGCTCGAGCTCTGCCTCTTGCTCTTGCTGCTCGCGCTGCCTTTGCTCTTGTGCTTCTTGCTGCTGCCTTTCATGCAGCCTCTGCTGCTCTTCTTGAAGCTTGGCCTGTCGCTCACTCTCGGCTGCTCGCTCGCTCTCAATCAACTTGCTGCGGGTCAGCGAGCCGGCAGGGCCGAGGCCAACCACACTAGAGGAGCCTTGCGTGGGCTGCATGGAAGGCTTGAGCGACTGGGACTGGGACATTGCCAGCTGAGAGTAGCGCGGCGGTGGTGGCTGGCTCGCCTCCAATGCTACGCTGTCGCGATACGCCTTGACCGCGCCGGGAATGAACTTGTAGGTGCCAACATAAGCAGGCGCCGACTGGTTGACGACGTACGCTGGGTGGCCCATTGCCTGGGCAGCGGCTGCGGGATACGGGATGGCAAAGTTGAACACCTTGCGCGCCGTGGCAGGATCGTTGAGCATCTCCAGCTTGGCCACGCCGACCGTGTATTCGTGGTAGCGCACCTTGCGCTTCCAGTCTCGGAATTTGACAAAGGTAACGACGGTGATAAAGACGTCAATGAACAAGGCTGGGAGACCGAGCGCGAGCGAATCGATTTGCAAATCGACGACAATGCTGCGCTGGACTGCATTGGTGGAGAAAATGTTGTAATTGCAATTGAGGGGATCAGCCGGGCTGCACAGATCGCGGGTCAGGGGGCATTCATGCGGCAGAGTGCCGAAAAGCAGCTTGGTTGAGACGCCATTGTTGGACGTCTCTTTCGCGTACGCAGACATGCCGGCCGGGTCGATCACAACCAGTCGTTGAACCTGGCTGTAACAATTCGGCGATCTCTCGGCGTAGACAATCTGTCGATGAATGGGGTTGTCGAGCAAGTCCGACGGGTACGTCCAGGCAAAGTACAGCGCAATACCGAGCAGCGTCGTCTGGATGCCAACGCGCATAAAGTGGTGCATGTAGGTTGGGCGCTGCTTCAGAATGTGCTTCTCCTTCTTTTTGCAGCAGCAGAAGCAAACGCATCGAAAGAAGTGACGAATGGCCACTCTCCAGGTATGGTACAGGAAAATGACGGTGGTGATCAGGTCGATGAGGAAGAAGAGCAGCAAGCAGACCGTCACAATCACGCCGCGAGCGACTGCCAGCCCGGTGAGGTTTTCTTTGTACTGCGATGTTGTGTTGACAGAGTCGCGTCCGTTGTACGGCTCCCATATTACTCTGTGTTGGCCGGGTTGTGCATTGCAAGTTAGGGAATGAGAAGCGCCAAACGAAATAAAAGGTGCCAAACAAAAAAAAAAAAAAAAAAAAGCAAAACTACACTGCAGTGTGACTCAATAACGTACTGGGATGTTGCAGACCCGTCGTAGCTAATGTTGACCAGGGTTGCCATCACATCGACATTGCCGGCGCCTGGCTGGATGTCAAACATGCGGACCTTGGTTTGAGCACCATACGTCACGCTGAACGGGAAGGCGCCGCTGCTGTGGGCAGTAAAGTTTGCCAGAAAGTAAAAGATGAGCTGGTAGATACCGATAGCAATGATGGCAAGCGAAGCCAACTCGAGCAGCGTCGGCACGCGATGGCCGTAGCGGTGGTAGATGAAAAAGTTGAGAACTTTGCGCGTGCGTGTCCTGGCAATGAACGGCGGGCCGCCCTTGTGACTCAGATGGTAATTGTAGTCGTCCTCGTTCATATCCTCAAATCCGTCCACATGCACCATTTCTGAGGTTTTCCGCAGCTCGATCATCTCGACGTCGGACGGAGGCTGCTGCTTTTCCTCGTCCATCTTCGGGGGGGAGTTGTTTTTGTAGTGTGGGGTTGTTTGTTGGTTGCCTTGCTGGGTTTAGAGCCGCTTGTACCAAAAGCTTTGGTGTCTTTTGCTGGATCGTTGCGGCTTGTTTTTGTAGCGTCGCGGGTTTCTGTGTTGAAGCGAAAAAATCAAAGCTGTGAGCTCTTTTGTTTTGTTTTTTGTGTTTGTTTGAAGACGCGCGCTTTGCATCCGATTGTAAGCAAAATGGTCATAAGTGGGGATGTGGGTTTTGCACTCCTTGCGCATCCAATCGGGATTCGGTCGGACTTTGTGGACATGCATTGCAGATCTAGAGTCACTCCCCGCAACAGCCCAAACAAAGCATGCGAAATCCCTCTTTTGGAGAAAAAGGGCTTTGGTGACCACAACTGCGACTGTTTGCATTGGTTGCGCTCTTCCGCCCGCCTCTCTCCCCCCCCACGCCAACTCTGTTGGTCTTGTCATACAAGTCACAGGCTTCAGTGCAGCGTGCGAGCGAGCGACACAAAAAAAGAGAGAGCGCCACAAAAAAAAAAAAAAAAAATCCATGCGAAAAAAAGAAAAAAGTGACCACAACAACCAGTTCGCGCCTCATTTTGCTGGGGCTGACGCTCGGACTGAGCCCACGCAGCGGCAGACGTCCACGGCATGCAGCAGTGCTACGTGAGTGTTGGAAGCGGTGGAGGGGAACACGCAGAGGGAGAGAGGACAATGAGAAAGGTGCAAAAGGGCGGGTATTGGCAACAACACAACAGACTGATTGCCGTTATGTCCTTCGCACCACTCTCAACGACGCTGCTTCCAATGCTTCATATGCAGAGCACATTATAGAGTCGAGGCCGTTGTTGAGTGTTGGCAACCAAACCAAACACAAAGACATGAACAAAATTCAAAAAACACAAAAACAAAGCAAATCGTACCAAAAAACTGACTGCAATGCGAAAAGTCTCGCTAGATCTCGTTTAGGATTAGGAACAAAACAAACGAAAAAAAAAAAAAAAAGCATAACAAAGACAACATCAAAAAAGGCGCGGCAGAGAGGCAGCAAATTGGAAAAAGCTGCCAAGCCAAAAAGAAGCAAAATTAAAGATCCGCCAAAGTGAGTCAAGTATCATGGGAGCAGGAGCAGGGGAAGAAGAGGCGATGAAAGTGGAGCCGGTGAATCGAAGGGGTTTTCATGGACGTGCAGAAGTGTCGAGTGAGAGTGAGCACGACTCCCATGACCTATCACGGAAGTACGCAAGTGAGGGTGCACTTGTGCGCGTTTGTGCTCAGCATTGAGCGGAGAAGACCTCTCTGGCAGATCGAAACGAAAGGGGATTCCCGGATTGACCGAATATCGATGAGATAGGACGCGCACTTTCGGGTCGTAGCGATGAGATGTGATATGCAGTTGATATTGCCAATGCTCCAAAGCACAGCCGCTCAGACTGCTTGTTCACTCCCCCTTTTTTCCCAACCGTTCCGTTCTCCGACACTTTTGCTGAACTTGCCATCACGTCGGCCGGTGGACTTTTCGCTTCATTCCTTCCTCACTCATTCCCTTTGATATAATTTAGTCATCTCTTGCTTTTTCTCTGTTCTTGGTGGAGCCGCCCAGTTGCCAATGAGCTTGAACGTCATCGCAGCAGCCCATCTGAACCCGTCCCCGCCTCTGCCTCTGCCTCTGCCTCTGCCTCTGCAGCACCTTCCTCACACTCGATTGACAACAGCACTACTACTGTCGCTGCCATCAGCGCGGCTCGCTTCCGTGTTGCGCTGCCAAAGCCAGAGCACCTCTTCCTCGCAGTCTCACTGTAAAACGCTGGCCGCCCTTGTGCAATCATGCGCGCGCACCATCACTCATCGTTTGATGGCTGCTCGGGTGTGCGTCTCGTTTTTCGTTTTTGGGGTCACAGGTACATTCAGGTGGCCGCGGGAACGAACGCAGACGCGATTGTCGTCGACGCGCCTGTATTCAAAAGCATTGTGCTGCGTGCGCTCAAGCAACTGCACGGCCAGCTGGGCGCAGGCATCCCCGTCGACGTGCTAGACGTGACCACGAGCACCGCCAACAAGGCAGACAAGGCGGACAAGGCGGACAAGACACGTCAGGTCGCTGCTGCTGCTGCTGCTGCTGCTGCTGGTGGGCTCACCTACCGCGCGCTCATTCGTGTGCCAGACCTGCACAGTGCTGCAGTGTGGAGCGCACTGACCGCAGTCACAGTCCACGACAACCGTCCGTGTCGCCTCACCGTCGACCGCGCCTCGCCATCGCTGCTGCACTTTGCGAGCAACAGTCGCGCTTTCAATCCCTGATCCAGATCCACTTTCGGATCTCTCGTCATCCCCCCCCCTCTCACGTCAGCTGCTTGTCACTCAAGTTTCGTTTTTCGCTGTATTTTCTCAACCATCTTCCGCAAGTATCATCTTTACTTTGATTCACAGCTCCCATGTCTTCTCGAAATGGATCGAATGGAGAGGGCTCCAGCTCGAGGACCTCTCGCCATCTTCGACATTCTCATCAGCCTCAGCAACAGCAACAGCAACAGCAACAACACCAACAGCAGCACCAAAATCAACAGCAGCACCAAAATCAACATCAGCAACAGCAACCTTCAAGAGAGCATCGAAAGCAACTGCTCCCTCGACCCATGCACATGCCCAAGTTCATCCCTATGGCGATTTCCAAAATGCGGCCCTTTGCAGAGGTACTGTCGTGGTGTTGGCGTGAGCTGCTTGCCTCTTTTTTGTTTTTTTGTATTCTTTCTTTTTGGTATTTGCTTCAACCATGTTTGCTCATCAATCTCTGCGCTGTGCGTTCCCAGTACGTGTCATACAACAAAGGGCTGGACATTATCAGAGTGCAGCTCTCTGCTGCCAACGACGCTGGTGTCGGGTACAGCCAGGCCGTCTATGACGAGACGATGCTTATTCCGAATTCCTTGCCTCCGTCTCAACTCCCAGTGTGCATCGCTCAGGTGGGTGTCTCGTAATGTTGACGTTTTCCTCGCGTGACATCTTTTTTGATTTGTATTGATTTTTGGGCAATTCGAATGGAACTCAAGGCGGGAGACCGGATTTGCTTCAAGTTCACTCTGAGATGTCCCGTGACAACGACGGGTCTCATGCTGGTGCAGGCCGATTCGAAAAGCCAAGCTCGCACCTTCTATCGAAAGGTAACGCCCCGATTTGTCGCTTGGTCATCCTCTCAATCACAATTCAACAGCAGCACAACCGACGCAAGCTAACTCGTTATTTTGTTGTTGTGCTTTTGCTTTTCCATTCCCGCTTGTCGTGCCCCTTCCTCTTCCTCTAAATGATCATGCAAAATGCCGACAGGGCTTGACCGACCCAACTGTGCATGGCATGCCATTGGGCGACATGACTGGCAGCTCCGAACCTACCAATGCGCAACTCTTCTTTCGATGCCCTGACGTGGTTCGTGCAAGCGGCCACAAGACGATGCGGCCCCACTTGGAGGTTTACATCCACGAGGAGTATTTCAGGCCAAGCACCTCAAAGACACTGCCAACTCAATCGTCGGTAGAACTGCCTCCACGAAAACAAAAGCATGGCACGTTTCCCACGTCCCACTCGGCGTCGTGCGCGGAAGACTTGCTCTCGTTGAGCCATTCGCTTGGCAATTTCAGTCAAACCACAGAAACATCTTCGCCAACAAGCAACCGACACCCTTCCCTCTTGCCAATGTTCTTCAAACGGCGGGGCCCTCACTCGCACAATTCCGCTTCTCCGGCTGCAGGAGCAGCATCGGTGCCCGCTGAAGGGCACGATTCCGGCACGCACCACCGCGCTCATTCAAGCCCGCGTGATTCCCTCTCGAGATTGTCGCTCGGCTCATCCAATGCCGACGGTAGCACGGTTGCCGCCGACCAACTATCATCGTCCGACGATGAGCACGACGCCAATGACGATGAGCACGCCACCAGACACGACGTCGTGCACTCGAGTCCAGAGGGCTCAGAGACATCGAGCACACTGGGCAACAACCATCCCGACGACGAAAACTATGTGATGGAGCTCGAAGTCGGCGAAGACGGCACGCTTGTTCCGCTGTTTGTGCTGCAAAAGGAGGTCGTCCTTCCTGCGCGTTTATTCAAACAGTATGAAAAGGAAGGCGCCATGCTCTCGACCAACAAGACGTACTTGCTTGGTGCCGATGGTGTCGTCTATGCCAAGCTCAGATTGGTTCTGGCGATACGCAAACCTGGCTCTGATCCAACGGCGTACCCCACCGAAGCACTCCGTCAAGCATTGCCCGTGCAATCCTCTGCTGTTCAAGGTTTCAACCTCGACTCGCCATTTGCCGACCGAAAGCCTTCGATGACGCACACGACTGGAAGGCGCTACTCAACCGTGTCTACGATTGCAGAGCTTGCCTCACACCATCGACTTGCTCACCCCGATGGCCAACGCCTTGTTGTTGTGGATCGCGATCAGTGGCGACGATCTCTGATACAGCAGCTTCGCTTGCGCGACACAACTCAGCACGACTTTTTTGTAACCATTGTTGCATCCCAGCAGCGCTTGCTCGAACGAGCCCTGCGGCAGCGCGTGCGTTCGCGCCTTGAAACCTATTCTAAAATGTACTATCATACCAAAGTGGCGCCGAGTACGTTCGATTCGTTGGTATGGAGCTCTGATGAAGAGGACGATCGGAATGAGAATCCGAAACCGTCCGCTGCAGCTGCTGCAACCCAACCAGTCCCCGCTTCAGCGGAAGCAATGGAGCCGTTAGAGCCACCCCTTCAGGACGGCAACAAATCTTTGGCTCCCAACAACCCAACAACAACAACAACATCAACAACAACAACAACAACAACGGCTCCAGCGCAGTTCCTGACAACGCCAGCAACGCACCTGCTCAGCCCCACCATCACACAGCTGATCCCTCTGCCATCGATATGCGACGTGCCGTGATGAAGTTTATCAACATGGCCCTGTTGACAACCAAGCAGCACGCTCCAATGTTCACTCCCGCGCACGACGGCGAGCGCCTGGCTTACCGCGAGTTTTTGCCGCGTGGAGTCGACCTCGTTCAAACGCCCCCGCCGTACGTCATGCTGTTGGTGGTAGGCGCCGGTGCGAGCAGCTTCCATCGCCTGTATGCCGGCGAAATCTTGGCGCGAACCCACAAGTGTGTTGTGACCATGTACGATTGCCGCGGACATGGTCGATCTGGAGGCATCCGCGGCGACGCACCTTCCGCCATCTGCATGCTCAAAGACTTGCGCACCATGGTCCGTCTGATCGGATGGACCTATCCGAAATCGAACATTGTCTTGTATGGTCAGGGCATGGGCGCAAATTTGATTCTAAACTACGGCGGCTGGAAACGGCGTGCTCCTGTTCAAGGCTACTGTTTAGTGACTCCATATCTTGCCGACTGTCTGAGGCCACGATTCGTGACCATTCCGACTGAAGAGGGGGGATCTCAGGGCGCGGCACCAGACGGCGCTGTTTCCCCACACAGTGTTGCAAATGCTGCCGGAACAACACCGCAGCACCAGCAACAGCAACAGCAACAGCATCAACAACTGCATCATCAACAACAACAACAACATCAACAACAACAACAACAACAACAACAACAACCGCAAGAGCAAGAAGACCAACTGCAGGAGGCAGACCACTCTGGCCTGCAGTTTTCGCATCACGTGAAAGCAGGCTTGACTCCTGCACTACGGCGCACCTTCCAAAATCGAATCAAATCAGTCTTGCCAACCTCAGCGTGGTTGGGGTTTGCCGTGGCAATGGACAAGTTTTTCGGGGGCCGAACTGGCCATGACGTGATGCTGGACTTTCAGCAATTCCACAGTCACCTGCGGACGTTAATTCACTTGCCCGAGATCGTGGAGGACCTGTATGTCGAAGGTCATGATCTAGGCCCAGAGCCGGCGTTCCCCAAATACCTGACTCGAAACGCCCTCTTGTACATGGCCGTGCCCAGTGCGGCCAAAGCGTTCGCGAAACTCGATCGTCCGATTCTTGTCATTCTCGGCGCCGATGATGAAATCTTGGATCCTGCACTGGTTTCCGCGGCCATGTTCCGCAACGGCACGAACGGAAAGGTATGGTGTCAAATTTGTTTTGTTGCTCTGCTTTCCGACGTTTTGACTGGTTGTGTGTCTCATTTGTCTTGGCGTGCAATTTGTGTGAACGCTGTTGCTGTCAGTCACTTGAGGTTGTTCCTCGCGAAGGTCACATGTCCGTTTGGCTCAGTGCGGATGAGCATCTCATGTCGTGGTGTCGGGAAACGTTTTCCACTCCAGAGCGGCTCATGTTTGTCGAAGTTCGCGATGTGGATGGTGATGGAAGCGATGGAGATGACGACGAAGCACAGTAACCGGCTCTGGTTTTGTTTTTCGCATCATTCACTCGAATAGTGTTCTTTCGGAATTGATTTTTTTTATTTCATTTCAAAAAACAAGTTGTTTGGTCACATGGAAAACCCACAGTGCATGGTTGTTGTCAGGAACGAAATCAAAGAACAACACAACAAAGCCGTCGGTGGTTACGGCATTGTTAGATCTCACCGTGCGGCGGATGCACAATTCCAGAAGAAGGGGCCGAACCAGGTGCATGGCGGGCAAGATCGAGTCGCAATTCAGAAAGTTGCGTTTCAATCGACCCAAGCCGAATCCACAGCAGGAGCAGAATGAGCAAGATGAGCAGCAGCAAGCCGGCGATGCCAGCCGTCACTGTCGAGATGGCTTGCGGTGCCGACGCTCGCGCGGTAGGTGAGGCCGGAGCTGCCGTGGACGGGGTAGCGGCCGCAGGCGAGGCGGCTGGGCGTGCGGCTCCAGCCGCGGACTTGGGGAGCGAGTTTCGGATGTGCTCAACAAACGCTTTGAACGTGAGCTTGACTCCTTCGACGGTACTCTTCTTGATCATGCCTGTAAGAGACACAGGAGTGACCGCGGTTAGAAGCTATAACGCGCGACAAGCAAAAAGCGACAAGCAAAGCATCACATGAAGTAGTTTTGCACACCTTTCACGAGCGAGCTCTTGACAAACTTGACCTCGAAGGTGACAGTGAGCTTGCACGATCGAGGAGACTCGCTTGTCATGCAGTATCTTAACAGCGTGAGGAAGGTTGTACCCTGCGGCACCTCTGGAGTCGAGGTCGTGACCTCCACGACTTTGATTCTGTGGTCCAAAAAAAGCGAAAAAAAAAAAAAAAAAAAAACAAGAACAAAAATGAACGACAGCCAAAAGATGAGTTTCCCCGCAAGAGGATCAAACAGACTAGTAGCTGTTGAATGTTGTTTGCTTACGCTTTTTCATTCTTGGCTTCAACCTGGGTTTCGATGCACTTGGCCGTTTTCGGAGCTAGCGAGGATGGAGGGCAGTCAGCTCCTCAGAGTAGATACCGACAAGAATTTGTTTTTTGCAACCAACAAAAGACTACATACCCATCGGCTGGGGAGGAAGGGGCTTGATGTACACAATCTTGCGGGTCTGTTGCCCATTCTCGCCTGGAGCCCACTTTTCGATCGAGACGTCTAGCAAATAACCAGAATCAACAGAAAAATTCAGGCATCAAACAAAAACCTTGCATCATGCATGCATTGTAGTCGCGCCCAAAAAGGAAAAAAAAAGCAAACGACGGAAAAGCAGACTCACTCTCATAATTTTCGCGCTGGTACAAGGAGGGCAAAAAGTTGGACTCGTCCGAAAACAGCAAAGTGTACAGTCGAGTAACGGGGATCTGGAAGGTCTCGTCGACAAGCGGCAGCTCGTAATGGGAGGCGCAACCGCACGACACTGGTCCCGGAGGAAGATCCGCCGCCTGGGCATCGTCCGCCTCCCCGGCACCTGCGGAGGCGCTGAGGCTGGACGGCGGGGCTTCGAGGGCCAGGGGTGACGGCAGCGCGACCGAATTAAAGCGCACCGTGGTTGGTGACAGGGGCGCGAGCGGCGCGTTGACACCGGCCAAGATTGGCTGCAAAACCAACTGCAAGCGCAGCTCGCCGCTTGCAATGGACAAGGCTGAGCGCTTTTCAAGCGTTTGCCATTTTGGCTCGGGTACTTGCGAAACGGTGCTGGAGGAGCTGGAGGTGGATGCATCCGCTGCCAGAGATGCCAATGACACTTGCGAGGTCGCCATGATCGATGTCGCGGGAGCTCCCGCTGCTGCCGCCGCTGGATCCGGCCCCAGAGCTGCGTCTGCTGGAGCTCCCTCGGCACTCATGCTTCCGCTCGATCTCGCCTTGGAGCTCACGCGTGCCACGGTGGTGAGCGGAATGCGCAGGCAGCCGAGCGTCCTGTCGCGGATGAGATCGCTGAAAAACTTGTGACACACAAAAATCTTGAGCACCTGTGCCGATGGATCGGTCACGGCCAACGTAAACTCCTCGTTCCACTTGGGCTCAGCAGAGTCCTTGACGACAGCCGTGCGCTCTTTGACGGAGCCAACCTTCACCTTGACGTACGAATCAATCGCCTTCATTTCGAGGTGCTTTTTGAGACCGCGGGCCTCAATCACACGAACCTGCAGCATGAACTTGGGCGGCATGTTGACTGTTGTCAAATCGTCGTCTTCGTCGCTGGAGTCTCCATTTTCCGGCTTGGCCTTGTTGCCTAGAGTTGAAAGCAAGCGTGAAGGAGGGTCGGGGCAAGTTTGAGCGAGCGTCAGGGTCAGGAAAAGGTTGTAAACAGCAAGCAACACTTTTGAAAAAAAAAAACAAGGTTTTACCTGAGACTGAGCCTCGCGAAGTGCTCTTAGAAATGAGCGACGAAAGTTCGCTGGCGGATGAAGATCCAGAAAGGTGTGGGGAGCGCGGAGGTTGAGCCAGCAGCGGGACGGCCGGGGTGACGGGTGCCGAGGCGGCGGGCGTTGTCTTTGGAGCGACAGTCTTCGGGCTGAGGTCCAAGAGAGGCACACTCGCGGCGGAGACCAACGGGAGGTTTTGAGAACTCTCTGAATGGAAGAGGGAGCTCGAATCCGCACCAGAGCTTTGGGCGCGGTCGTCTTCGTAAATGGACAGGCGAAGATGAATGTCGCCTCGCACAGAAGACTTGGCCGTGCGCTTTTGAACCGCATGCCATTCGTCCCAAGGTACAAAGGCTGATCGGCACAAGAAAACAAAAAGGGCGGGGGTGGAGTTTGAGCAAAAGTTGCGTCAACAAGAGCAGCTCGGAACAAACGCCAAAGGCCCACTCAACAACTCAAACATCCCGCGTGCAAATGGTTACAATGTGAAGTTTCGCGAGGGATTTTCTCTAGAGGAATCATCAGCTGTCCCAGAAAGTCGTCCTTGACACCAAAGTCCTTGTCCCAGATGGTCAATTTGAGCTCTTTCGAGCGCTCGTCCAGCGGGCTGAAACGCATCACGACCAGCACATGGCAACGGTGCAACACGGTGAGAACGTGTGTCCGTACCACAACAGACACACAAACCAGCAACTCAAATCGAAAAAAACCCACATACATGAGAAACTCTTCATGCCAGGCCGGATTGAGCGACTTCCACACGACGACCGTCTTGTATCGGTAGGCGCCGTGTTCGAGCACGGCGTACGGGTCGGACGTACCACCGACATCCTTGCCCATGAGATTTCGCGCCTCCACGACTGCACAAGTTTTCAGCAAAATAGAGTCATAGAATGGTGAGATGAATGAGAATTTTTTTTTTGTTCGTTTGGTTTCTTTTGGTTGTATTTTCTTTGTTATTACCTTGGACTCGAATGAACGAGTGGACCGAGTCTGGCACTGGTGGATTGTCAATGCTCACTGGGATGAAGAAATTTGAGCCAAGCAGAATGACAAGAACGAACGAACAATTGAATTGCAAAAATCAGTGCAGAATGACCCCCAGCGCGTCTCAGTCTTGAAGGGGTCATCAATGCTCAATCCATGCTCAACAATCAATGCTCAATCCATGCTCAATCACTGCGACAGAGTAAGAAACGCGTGGGGGTTTTTTGGGTTGAAGTGCGGGGAGAAAAATCGAAAAATGCGAACCAAAGCCGATATTTTTGTTGTTTTTCGCATCCTACTGTCAATCTCGCTCTCTGACTCACTCGCTCTCTGACTCGCTCTCTGACTCAGTCGCACTCTCTCTCGCTCTGGCTCACTCTCGCTCTGACGGTTCAGCTTGTGATCAGTCGAGTGACAGCCCATCGAAGGGTAGAGTGAGAACGACAAAAAGCCGAAAAAGCGCTCCCCCTTCAAGATTCAACCGCTTTTACGGCGGTCTACGGGAGAGCCTCCTTCCTCTGACTTCCCCCCCTCCGCCTCAGTGTCGTTTGCATTAAGAACTTGTATCGCATGCGTTGCTGCTGTTGTTGTTGTGGACACTGCGTTGGCTGGACGAGCGACCGCACATAAACAAAAATCATTCTGCTGGATTTCGTTCCCGCCGCGACGCGTTCAAGCGCTCAGGAGGACTCGCTGTGCTGGCGTGCTTGTATGGACGTCGAATGGGAGTCGAGTGGGAGTCAAACGAGCACAGGCGAACGAGTGAGAGTGGAACAGCAGCAGCGCGTTGTTGTTGTTACCCCGCGGCGATGCAGACGCGTCCGAATCCATGGTGAATTGACAATAGAAAGGGGGAAAAAGGAAAAAAAAAAAAAAAAAAAAGTGAAGAATTGGATTCGGAAACAAGAACAAAGACCAACCAAGCGTTTAGAGAGGAATCGCAACTAGAAACAAGACTCACACGATCAGACAGTAAGAAATTGGAAAAGCAACTGGGAGATGATCGCAACCACAAAAAAAGAAAAGAAAAGGGGGGGGGGGAAAGACCACCCTCCCAGTGAAACCGGAAAACAAGATCACTCAACAACCAAAGAACTGGACGGCCAAAACAAAAAGGAAAAGGCTCTGTACTACAACATACACCTTCACACAAAAATGCCAACGCACATAAAATTCACTTGCGGCCTGCACCAAGCCATTTGGGACGGCCATCGGCACCGCGCCCGGAACCAGAAGCAGCACTCGAAGCCGACCGCTGAGACAGTGCTGACGAAGAGGCCGACGACGATGCGCTGCTGCTTTGCGCAGAGCCGCCGGCGCGCTGTCGTGAGACGGCGCCGTAGAGGTCGGCCCAGGCCTGGACTTGGGATTGCAACTCTGGTCGGAGATAGCCCTGTCCTGCTTCCCGATCGGTGCTGTCCTTGAGGGAAAAGTACACGACAGCCGTGGGTGACAGGTTGGCGTCAAAGAGACTCTCGAACATGGCCGTCGACAAGTCTCGTCGAGGCGGTGTTACGTGCAGCGTGAACGGGAATGGCTCGCCCTTGGCAGGAACCAGGTGACTGGGCAAATGCTGGGCTACAAAGGTGAACAAGTCATAGACCGTTTCTTTACTTCGGAAGACGGCCTGGAGCTGCACTCTGTCGGGAAAGTGCACTCGAATGGTGGTCTGCACCAACAAAACAAAAGAGAAATCGTTCCGAGGTGAGAACCTCAAACTCAAACTGCCAACCAACAAAGGGATGAACTGCAAAGCAGCACGTACTTCCGAGTACTTTGCCGCCAAATCCTCTCGAACAATTTCACGCATCGCGGAAGTCATGAGCGGTGCTTCTTCGTTCTGCTGCTTGCGCACATCCTTCAACAAGCCCTGGATGTCTTCCAGGGTGATGTCAAAGAAGGAGTCGGGCAGGTCGTCTATCAGGTCGTGACAAGCAAGAGAACAGATCGCATCAAAACATGAGCACAAAATTCCAAAGTCCAAACTCAAAAGTCCCTCCCCTCCTCCTCCTCCACCTCCTCCTTCTACTGCTCCAGTCTCACCTTGCGCCAGTTGCTCGGGCGTGGCACCACCATCAAAGCGATACAGAATGGACTGGCGAGGACCAGTCGGCGCAAAGGAAACGCTGTGGGCTTGTTGTTGCGCTTCAGCAATCACCTGCGGATTGCTCTTGGCATTGACAAACAGGGTTTTGCCTTTCGTGGCTTCTGGGAATTTAAAGTCGGCAAACTCTGGATTGGCAAACGTTGGTGCTCGCGCGTTGGTGTCCATCGGCTGTGGCGAATGGCTCGGCGCCGGGGTCACGGCTCCGGTTGGTTGTTCAGACGGCACCGCGGCACCGGCACGCTGAGCAACCTCGATCGCTTGGGCCGCGAATGCTGCAGCTTGTTGTGCGTGGGCAGCGGCCTGGTGCGCCTGGGCCTGTGCTTCGGCTGCTTGTCGCTCGGCTTCCGCAGTTTGCCGTGCAATCTCGGCTTGTCGTGCTCGCTCCCGCTCTCGCTCGGCAATCTCGGCGCGTTGCTGCTCCTGTCTTGCAAGAAGGGATGCCTGTGCGTCGCGTAGGCTCTGTCGGCGAGTTTCGGTGAGACTGGCCGCCTGTGATTGCGCGTCTTCGAGCGTGAGCGTCGAGGGTCGGAAGCTGACGTGGAAGGCGGCACTGCCCTTGAGCAGGCCCATGCTGCGGAGCGTAGTGTCGCACAACAACTGGAGCGATCCGTACTCTTGGCCGAGGTACACGAGGCACGGAAGCAGAAAGCTTCGCGAAACCGGGTCGACGCTGGCAGTGAGCGACCGCTCGCCGGGCTGCGTGCTTGCCCTCAGCTCTTCGAATTGGCCCAGCAGTTCCCACAACGACGTGTCTGGCGCAGTGGCTGTGAGCGTCAGCCTGACAGACGAGGGCAGGCGCAGCGCAACGGGCAGGCGAATCCGCTCTTCCGCGCTCAACGCCAGTGAGGACGCCGACGCCGACGACGCCGCCGACGACGAGGATGCCAATGACGAAGACGACGATGAGGATGAGGATGCCAATGGCGATGAGGCGGGTGCTCCAGACCCAGCCCCAGTCGCAGTCACTGCCGACGACGATGACGGCTCTCGAATGACGAGTTCCAGAGTCGCGTTGTTGAGCAATCCAGACAGACGAAACGGCATCGACAGGTCGACGTCCGCCTTGCCCTTCCTAGCACACGGCGGAAACGCGTCAAATCAAACCATCATCACGGCGAGCGAGTCGAGTGAGTGAGTCGAGTGAGTCGAGTGATGAGGTGCCAGTCAGTGTTCGCTCATAAGCCCAAAAACCCTTCGCACGTCATCGCACCTGAGAGAGCAGCGAGAGGGATCGACGCCCTGCTTGGCACACGCTTCCTCGAGCACTTGCATCAGACGCGTGGTCGGCGTCACTTTGACACCGAGGCGACGCGCGTTCGGGAGCAGAATCACCAGCGAGCTGGACATTGAGAGCGCAAACAAAAAATGAAAGACTGAGCTGCTATGCTTCTGAGTCAGTCAGATGTACCCACAGACAAGGGATTCAAGTGCGCGCTTGTGGTTGTGGACTTGGATGCAGTGCCCATCAAAAAGAAGGATGCGGATGCAGTGATACAAGCCTTCAAGACCGTTTTGCTCGAAAGATTGTTCGCATCCTGAAAGAGCTTCAAGTCGATGCGGGTACAGAGTTTAAGGGAAGAGTGGCAAAGTCGTTTGACAACAGTGGTGTTCATGTCAAGGTTGGCAAGCCAGATAGACATCGGCATCAAGCAGTGGGTGATAACAGGACTTGGCAGATTGGAGGAGAGATTTTCAAACGCCAAAGTCGCTCGTGAGCTCGAGAGTGGCGAGTCGAATACGCAGTGGGTGGATGAGCTCCCTGAAATCATTGCAGAGATGAACAAAAAGGCAAAGGTTGAGGAAACCAAATCCTTTGTTAAACTTGCCTCCCTTCAGTAGATGCACTCCTGACCAAGTCTTGTATGTTGCTCGAGGAAGGAGACAAGGTGCGTGTGTGGCCTTGGATGCACCTGTGGACAGCAAAAGGAAAGAAGTCCAATGAAACTTTCCGAACCCACGACATGAGATGGGAAAACAAGGTGAGAACAATTGAAAAGGAGATTCTTTGAGCCAGACCACCACCCAATGTATGCTATTCGAGGCATCCCCAAACGGCGTACATAAAGAGTCAGTTGCAAGTCGTAGATGAAGAGTAATACACAATTTTTCTTTTCTTCCAGAAAGAAGTTCATCGCCATTGGTGGTTTTGTCTGTCGGAGTGGCCGTTGGGTATCAAAGCAAAGAAGGTGACACAGGCACTCATGCACTCACACACAACCATGCACAGCAAGTCGCTCAACGAGCATCGAGAATGCCGTTAAGCTTTACAATTGGCTTTATTCTCAGAGCGACGTCTTCAAGAGACAGTACAGATGCTGAGAACGCATCGCAACAAACGAAAGCGAGATTGGCAGAGGGTGAACGCTTGAAGATGGCTCAAGAAGCCAGAAACAAGGGACGGCCCAACGGTCTCGTGCAGTTCAGCAGGGTAGACACAGAGCGCTGAACGTGGCGCGAGTGAAGGGTGTAGGTGTCGTTGGGATGGTAAGCGAGAATGTTGATGTTGGTGGCGAGGAGTTTCTTGGTGAGGTCTTTCCCCAGAGCGCAGTGCACGATGTCAATGTGCAGAGCGCCGTGAGTGAGATCGCAAAGTGTCTTGTGCACATCAGAAGTTGCGTTGTACAGTGCCAAATCGTCAATCAGGCGCTGGAGGGAGTCTGCCGTATCCACGCGAAACTCTTCAAAGATCTGATTCACTTGTTGTCCTCTGCCGAGCTGTTTCGTGACCCGATTGAGCAGAACAAAACGCCCGCCAGCAATCTCAGCAACCGCGCGTTTTGCCGAATCCTCATTGACGCCACGATGTAGCAGAAAATCGACAGCTTGTTCGTCGGTGATATCACTCACTTCGACAATGCGAGCACGAGTCATTGCTGACGATGCCTTGAGCTCAGGCAGATTCGAACCATCGCAGGTGACGAGAACAACATTGAGCAGCTGCTCGTCAGCAGCCGCCTTGGCAAAATTTTGAATCACATGCAACAGTGCGGGACCCTGCTGGGCGATCTGGTCCACGGCGTCGATGACGAGCGTGGCAACGTGACCATGCTTGGCCTTGAACTGTGCGGCGACGTCCCGAAGACCGAGCTCGAGTATCGCCCAGCTCTTGAAAGGTTCTTCTGCCGATGCTATTTGATGCATCTCAATACCACGGTCTTTGAAGTAGCCTGCTGTGAAGGTGAATTGGTTGAACTCGAACGCGAGAGACCCCGCCAGTAGACCCGGCATCGAGACTAACACCTCGCTTTTGACGATGTGGTAGACAATACCAGTGCTGTTGGCTCGGATGGCGTCGTGGACGGCGCTGGTCTTGCCGCAGCCTACTTCGCCAACGACGACCGTGTACGTCTCCAGCGGCGCGGGGCGCAGCACCTTTTGAAGCATCGCAACAGCATCTGGACGACTGACGTGGTATTTCTCGAAACGTGGGATCACGGAGCCGGCCTCGAAGCGTGCGAGCATGCGAGCTTGAACGATTTCGGGCGAGTGGGTCTTGGCGATCGTGTTCTTGTTGTCCAGCACGTGCCGAGCAAAGAAAGCCGCCACAACCAAAATAATAAATGTGGTGGAGACCGCCTTGGCGACCGCGCCGCCGATGAGACCGAACACACGCCGAAAAGTTGGCTGTTGCTGAGCCAGGGCTGCTAAAAGAGCTCCAGCTGCAGCCGCAGCCGAGATTGCGGGATCAAACAAGAAAAACAAAACAAAAAAAAAAAAAAAAAAAAAAAAAACTGCGCAGCACTAAGCCCGACCCCCCCCCCTCCCCCGACAGACAGACAGACGGACAGACAGACAGAATAAAAGCTCCCACACCAACTTCGAAAGGCAATAACTCGCTGAGTGGCGACCGGTCCACCTCGGCCAAAAGACGATACATGTAGAGAGGGCCTCCCTAAAAAGACTCAGTCCAAAAACCATTGCGCCCCCACCCTAAAAAGACTCAAACCCGATTATCTCGGCTTGTATTCCTCCCACCCCGCCGCCGTCTTCGAATATCAATGAACACTCATTCCAGCTACAAGGAAGACATGGTCAGACGGGCGCAGGAGCAACTTGAGGTCGGCCTCGCCCAGATTGCGACCGCGTCTCCCTTCCGCCAGAGGCTCCTGACGAAGGCCACCGCCCTCAAACTATACTATTTTGACCCGTTCCTATCCACTACGGATGTCGGCGGAGCTCCGGGAGCCTCCGCCGAGCGAATCTGGACGACCCGCCACATCGCCCATGCGCTGGGTCGATCGCAGTCCATGATCGCCCGCTGCATCAAGGCCCACGCCAACCTCGCTCCTGACATTCCTGGAATGACCTTAGATGAGTTGGCTGACGTTCTGCGCGAGGATCCCATCCAGGGACAAGGCTACGTGTTCACCGTCCCCGAGGAGCAAGAGCTCGTCGAGTTTGTCAAGCGGTGCTGCTTAGGAGCTGTCTCTCTGAGCAAAACGGAATTCACTCGATATGTGCTTGCAGCCTCGAAGGTGCCGAGGCCGGACGGCGTGGAAAGACGTCAATTTGAGCACGACAAAGTTTCCGACAAGTGGGTCAATGATTTTGTCGCCCGTCACAGCTCACAGATTGGCTGGCGCAGTAGCAGCGTGTTGGAAACACTTCGAGTGGCTGCTTTGAGTGAAAAGAAGCTCGGCAGTTTGTTCGCGCTACTGGCGGAGTACAGCAATCTTTACCCGACTCTTTTCGCTACGCCGGCCAATATTTTCAACATGGACGAGTCGGATTGCTCTGTGGGTCGTAAAAAGAAGCGTGCCCTGGCTGCTGTTGGTGTCAAGCGTGTCAGTCGGCGATCTGGCCGAACCATTACGATGGGACCGCATGTTACTGGTCTGTTTACTGTTTGTGCTGATGGCACCGCTCCTGTTGCGCCCCACTTCATTGTCGCGCATCCACGGCCCACTCTACCTCACAGGTGCACCGAGGGCCTGGACGAGGAGTTGATTCACCAGTCCGAGTCCGGCTTCATCAACGAGGAAATCTTCGACAAGTGGTTTCGAGATTTCGTCGAGGTCGTCAAGGAGCGAGCTACCACCACCCCCGTTCTATTGGTGATGGATGGCAGCTCGTGTCACAAGTTCACTGTCGGGTTGATTGACCTCGCGGTGAGCAACAACATCCTGGTTGCGATCCTTCCATCGCACACGTCGACTCACTTGCAGCCGCTCAACGTCACCGTCTTTGCCTGGTACAAGAACTTGCTCGAGACTCACGTGCAGTCGCTTTTGGATGAAGACTCGCCACTCATCGACGTGAACATCAAGCTTCACGGGGCCATTCGGGCGTGGAACGAAATTGACGACCGATCCAACTTGATCCGATCTGGGTTTCGCCAAACTGGTATCTATCCGCTGGACACGGAAAAGCACAAGACCCTAGCGTTGCCTTCCGTCGCTGACGTTGCCGTGTCTACGACCCCCTCGCTGCACATTCCCGAGCCACCCCCGACCCCGGATGCTCGGTATTCGGCGTTGTACCGTGTCCGTCAGATTGCCGATGCCGCCCTGGTAACCATTGGTTGCACTCCGAGAGCTCTACAGCAAAAGAGGGTGCACGATGCAGCGGTAGCTGATTTGCGTCGAAATCTCGAGGTCGAACTTTCGGTGCAAGAAGTCCTTCGGGCCCCACCCAGGCCCCTGCGGTCCAGGAGCATTGGCAACAGCTCCATGCGCGTTTCTATGAACTCGACCGCTCGATCCCCGCTTACGCCGGAGAATAGGGATGCCCAGCTTAAGCGGCAGGAGTTGCAAGAGAAGAGGAAGCAGCTCGAACCTCTGAAAGAAGAGTACAATCGGCAACGGCCCATCTTCCTCCGCACGCTAAAAGACCTTGACTCACGCATCTTGACACTTGCGGAGACAATTCTTGCTCTGGAGACTCAGCTGGCTGCTCTGGGAGAAGAGGTCGAGCAGGACATCGAATCGGCAACTGCCGCGGAGACCCGAAACAAGCTAGCTGCTGCTCGCCTGCAGCATACCAAGCTCGTACGTGACCGCGCGACATTTTTCAAGAACCGTCTCAAGCGACCCACTCTTCTAAGTCTTGAGCCAGCGGCGACCGCTTCCACACCTCTCGTTCCTCGGCGCGTCAGCAGGCCTAGGCCCATTCTCGCTTCGCAATCGATGGCGAACGACACTGTCGACTTGGATCAATCAGCCAGCGAGGAGGAAAGCGAGTCTGACGACGATGACGACGAGAATCAAGCGTCGTCCGAAATGGCTTCCGCTGCCATCGGCCACAACGACAACCAGGAGGACCCCAGCGATGTCCAGCGTCAACCTCAAGCCGCCCGCAAGCGTCGCTAGGAAGATGACGATGAAAACGTCGCGCCCGTCTTCACCACGGTCACATCAGACTCGAGCGATGTTGTTCAAGTCGATTATCAGCTGAGCTCCACCGAACTCCAAGAAATCCGACGCTATCGCATGCCAACGCGTAGTACTACGAAGCAAGATGGACATAATGTCAAATTGGCGCGTGTAGACCTCCAACCTGCGTCGTCAAGGCCGGCGCTCAGCGACCTGACAAACCTTTCTCGAAGCAACACGCTACCACTGTAATTTTCCGTGTTTTGTGTTCAATTCTATGTGCATCCCATGTCATTCAATGTAGTTATGTGTTTTTTCCGGTCAAAAAGGGTGAAATCATGTCTAGGCAGGGGAAGATTGGACCATGCCCGTCCGGCGCGGGCGGTCTGGCACCTGCCGGGTTCTGTGGTCACATACAGTAACCGTCGCACCAACTGCAATACATAGATACCAGTTGGTATTACATGTCCCAGTTGAAGATGGGCCGACAGATCCTCGACACGGGCGACACGGGACTGGCAAAGTCAGTTTCTCCCTAAAAAGACTCAGCCCTAATGCACGCCCAGCCAAATCGAAGCGAAAATTTTCCCCTCCGATTCGCACCAAAATTACCAAATCAACTATATAATTTATGCTCTTTCCAATGATATAGGTGGCAGGGCGAGGAAATGAACAGGGGGGACTGAGTCTTTTTAGGGAGGCCCTCTCTACTAGTAATTTCCATTCCTGTAAGCTCGTCTATCACTTGTTCTTCACTTTGGACAAGAACGAGTATTCTGTCCATCATTGCACACAAGAGGGGAGGGGGCAGGGGTTGACATTCATTTCTTTTCCTCCATTTGTCAGTCTTTTTTTTTTTTTTTTTTTGTTTGTTTTGTTTTTGGTGCAGAGTGCAGCGCGCCGCGAACCTCATGATTCCGTACGACCTCAAGCAGGGAATTGTGAGCACTGAAACAAGAAACAAAAATGGCGCGCACACAAAAGAGTCACTATATTCACGCGACAACGACAATAAACAACAAAACACTCCTGAATGCAACGATCGCCAAAGAGAGCGCAACATCCGCAAAAAAAAAAAAAAAAACTCATGCGACGTGCCTGAGCTCGACGAAGCGATCGTTGACAAAAAGGTTCCTGAACACGGCAACAACAAAACTTGCAAAAGCTTCTAGCAAAACAAAACACAGACAGTCGACGCTTAAAAGCCGACAAACAAATCATTGTCTGTGCCCGTCAAACCACCCTCGCTGTCGTCCTCGCTCGCCAGCGCACTGTAGTTGATAAAGTTGCCAGTGTCTCCGGGAGAGTTGTAGGACGGCACGAACGGCGGCGGCACACGGCAGCGCTCGAGCTGCTCCCAGCTGTACGCCTTAAACAACGGGTGGGCCTGAATTTCTTGGACGCCCTTGCTGCCCAGTCGACGCTGAGGACTCAAGGTCAGCAGCGCTTTGCAGAGAGAGACAACCTCGGGGCACTTGGTCTGCATGTCCTGCGGGTAGACGACATTCGAGTGGAGAATGAGGTTGTAGAGCTCGTTCACTGTTCGGCGTTTGAACGGGACGTGTCCTGAGACGAGAGAAGAAGCAAGGAGCGGGCAAACATTTCAAAAGCAAAATGAGTGTCAAATTTGAGAGGAGAGAGGAGGGGAAGGCATGAAAAACGAAAAACAACGACAACAACAACAACAACAACACTGAACGAAATCACGCTTCTCACCAGTCACGAGCTCAAACGCAAAGACACCCAGCGTCCACCAATCGACAGACATGTCATGACCAAAACCTTGAATCTACAAGTCGAGAAAGAGAAGTCAAACGATTGCCCCTCCCCCCTCCTCTCAAAAAAAAAAAAAAAAAAAAAAAAAGATTCAAACCAAACATGCAACTCAAAACAGCACAGCAGTCCAACTCACAATCTCTGGCGCAAGATACTGAGGAGTACCAATGAAGGACATGCGACGCTCGCCCTTGCGAAGCGTCCGCGCAAAGCCCATGTCCGCAAGCTTGATGTGCCCACGACCGTCGAGCAAGACATTCTCGGGCTTCAGATCGCGGTAGACAATGTCCAACGAGTGCAGGTAGCCAAGCGCAAGCACAATCTCTGCAATGTAGAACGTGGCCATGGGCTGCGAGAAGCGATGCGAGAGCTTGAGCAGCGTAAATAGCTCGCCACCAATGGCATACTCCAAGACCATAAAGATGCGGTCGGAATCCTGGAGCGTCGCAACCATGTTGACGAGGAAGGGATGGTTGATTTTCTCCAGCACGGCCTTCTCCTCACGGACGTGCTCGACGTGGCCGAGCTTGAGGAGCTTGTGCTTTGACATGGCTTTGATGGCATAGAAGGTGTTGGAGGGAATGTGCCGAGACAAGAGCACCTCGGCAAACGCGCCGCGACCAATCACGCGGAAGACCTCAAAGTCGACCAACGTCGGGTTGATGATGGCCGGCGGCTTGGTTGGCACCGACAGAGTCTCAGAGATGGAGCTGACAAAGGTGGCAATGTCCTGGCTGCACTTGACGAGTACGTTGACGTGGTTGGAGTCTGGGATGGCCTTGATGAAGCGCCGCGATGAGTGCACCTTGTCGGCCGCGTTCGACATGAGCTCGGTGATCTTGTCGGCAGCCAAGACCTGGTCGTCGGCTCCGACAATGTAGCAGAACGGTCGATCAATGCTGCCGATCGCGTCGCCGATGCTTTCAATGTTGTAAGCGCCCATGAATGCGGCGCTGACACTGGTCACGAGCGTCGGATCGAACGTGTCTTTGAGCAATTCGGCTGTCGCCTTGCGCATCCGCCAGGTCTTGCCGTGCGAGCGGAAGAGGCCGCCAGAGATGCGCGACAACACCAAGTCCAAGTAGTTGACGTCGCCCTTGAGGGTATCGACAGCTCCTTCACGGAAGAGCCCGGACGACAGGTTGAAGCCGGAAGCGACAAAGATGAGCGCGTCGGGCGTCTCCTTGTCCTTCCACTGGTTGTAGTTGAGCACGAGCGAGCCGTGTCGCTGCCAGCCGAGCAAAAAGCACGGCACAGAGTGGTCCTTGTTCTTGACGTAGCGCAGCATGGTTCGAACATCGCTCCAGACGTGCTCCTTGCTCTCGGGGTCACCGCGTTTGCCACCCGCATTTCCGATACCTCGAACGTCGAGAATGTAGCAAGCAATGTTGTGCCTGCTGGCAAGCTGATGCGCGAGCACCTGCAGCCAGGGCTTGCCCATGACCATGACAATCTGACCAACGACATTGCGCGCGCCCAAGCCCATCCATGAGCCCTCATTTGTCGCAGAGAGCGACGGGGTGGAGGGAGTGGAGCCCGTGTTGGGTGGAAGGAACTCGTAGTAGGCAAGTCGCACGCCGCCGCGACCTTCAATGTACTTGACTGGAACGTGCGGCACGCCGGGAATGGCGTCAATGACGTCCTTGACGTGAGAGTACCCATAGATCTGATCTGGTGAGAGGTTGCTGTTGGGGTTTGCGGTCAGCGTCGGCGAGCCGGCCGCAGGCAGCGGTGCGGCAAAATCGCGCAGGTTGTGCGCACTTGACGAAGGAGAGACGCCAGCCACAACGGGCTGCGGCCCGGGCGACGATCGGCCGCTCAGCGATTCTCCAGACGACATGCGGGGAACATTGAGGCGATCGGCCGACAGCTCTTCAAACTCGTCGTCCTGCTGGTGGTCTTGCACAAAGGCAAACTCGTCGTCGTTGGTGGTGCCTGACTGCGCGTATGTTTTGATAATCCATTCACCAATGTAGCTGTGGACCACCGCCAAGAGCCCCAAATGGGTGACGTTCGGCACGACACAGAGCAGCTTTCGCGTATTGGGACAGACGGCGCCCAGGTTGACGACTTTTTGCTGCATTGGTTGTCAAAACGAACAAGCAAATAAAAATAAACAAGTGAGCAACCAAAAAGGGAGGTGGGTGGACAAGCAAGAGCCTGTAAAATTCAAGGCGGCATAGAAGTACGAACCGCATCCAAAATTTCGTCTTGCTCTGCAGCGAAAATTGCAATCGGCTGCTGGATGCGCTTGAAGGCGCGCTTGGGCTTGTCGCAGTTGAAAGCCTGAATAAATTCAGTGGTGAATTTGATCACGCCCGTCGGCATGTTGCCCAGATTCGCGTGGGTTGCGAAAGGGCGATGGGTTGTATCAATCTAAAGAGGGCACTCGGAATGAATCAGCTGTTTGCGAGCACATCTAAGCAACAAAACAACCCTGCAGCACAACCGTACCTCGACGGCAGTGGAATGCTTCATGACGAGACCGCGCGAGAGCTTGTGAATGGCCATTTTGCTACGATCCACTTTCACGCCAAAGCGCTTGGAGAGGGTGAGAATTTTGCCATCTCGCATAATCTTCTTGTAGGTGCTGTGGCGCGTTGAATTGAAGCAGGAGGAAGGAGATGAGTCAGGGAAATACAGAAAAAAAACCAGCAAAATGAACCAAAGAACAACACACAAATCAAGAAAAAAAAAACTCACCCAAAGTTGGTTGCGGCAAAGACATAGCCATCAACAGCCTCCTTGTCTTCCCAGAGGGAATAGTTGGCGAGCAAGCCGCCCGCGCCAGCAAAGGCGAGCAAGATGACTGGCGCAGGAGTCGCACGATTCCACTTGACAAAGCGCACCATCGTGCGAATGTCTGCAAAAAGCTGCTCCGTGCTCGACACGTCGCCAAACTCGCCGCCAGAACGGCCGTGGCCGCGCAAATCGAGATTGTAGCAGGCAATGTTGGAGTCTTCCACGAGTTTTTCGCACAAAAAGTTCAAGACAAACCCGTCAAATCCGTAGTGGTGCAGGGTGATGACGTGAGCCGCGGGCGTTGGCATGCCGGGCTCGGGCAGGAATGGGCGGAAGGCCAGATGAACGCCATCCGTGGCATCAATGTACGTGACGGGGCGACGGATGGCGCGCAGGGTAAACTCGCCGTACACTTCGTTGTCAGTCAAGGGCGAGTAGAATTCCTCAAAGTTAAAGTCCTCGGAGAAGGCGGACGGGGACTTGCGCAGACCCGGCCGAACCTCCGCTTTGAGCTCGCCGACGCGCGGCGCAACGGCAGCCGCACCAGCAGAAGCAGCAGCCGGAGTCGGGGTGGGAGGGGTGACGGTGGTTTGCAGGGCGGACGCAGCCGACGATGACGCTGCGGTAACGTTAATGTGCGGCTTGGCGTTGACAAAGATCTTGGTGACTTGCGAGTAGCTGGACAGCGAGTCCAAGCGATTCGCGCGCTCGTCCGTGGTCAGAGCGAGGCGGGCATCCACTTCGAGAGACGTCACAAGTCCGTTGATCGGAACGCGCAGCATCACTCTGCCCTCGTGGTTGAGCAGGAACAGGAAGCTGGTCACCGACTGCGGCCAGGGAGGCAGCGTGGGCAAGCGGCAAACAATGGACTTGTCGTCTTCGCGTCGGAAGCCGGCTCCAAGCGAGCGCAGGTGAACAGTCGGTGTCCTGAGCAGCTCGTCAAAGTCGGGCACGATCTGGCCCGGCAGCAGGTTGCTTCGTGTTCGGCCGTGATCGTGCAGCGAGTAGTACTGGAAGATGTCGTCTGGGATGGGTTCCGTTGACTGTGAGGGCACGAAAGGTGAGGAAGGAAAAGTGGTGAGCAGGAGCATCGAGAACGAGGAGGCAAGCATCACCTCGCATCAGAACATATCAGAACATGCAGAGTTGACAAGTTTCTCAGATTCTTTTGTTTTGTTTGTTTTTTGCACATAATCGCCTCCTTGATCTTCCAAAAGACCTTCTCGTGCCTCGGTGAAATCACATTCCAAAACAATCCCAAAAACGAACGAACGGACGGGCACATCCAAGAAGCCGAGACAAGAAGAGCAAGAGCAAAGAGGGGGGGGGAAGATTGTGAGGACGGTGACGTGTTCAAGATCGGCATCTCTCCGACTTTGTTGCTGGAAACCCCCCCCCTCTCTCCACTCTCTCCACAAGCATGGATCCCGTGAGTTTGTGAGTTTTTTTAGATTGTGTGCGCTTTGTGATGGCTGCCCTGCATCAGCACTTGTTTCAAGCACTTTCGAATGGGAAGAAAATGGCGAAATTGCGGCGATTTTTTTTTTTTTTTTTTTTTTTTTTTTTTCGTGTTGCTCCAAGAAACGCAAACGAACGTACTCTGGCGTGGATGCTGAACGGGGCATCGCGGACCATGTGGATGAACGTGCCGGACGGCGGGAAGACGCGTTGCTCGTGTGCTGACTTGCGGGCCCCGGCGCGGTGGTGAGCGTGAGGGTGAGCGTGATGGAGCGACCCGGCGGAGGTGTGAGCGGAGGACAGCGTCGCGGTCGCCGTCGTCGCGCCACTTTCATCACTGTGACTGCTGCCCCCTGTGGCGGTGCTGCTGCTGGTGTTGCTGTTGCCGCTGCTGCTGCTGCTGCTGCTGAAAGTGCTGATGGTCGTCTGCGCGCTGTGGAAGCTCTCGCGGCCCGCCGCCGTGCTCGGATTGCCGTCGTCGTGGGAAGAGCCGCCAGAGGACGATGACGATGTGGAGACGGTCGACAGCGGGCGGTTGGCGGCGCCCAGCAGCAGGGTGGGAGAGTGCTCGGTGACGGTGGCTGCAAAGGACACGGTGGACGGGCCCGACGACGCCATCGCCGACGACGGAGGGGTTGAGCTGGGGCTGGTGCAGGTGCTCGGGGAGCCAGAGACGAACGCGATCGTCATTTGCCGCAGCCAGCTCGGCGCACTCGCACCGCCTGCAGCTGCCATCGCCGCATCGCCACCGGGGAGCTGCGACAAGTCGTCGCCGATCAGGAGCGCGGGCTCAGCCAGCGACTGCCGCACAACGTCGAAATCGGAGGTGACTTCCGCCTCTGCTCCTGCTGGAGATTGAGTAACAGGAGGCAGTTGTTGTTGTTGTTGTTGTTGTTGTTGTGGTGGTGGTGGTGATGCCGCCTGCTGTTGTTGCAGTTGCTGAGGTTGTGCTTGCTGTTGTGGTTGCTGAGGCTGAGGCTGAGGCTGGGTGCGCGCCCCACTCGAGCCGTGTGAGGAGCCAACGTTGCCCATTTTGCAGCAAACCAAAAGTGCGGGCTTGGAACAAGGACTGAGCGTCTTACACACCGAGTATCGCGAATGGCAGCGCCTCAGATGGATGGTAAATATTAATGTCGATTGATTTGCAATGTGGGGAAGGCGACAGGGAGTGCACGGTTGCAAGAGACACCAGGAATAAAAATGGTGCGCGCGCGAGCAAGAGATTTGGATGGCAAGGACTCGTGCCATCAATGTCAAGTTGCTTCAGATGGTGGGCGACATTGTTGGCTACTAGTTTTATAAGTGTCATTGGTTTTGGGGCGGGTTGCTACATTTTGACCAGACTTGATGTTGATGGAGGTGTGGATTTGAAGAGGCAAGCAAAATTGCAATCGTACGTGTCGCGAGTCGAAAATCTCGCCCAAACCTCAAAACATATCAATATCTCATCCATTCAAGTAATCTTAAACACTCTGGCGGCGAGCGGAGGCCTGGATGGCGTGCATCTGGAGCAGTCAAGTTGACACTTTACAATTTCGGACAGCTTTTCACATGTTCCGCTGCTTTCCCACACTTCCTCAAAGTCGCAACAACAGCTCAAAACCACCACACTGATCAAATCGAATGCCGGTTTGTTCACAGACCAGTGGCCGGGATGCAGCGTGCGGACACGAGCCACGTCACAAACGCGCACATGTGTGTGTTTTGCTCGCCACATTCCTCCACATTTGATCCAACCACGAAAACCGCGCACTTCGTCTCCTTTCTCAATATCATGCATCTGACTTGGTTTGCTTGCAGATCTTTCGTTCAACGCAAGCAACACAAATCAACAAGGCAAAAACGAGAAAAAGACCAGCGATCGAAGAATTCAGCGACCTTCCTGAAATGGCAAAACTTCAGCTTGTCACTCTTTCTTTATTTGACCTGCCTGCCATCGTCCGTTCGTCACTTGCCATGCATCGCTCTTCATCATCGTCATCATCATCCTGCGTCGTCGCCAGGGTCGGCCGTGGGGCGGCAGTGCTCGCGCTCGCAACCGCCTGCTTTGCGGTCTGCTCAGTCCAGGCGGTGGTCAACCCAAAGCTGCTCGTCGCCTTCTACCCGGGCTCCACGGACTGCTCGACGCTCGGCGCCAACGACACGACGCCCATGATTGTCACGTCCAGCACGTGCTACCCGGGCGCCACCGAGTCGGACTACTGGACGCTCATCGCCGCGCTCGACTCTGGCACGGGCACGTATCGCCAGTTCCAGTTGCTCGCGGGCTGCCCGAGCGGCTGCAACGCCGGCGACTGCACCACCAATATCAGCGGCGCTGAATTCAGCGAGTATTGCTCAAGCACCAACTTTGCCTCGGCCGACACGGCGAGCGTCAAGGTCTATGTCGTCCCGCCGCCCACCGCGTCCGCCCCGACCCGCCAGATCCAGTTCTTCAGCGACTCGCACTGCGAAGACCCCACGACCTTTGTCAACATCCAGTCCAACCAGCTCTTCACCTGCGTGGCTGCGTCGGGCAAACGCTATGGCCTCACGAATGTCGAGATTGTCGACGACGACGCCCAAATTGCCCTGATGATGGGCTGCAACTGTAAAGCCGACAATGCGGTTGTGTTGGAGACTTTGAGGTGGTGGTATGGGGTGGTGGTGTGGGGTGGTGGTATGGGGAGAGTTATCCAAATGTCATGGTTTTGCTTACTGACCTGATTGTTTGCTGTTTGCTCTCACACCTCGATCTTGCTCGATCGTGTCTGCTTGGTGTATTCGCCTTCCTGCCGTTTGTAGCCAACTGCTCGTCGTGCGAGACCAACTACATTGGCCAGTTCAACCATTGCCACACTGTCAACAGCCTGCATTTTGTGGTCACGAACGCCGCCGGTCTTCTCCAAGTCCCCACTCTGTTTGCCTTGCTGGCGACTTCGATGCTTGGTCTTTTCGTCTCCAAGATGTTCTAAGGCGTTGCTTGCGCTTGCACTGTGGTTTTTATTTTTGTGTACAAAGCCCCTCTTCATTACACCCATTTCTGTGATTTTGAGTCAAGTCAATCTTGTCAATTTTGGTGCAAGAGACGACCATCCACTTCCAAGCTGTATTGTGGACTGAGATCTTGTCCATCCGACTCGCGACTCAGAGGTCACACATTGGCAACGAGGGGGAAAGCGTGAACAGCTGACCGTTTACCTTGGATTTCTGAAACGAGCAGATCAACCTCTCTTGGTTGATGCAATCCGTTCCTACCTCAGCCATCTCCACTCCAAATCCAAATCCACTTCATTTACTACTCCTTTCTTCAGTCCTTGTATTGTGCTTGTGTTTTGTAGCGTGGTGTTTTGTTTTTTGTTTTTTCGCCCCGCACCGCACTCTGACAAATGCAGCACGTCAAGTACCAACCGGTGCGATCGACGGACGACGACCACGCACAAGCTGCTGCTGCTGCTGCTGCTGCTGCTGCTGCTGCACAATCACAGTCATACACTCATGGGGATGATGCTGATACCGGGATTGACCCGTCGAACTGCCTGCCGCACTTGCGCACGACGGCGAGTCGCATGACACGGCCAGCAGCGGCAGCAGCGACGTCGCGGGTGTACGTCCCACGGCGCTTCATGGTGGTCTCGCTCACAACAGCATGCACTTGGACGGTGTATGTGCTGCGCGTCTGCATGAGCGTCGCCATCATCACCATGGCCAAGCCGGAGCAGTACGACTACTCTGAGACCGAGCAGGGCTTCATTCTCGCCTCCTTCTTTTACGGCTACATTACAACACAGCTCGCCGGGTAAGCCTTTGTTTTTTGTTTGTTTGTTTGTTTGAAAAGGAAGTGACAGGTTTGAATGAGTTTTGATCAAAGGTGAATGAACGGATGATGATGAAGAGAGCGCAAACAACAAAAACCCCAGAAAAACTCAGACGCGCCGTCCAAATTAGGCGATTTTCTGAAGCTGAACAAATCTCTGACTTGCCTTATTTTCCGTCACAGAGCCTATCTATCCAAAAAGTACGGCGCCAAGCAAGTCCTCGGCATCGGAACGCTGATTGCGTCGCTGATGACTGCCCTGACCCCGGTCGCGGCGTCGGGTGGAATTGCACCGCTGATTGCCGTTCGCGTGCTGATGGGCATTGCAGAGGGCGTCACCTACCCGTCGATTCACGATCTCATGGGTCGCTGGACGCCGCAGGAAGAGTCGTCGCGCTCCGTCTCGATTGTTTGGAGCGGCGCACAGCTGGGCACCGCCATCACGATGGGCCTCACACCCGTGATTATCAATGGCGTGGGCTGGCGCGGCGCCTTTTACATCATGGCGAGCATCGGCGTCCTGTGGTATCTCTTGTGGTTTAAGTTTGTCTCCAGTGCGCCCGACCAGCACCCAACCATCGATCCCGCCGAGCTTGCCTACATTGCTGCGCACGTCAAACCCGACCACGGTCCCGAAGCGCCCCTGTCGGCGGTCGATCAACCGGATCCGGCGCAGTTTGAGCACCCACCGACCATCGGCCGCAGCCTGTCTGGCGCAACCGCCGTTGTCAACGCCGCTCCCGACCTTTCGGAAGACGACCGGGCGCACATCCCATGGAAGACGATCATCTCTCAGCGCGTCGTGTGGGCTCTCATCATTACCAACTTTACCGTGAACTGTAAGTGTGGGTATTCAAGTTTGAAGATTGGAAGAATTTGTCTCTCACATGTGATTGTACATTTCAATTCTTTGTGTGAAACCACAGGGAGCTACTACACCCTGCTCACCTTCCTACCAAAGTACATCCACAACGTGATTGGATTTGATCTCGAGAGCGCAGGCTTTTTGGCAGTGCTGCCGTACTTGTCCATGTTTGGCGTTGCGATTGTGGCGGGCCGCATTTCCGACTACTGCATCGGCAACCTTGGATTCAAGCGCATTCGTGTGCGGTATGCCTTGGTGGCCTGTGGCTCCGTGGTGCCTGCCATCTTCCTCGCCGCCATGGGCTACCTGGACAGCCAAGCCGCTGCCGTGACGTTTATTGTGATTGCCGTCGGCTTTGCTGGCTGCAATCTGCCTGGCTACGGGTCCTACCCGCTCGACATTGCGCCTCACTATGCGGGTGTTATGATTGGCCTGAGCAACACTGCGGGTACCATTCCCGGCATCATTTCGCCGACCCTGACTGGTACAATTGTTTTGGAGTTTGGTTGTTGGATGTTTGTGTGCTGAGGGTTGTGTAGTGGCATGAAAACGCTCACTGCCATGCCTTGACCGTTTGTTTGTCCTGTAAGGTGTCATGCTCGATGCTGGAGACTGCCAGGATAGCTATCCAGAGAATGACTCGTGCCGACGAGCGTGGAAGGTTGTGTTTTTCCTGGCGGCAGGCGTCTACGTGCTCGGCCTCGTGATTTTTATGCTTTTGGCGCACGGCCGTCGCATCCAAGAGCTCGATCCGCACCACGTAGCTGCCGAGCGGCAACGCCAGCGCGAGCTCAAGCAGACGCGAGCGCTTGGATCGTACGGATCGACGTCTCGGTTGTTGTAAAAGCGTGTTTCAAATAGATTGATGTTTTGCCGATGTTTCTCCCCCAAGATCGCTCATATTTTTATATATCGACACATTGGCACACTCGATCATCACCCTGTCCAAATACAGCCGGCGCAGTCTCAATGCAGCGTGCGAGTGCTCGGTTCCTCCGCTCGCTCCCGTCCGCTCTTCCATCCGCTCTTCCATCCCCTTCCTGCCGCCGCGCCGCCGCCCTCCAACCCCGCCAGCCGCCGCTCCTTCTCGCGCCCAGTTGCTGCCGTCAGTCCCTCTCGCTTGTGCCTGCCGCCGCCGCCTCGTCTCCTGCGTCCCCCCTTCTTGCGATTCTCCGCCGCCGCCACCAACAACGCCTCATGTCATCCTACGGCGCTGCCTCCACCGCTGCTCCCAGCGCCGATGCTGTTCCCGTCGCATTCGACACGCGCTCGGACACTGTCACCAAGCCCACCCCAGGCATGCTCCAGGTAGCCCCCACCCCACCCCCCGCCTCTCGCTGAGCTTCACTTTCAATGCAAATCCTGCAACGAGCAACAGGATTGAAATTGTTCATCCGAATTTCCCCGCTTTTTGTCGTTTCTGTTTCTGACCAAACTGAGGAAACAAGAAGCACAAAACAAGCCAAGAAACAAGCATTGAATGAATTGAATGATGATACTGGACGGAGAAAACAACCCCTCAAAAAACCTCCAAACGAGCGGTGGTTTGGTTCACAAAAACGAAATGTCACGCATGCTCACTTTGACTTGCACACAGGCCATGCTCAACGCCGCGGTCGGCGACGACGTCTACGATGAAGATCCATCCATCCACAAGCTCGAGGCATTTGTTGCACAACTGACCGGCAAGGAGGCTGCACTTTTCTGCGCGACCGGCACCATGACAAACCAGGTGAGTGGATTTTTGGTTTTGTCGCGAATCTACAACAATGGCGCTTAGCTTGGATGGATGCCATCCTTTCTTTTCTTTCTTATTCGCGCAGCTCGCCATCCGATCGCAAATCGGCGCGCTCGAGTCTCTCATTTGCGACATTCGCGCGCACATCTTCCGCTACGAATGCGGCGGCGTTGCGTATCACTCTCAAGCGCACATCATTCCTCTTCAGCCGCCGAATGGTGGCAACATTACTCTGGAGATGATTGGTACGAGGAGATTGTATTTGTTGCTTTTTGACTCTGTCCTGTCATTGGTTTCTAAACTTTTTGTTTGCTACGCTTTCTGCTCTGTAGAGGCCCAAGTGCTCACATTCAACGTTCATCATGCCGTCACCAAGCTGATTGAGATTGAAAACACGCTGGGTGGTGCCGTCTTCCCTTACGACGAGATTGTTCGCATCAGGTAAGCTGCTGTTTTTTGTTGCTCAAGATCAAACAAGTCCAGAAAGCCAACGCTTGCCAACTTTCCCTACTCTGCGCAGCACCTATGCCAAGCAGCACGGCATCAAGATGCATCTCGATGGCGCACGCATCTGGAATGCAAGCATTGCCACGGGCATTCCGCTGAAGCAGTACTGCGACCATTTTGACTCGGTCTCGCTTTGCTTGTCCAAGGGCCTCGGTGCGCCGATCGGCTCTGTCCTCGTTGGTTCCCGAGAGCTCATTCATCGCGCTCGTCACTTCCGCAAGGTCGGTGGCTTTGTCGCTTTTTGCATCCTGTCTCTCGAATTATGTTTTTGTGACCAACTCCTTTCTCTTCACTCGTTCTCCTCCCTCCCCCCCGCTTTTTGACTCCTTTTGGGTCTCTGTTCTGTAGCTGTTCGGCGGAGGCTGGCGCCAGGCGGGATTGCTTGCTGCGGGCGGACAATACGCGATCGAGCACCAGTGGACTCGCATGGCGGACGATCACGCCAACGCCAAGCAGTTTGCCGAGCTCATCACGAAGGCTGGCCACATGACCGTGACCAACAAGGTGGAGACCAACATGGTCTTTGTGCTGCTCAACCCTGAGCTGCGCAAGAAGGGAGTCAGCTGGAACAAGATTGCCGCCCGCCTCCGATCCGTCCACGGCATTGTTGTCAACGAGGACGGCGCTCACCCGGCCCCCGTCCGCTTCGTCTTCCATCTGCACATTACGAGCGAGGCCACTGCCAAGCTTGCTGCTGCCATCAACGACGAGATTGCCCAGGCGCTCAGTGCCGTTGTTGCGTGAGAGGCTTGAGTGAATTGTTTCGGATTGTAGCTGCCGTTGGCACCTGTCTGTCTGTCTGTCTGTCTGTCTGTTTGTCTGTCTGTTGTGCTTGTACCACATATGCGTCCCAATCCATGGGTGTCCTGAGACTGAGCATTTGAACAACCGAAAAAAGCAGTTGGTGATTTTCTTTTTTTGGTCGACAGCAAGCTCTGAAGCAGATAGCGAAAATCATCCAAGCACAATCTTGAGTGATATCACGCAGACGTTGAGCAAGATGAGTGGAACTGCAATCCATGCGAGTTGTCGGGATTTGTAAGTTGAGTGAGTTTGCATTGCAGCGATGACCAAAATCACAACACACCCCCCCCCCGCCTCCGTCCTCTCCTCAAGCATGAGTGCATTGAGCCCGCTTTACTTCGCATGTATTTCCGGACGTCGTGGATGAGGAGCATGACGCGCGCTTTGGCGGTGGTTGAATCGACGCCGTATCCCGACTGCTGCTGCTGGTGGCTCCAGCCAACTAGAGAGCGCGCGAGAGAGCGAGTAAGAGAGAGGGAAGGGAGTGATCAAAGCAAGTCATGAGCAGGTCAGTGAGTGAGTGAGTGAGTGAGGATGAGGAAGCGGTTGGCTTGAGTTTTACGCCGTCGTGTCAATCGCAGCCCCTCATAGGACGACCACAGCCACCAACAGAAGGAGAAACAAGTGACAGCAACAATCAACAACAACAACCCAAAGCAAAAAAACGCACTCTTGGCGAGGAAGCGCTGCTCGTTCAGCACAGCGATAGCATTGAAGAACAAGAGCAGAGCCTCAAGCAACGCCCAGAACGACACGGCCATGTTGGTCCCGACGAGCGATGGATGTAGAGTGACCAAACAAATGTATTTACATGTATACGACAATGCAAAAAAATGCTACTGTATTGGTCTTCAACAAACGAACCAACCAAAAAAACAACAAAACTTAACGGAAAACAACCAGACTGCACAACAAGAAAGGAGAACACACGATTCGTTCACCCACTCCCGAGTTGCTTTTTAAAGGTCGGGCACGCTGTGGTCCATAAACTTGCGGATGGTGGAGGTGGACAGGTTCTTCATCATGGTTTCGAAAATGACCGAGGGCATGACGGTCAGCGTGACAATGTCGCCAGCGGCATGAATCTCGCGACCAATGGCCTCGTCGTCCAGGCCAATGACGTTGACGCCGTTGACCTCGAGGAAGTGGTGCTCGGTGAGGAGACCGTTGCGGGCAGCAGAGGTCTCGGCAGCAATCTGGGTAATCTTTCCCTTCTTGAAGACAAAGCCGAGGTGGTCGGTCGAGTTCTTGGTGAGCGTGATGGTGCGCTCGAAGGGACGGTCGCGGAGGACAATGTCAATGCGCGCAGGGTTGGCGTTCTTGAAAATCTTGAGAATCTTGTCGTTCGAGTATCCGGCAACCGTCTCGCTGTCAATCTGGATGATTTGGTCGCCGACGCGGATGCCGGCGAGCGCGGCGGACGAGTTCTTCCAGACGCACGAGACAAAGACGCCCTTGTTGATGGCCTGGACGGTGATGCCAATCTTGCCGGCAGCGTCCTTGCAGATCGACACCTGGCGGACGCCGTTCTTGACCTCGGCGCGCTTGAAGCCAGCCTGCGCCTGGGTGAGTGCGACCGCGTTGTTGGGGTTTTTCTCGGCGAGCTGCTTGGGCTGGTTCTGCGCGAGCTGCATGCTGTTCTGCTGCTCGGCAAGGGCGAGCGAGATGCCCATGTAGTCGTCGAGGCCAATGTCCGAGTACAGGCCGGCGTAGAGCGATCCCGCCGGGAGGATGGCTTGCGAAGGCTGTTCAAAGAACACAAAAAAGAGAATGTTAGCATTGCATTTCGGAGAAATAAGTCTGAGACAACAACAACAACAAAATCTGAGAAAGGATGTGTTTTTGGCTGTTGCTGGATTAGTCGGTTTTGTGGCTTTTACCTGACCGTGGCTGGCGGCAGTGATGGCGCCCTGGACGTTCTGGACAAAGCCAGCCTGGGCCTGCAAGAGCAACAAACAATGGGGAAACAAGACGGGGAAAGTGAGTGAAAGGAAAGAAGGAAGGGAAGGAAGGAAAAAAAAAAAACCGGGAAAAAAGCAATGGAAAAGCAATGGAAACAAGCATTGAATCAATCCTTTGAAATGAATAAACTGTCTCGCTCGCTGCTGCTCAGCGTCCACTAACCCCGACTCCCCCCAACAAGCAGCAAATGCACATAGTAGCAAGACCGAAGCAAGATGAAGCAGAATGAGGGAGGTGCCGCACAGAACGAAAGGGGCAAGAGCAAGCCGCGGACGTGACGTCAACACCGCGCGAACACGCTTTCCTGTGTTCACCTTCGCCGCTCACTGCCATGGCGCTGTGCTGCAATGCGCAACTGCATTGGAAGCAGCGAGTGCACGCTTCACTTGAGAGCGAGCGAGACCCTTTTCCCCCGCGTGGCTGGCCGTTGTGAGCTTTTGAGCTTTTTGAGCTTTTTTTTTTTCAAAACCGCTCTTCTGCGGTCTCCATTGCACTCTCTGACTTTGCTTTGTTGCTGTCGCTCTCTCCTGCTTAGCATTGTGGTTGCGACTGGCGTGATTTACCTGAGCCATGTTGCTCATGGTCAGCGACTCAATCGTGGGGTACAGCGACATTGTTGTGAAAGAAAAAAAAATAAGAGATCACTCAAAGGACGACTGCCTTGCCTTGATCAGTAAATCAGAGAATCAGAGTTCATCAGAGTCTACTCTAGTGATTTTGCCTGTTTTTGCATTGTCAACGAGAAAGATCTGAACCAGCTCGCGCTGGAACAAAATAATAACAAGATGTTCAGAAAGCTTGCGTCTGAGATAGTTTGTATTTTGCTTAGGGGACTCGGTGTCGTGACTGTGAAAGAAATCAGAACAAAGCACACGCCTAAAAGGCCACCAAAGAAGCCAGCTGGTCGGTCCCGTTGTGCGGCAAAACAGTCACGTTGAGCAGCCGACCAACTAGTGGATACACATCGAGAATGCTGGGCGATGCAACGACCGTTCCCGCGCGTGCTCGGAACGACGGGCCGGAGGCAATGAACAACCCGTGCATGTCTGGCTCTTGGTTGTCAAAGCCATGGTTGCCTGGGATGACGCCTTGGATGGCTTGCGTCGTCACAGTCCACCCGATGTCCACCATGACAAACACGGACGGGACGCGAGGCGAGTTTCCGTACTGGAATCGCGCAGGAATGTCTTTTCGGGCATAGGCGTGCAGGTACGGATGCACATGGGTCAGATTGGCAACGATTTCGGGGACGAGTGCTTCTGCCAAAAATTCAAGCAGACAAAAAAGTCAGCGAACAACCATATTCCGGCTTGTGCAAGAAAATCCAGCTTCATTTCGTTACCATCTTGCACAATCAGACCGCTGTGCGAACCAGTCGAAATCACTCGCACAAGCGTCAGATCGATAAACGAATCGAGCAAGATGACGCGGGACGCAGAGGTGGCAGTCATGCCATGGTCTGAAACCAGCACAACGTCCACCAACTGATCGAGATTTCGCGACGCCAGGCCATCAAGAAGACGATCGATTGCACTATCGACATCCACGAGTGCGTTGTTGACCTAACAGAGCAATCAAAGAAAGTGAGGGGCCTCTCTGTCACCATCCATCCCAACAACATTTTGCAATAAAAAAATTTCAAATCTCGCTACCTGACCAGAATCCGGCCCGAAAGAATGCCCGGCACTGTCGACACTGGATAGATACAGTGCTACAAACGACGGACGCCGAATGGCCGGAAGATCGAGCCACCCGAGAATTCCGTCAATCCGCGCGGCGTTACTCAAGCCGTTCGCGAATGGCGTGAGATAGGTCGCGCGTCGATTCCCGTCATAGAAGACTTCCGACCCAGGCCAGTACCAGGTTCCGGACGTGACGCCCTGGCGCTCTGCGGTAATCCATAACTGAATCACAGCACAAAAAAAATGTGAGCGACGGAGCGGTGAGCCGAAAACATGCCCCCCCTAAAAATGAAATCTTACTGGCTCAGCGAGCCACCAACGCGGTTCTCGGTTCACCGCTGGATCACTGTAGCGGAAGTTTTGGTTGAGCACAGGATCGTAGAATGTGTTGTCCACAATGCCATGCACGTCTGGGAGCAGCCCCGTCACGAGCGAAATGTGATTCGGGAAGGTCTTTGACGGGAAGCAGGTGACTGTTCCCTGAGCTCGAACGCCCTGCGAGGCTGTGTTGGAAATGCAACAAGTTGTCAGTGCAGAATTGACACAGTTGTTATGAAACCATGAGTACAACAATAAAACGCTCACCAAGGCGCTTCATGGTTGGCGTGAGACCTCGGTCGAGATACTCTGCGCGGAATCCATCGATGGAGATCAGCAGCACACCTCGGAACGCATTCGGATCGGGTTGCGTGTTGTGATTCCCGCCTTGAGTTGTTGTTGTCGAGTGCGCTTCGATGACTCTGCCAATTGCAATGCCAATGCCAAGCACGATTGCAGCAACGGTCAATCCGAGCAGAATTTGGCAAATCCGGCTTTGCAAGCACGCGCCCGACACGGCGCTCTACAAACAATCATGCACGCCATAGTTGAGCAGGAATATTGCATGAGCGAGCGATCGGCGCTGAGCATTGTGTTCAGCATCAAACAGCTGAGCGACAAAGCAAAGAAGCACTTGCGCGTGAAACCCGTCCGCGCGATGGTGCTGCGCCCACGCCGCGACTGCCGCTGGATTGCAGTCCCTGCGCTGCTGCCGTGCTGTTGCGATCACTACTAGCTGACGCAGACATTGCGGTGGACGCGGCGCGGTTGCCCGTCAGTCCCAGCTCGATCGCCTCCAAATCATCCTCCTCGTCGTCATCATCGGAGGTCAGCAGCCGCTCTGCATCGGGTGCTGCAGACCGCGGTGTGTAGGCGTAGCGATCGCTGATGCTGACTTGCTCAGAGTCGTCGGGCGTGGGACGCTCGAGCCGAGTCGCTGGCTGGCTCATTGGCCGCAAAAGAAAATGGGAAGACTGCACCTCATCCAATCCAGCATAAGCAGGAACAAGATGGATACCGGAGACCAAACGTGCAGCAGAAGCACACAACGAACGCAAAGAGGGACGAAGGCGAAGAGTAGAGCGCGACAGCCATGGCTTGTAATGGTACAAAAGTACAGTAAATCTCAGAGCCGCAAAACAAATCCACAAAACAAATGCAACGGATCCTTAACGGCGATTGGGATCCATGCGCTCCAGAAGACCAACAAGCTTGACGAACGCGGCTCCGATAATGGGAGGGCATCGGGGATGGCCAGTGAGCTGGAAGCCCAGGATTTTCAGATCCGACAGCAACCGCCGTGTGTGCGCCGATTGGACATAGCGCAGGTTCAAAAAGTTGGCGTAGCTGATGAGGGGCAGGAATTCGCCGCTGCCAATAGGAAATATGATGGAAGCAAGACAAAAACAAGAGATCAGAGCGAAAAGGCGATAAAGTGAGAGGAACAATTCAGAGCGCACTTCATTGGCGCGTGTGCTTGAGGCGAGAAAACGACAGACGGCCATCAGCAATAAAACGCCCAACACAAAACAATTCAAAAAGCGTACCTGAACAGCCCGATGAAGAGAATCGGCACAAGAATCAGTTCGAGGCGAGCGGCAGCAATCTTTGCTTGATCGCCGACAGCGGTCAAACGAGCGACCAGTCCACGGATACGGGGAACAATCGTCGATCTGCATCCATACGGGCAAGAGCCAGACATTGTGAGGCAATGAAAGCAGGAACAAAGACCATCGACAGAAGGAACGGAAGCCAGTCCTCCACCAATCAACAAAAACAGTCCCTTACCGCAAGTTCTGCGGAAGAATGGCACTGGCCACGTTTGGCGTAAAGGTGGCAAATCCGTAGAGGGCGAAGATGGCCATGGGAAGAACGGCGGCAGCGTGGACATCGGCAAAGGAGAAAACGACGCAGTACATAATGTACGCAAAGTTCTCATCAGGAATGATGGAGTTGAGGTAGTTGCGGCTGAAAACGAGCTATGTGAGAGGGTTGTTGAAGGGGGGGGGGTGTTTGAAAGACGGAGGCAGCAGTAAGTAAGAAAAGTGACGCCCCAAATCGCGGCTCAACAACAGGATGACACCCACGCATCTCAATGTCAATGACAAGCAACATCACATACGCCATGTCTCTGGTACAGCATCACGATGTACGCGACAGCTCCACGACGGAAAACCTTGTAGTAGCTGATCGGCGAAGGGTCCATGCCGATCGGCACAATGAATGCGAGCACGTTGATCAGGCAGAGCAAGTTGGCAATCCACGCAATCAGCTGGAGCTGTGTGTCGTTGCATGAGCAGAGCGCGGATCAGAAAAAAAGCAGCAAACGGTCGCGAGGCGCGCGGTGAGAATATGAACGCGCAAGTGTCTTCCCCACCGAACTGCAGCACGCGCACCCAACGTCGTCTTCCATAGTTCCAATAGTGGATTTGCGCATGCATGTGCTTTGAACGCAAAGCGATATCGCACGAGTCGCACATGCTCAGACAGAACTGAGAACTGAGCACTTTTTGTTACCTTGTTTGCAATGGCAAACTGAACCAGCGACCGCCGAGCAGCAGGGGCAGCAGTGGACGATCCACTCGATGCGGATCCAGCTGATGACGATCCACCGTTGTTGGTCGAGTCAGCGCGCGGGGCTGCTGCTGGGCGGGACGCGTGCGCTGACGTGGAAGAGGCCTCGCCTGGCTCTTCGATGATCGGATCGGACGCGTCCGCCTGCGCCTTGGATGATGCGCCTTGGATGATGATGATGATGGTGATGGTGATGATGATGACGATGGGGCATCAGTGGTAGTGGTCGGAGCAGCAGCAGCAGCAGCGGGTGCCTCGTATGACGGGTCCTGTCAGTCCAGAGCGCCGTTCGTCATGGAGCAGCACCATTCACAATGTTGGCATAAAAAGTGCGAGTTGTGAGTTTGAGGAGGTTGAAGTTTGAAGGTGGACGGTTGAGTGGAGACCAATGCGCATGCGGAGACAGCCAAACTGGCGCCGACACACACACACACACACACACACACACACACACACAGAGCGAGAGATGGCTCAGTTACAATGTGCTGCTTGTACCACTTGCGCTGGAGCTTGAGCAGCTGCGACGGCGTCGGACCGTGCGCGGAAAAGCCTTCGAGACGGCTAAAGTACTCTTGCCAGCCGGGGTGGTGCACAAAGTCAAACGAGCTCACTGCGTCAGTCATGGAGGCTGGGAATATGAGAATGGGGGAATGAAACAAATAGGACTGAATGAGCACATTGCGACAAAAATAATGGCTCACGGTATACAGGACAGTAATAAAAAAAGGCAGAGCAAAGTGTTGTTCATTGAACGATCGCCAACAACTCATGGAAGGCAAACAACAAACAACAGCAACCTCATTCCACGATAACGCAGACAACGAACAATACAACTTTAAAAACAAAACCATCATCTCAAACATTGAAAAACACCACCCTTTTTGTCATCATGCCTTGGCCTTGCCGCCGAGCAGCTTGGTTGCGCGAATGTTGGCCTCGTCCACACGAGCAGTGTTGCTGTCTGTCTTCTTTTCAATACGGTCGAGGACCTCGTTGTGCTTGTCGAGTTCCGTGCCCATTACCATCGCTTGGTGGCGCAAGTCGCCCAAAATGTCGGCAACCGCGCCAATGTTCTCGTTGATCTCGGCCTCGCGATGGTCGTGCGTGACCTGCTTGATGAACATGCCATCGTCCTCCCGGCCGTTGCTGAGGGATGTGGGTTGTCTGAAGAAGACGAAGGGGTGAGATCAGGTGAGTACTGAGGCAAAAGAGAGACGCATTCATTCATGATCACGCGCAAACTCGTGTACACCTCTACACACACACATCCAACTCGACTTACTTGTCAACGACAGCGGTTGCGCCACCAGCAGCAGCAGCCGCCTCTTTCCCCTTGCCCTTGTTCTTGCCCTTCTTGTTCGGGTCTTTGCTGTGGTCGGGATCGAACGTGTCGCGCTCGTACATTTCTGTTGATTCGAATTTCTTGGCCTGTATGTCGGGCAAGCAACATGGATGCACGAGTTGGGTGAACGGAACGGTGAAGCGCGAAATGAAGTTTTGCAGACTTTTTTTTTTGCAGACTTTGCCACCTACCTTTCCACAAGGGCATCGGCACAGACCGCAGACCTTCTCCATCTTGGTCAGCTGCTCGAGTTACCAGAGGCATGGGGTGAACGACGCCCAGCGAAACCAAAGTGAGAGTGGAACACGAACATTGACAGCAAATAGCCCGGATTCTGCTGCCCCCGTCTCGGGAACTCACCGTCTTTTCGGCGCCACGCAAGTCCTCGTTGACGTTGTCCAAGTTTCGGTCGATGCGGTTGAGTTGTCCTGTTGATGCAGGCATAGAGAGTTGTGAGGCCGCATATTGAGCAGTCGTCTTCCGCGAACCCCCCTCCCCCCTCACCCCGGCCAGTGTTCTGTTAATCTTGCCAAGTTTGCCCCGTTCCACGCCACGCCACCCCCACCCCACCCCATCTCATCGAGTGAATGAGTGAGTGAGAATGGAGGGGTTCCATAACATTACGGTAAAACCGCTCCATCTCTCGTTCTCTCTCCTCTTCAACCTCACCCCCCCCAACCTCTCCAACCCAATTCTCTGCTTTTGTTCTGCTCTGCTTGTCTCGTGCTCGTCCTCGGTTGTCTCGTGCTCGTCCTCGTTCTCGTTCTCGTTCTGGGTCGTCGTTCATCGTTCTCGTTCGCAGAGCTGTGCTTTTTGATTTTTGTTCAAACAAGTCTTTTTTTTTTTTTTTTTTTTTTTTTTTTTGTGAACTCACGTCCTTGTTCTTGGAGCGTTTCGACGGTGCGACCGCCGACTTCCGCGCTCTCCATCGCGAGCTGCTTGATGCGACGGGACGCCTCGAGACTCTCGTTCGTGATCTGCAGCGTCAGGGGGGTCAGGGGTCAGGGGTCAGCAGCCATCGAGAAAGGAGCGGCAAGTCTCGTCTCCTCGTCCTGCTCCTCTCCTCCTCTCCTCCTCTCCTCGACCTTGTAATAACACCAAGCTCAAAGTACTGTGACTCACCTCGTCAGCCTCGCGGAGCATGTCCTGGACGACCTGGCTGTTCTGCTCCTTGGGCTCAGCCGGTAATGCGGTAGTCTTTTTGGCCATTCTCAGAAAAAAAGAATACCCCCAAAAATAGAGAACAAAATGTGAACTGAAAGGGGGGGGGGGAAACAAAAAAGCCGACTCGAAAGTGGAATCAAGCAAATCGAACGAAGTGAATTGGCTCAATTGATCGACAAATGAGAAGATTATCGAAACAAAATATTGGAGATCGTGGAGCGAGGAAGCAGGGGCACAACAACAACAACAGAATACGACTAGAACAAGGACGACATCAACAAAAACAAGAACGAATAGGGAAGTTATGGTGGTAGCAGATCGTAAACCAGACAAGTAATCGGCGTTACGGGAAGCTTGAGTACTAAAAAAAGCCATTGGAGCAAATCAATCAGGCTTTTGCAACAGCCGGCGTCGAGCATTGATAAACCTAGAGTTCAAACACATGAAAAAAAGCAGTGAGATAGCGAACAAGCAGGAGCCGCTGAATTGAATCACCCATTTCAACGTTCGCTTACCAGTTGTTGAGCTGTAACAGCGAAATGCCAGTTTCGGCCATCATGGCTGTCTTTTCAACATCAGAGGGATAAGGGCGCTGTTGCAATTCACAGCATGCCACACCCAACCCCCCCAAAGCGTGAGCATTTTGTTTCCGTTGTTTCCAAAACAAGCGGAGCGCACAACCCTTACCGAAGAATGCGCAAACAGCCAATTCTTCAACACCTCAACCACCTCGCGGGAAAGATTGGGGCGTTGTTTCGACCGGCCTCGGGTGAGCACAGTGTGCTGGCCGTCCTTTGACCAGGTAAAGTGAAACTCGGACGAGCTTTTCGGCTCGGCCTTGGCTTGCTTGACCGAAAAGTGAGAGTACATTGGATCGCCAAGCTGCACTGGCTGTGTCGGATCTGCAAGCTGTTCCATCTTGGCGCCATTGGAAGGGTCTGGGTTGGGACCGTCCTCGCGAGGAGATTTACCAGCTCCACGAGGGGAGTCGAGGAAGGTGGAGGCGTGCGGAAGCGTGTTTGGTGTGACGGGGGCCTCGCTCCCGTTCTGGTGATGTGCTTGCGACGGCTGCTGCTGTCCTCCCGACTGCGGCGGCGGGTGTTGGACATTGTCTCGGGGCTGAGTTGATTCGGACGAGGCCGGTTTCTCGATAACCCGTTCGCTCTCGTTGGAAGAACCAGGTTTGTTCGTGTGAGGAGGATCGGTGGGCAATGGCTTCGTCTTGTGAGCGCCATCGGACGTCGGCGCAGCAGGTACCACAGTGGGCGCCGCGGTGGCGGCGGCGGCGACAGAGTTCGCGGACGCGTGCGTCGGCTTGTACTCTGCATGAGTGTGGTGGACAGGCGGGACAGGCTGACTGACAGGGTGCTGCATTATTGGTTGCTGATAGGGATAAGGATGCTGCTGGTGATGAAGAGGAGGAGGAGGTGGCATGGAGCGTGGCCCGTACTGACTAGGATAATAGTGAGGAGGGGGCGGATACATGCCATAGGAGTAGTTGTATGGCATTGACTGGTCTGGGTAAGGGGAGGGCATATAGTAGGGATGTCCCGAATAATTGGAAGCGTACGCCATTTGCATTGGTTGGGGCGGGGCTTGCATGGCGTGTGGCGGCGGTGGGTAAGCAGACATTCCGGGTGGAGGTGGAGGCAGAGGATTGTTGTTGTTGTTGTTGTTGTTGTTGTTGCTGCTGTTGTTGTTATTATTATTGCCAGCAGACGTGGCGGACCAGCCATTGTCCAACCGTGCTCGTTTGGAGGGAGTGCCATCGGATTCAGTGTCGCTCGCTTCCAGATTTCTGCGCTCGGCCCCAAAAGACGAGGCAGGAATGTCTGAAGCAGCGCCCGCAGGTGACGCCCTGGTAGTGTTTTCCCGTTCTGCTGATGCAGTGTCGATATGCTCTGCGCATGCACGAAGCAGCATGCTCAAATTCGAATCCGCGACGGCAGACCGCGCAGCGAGCGTCTTGTCCACCTGGACGAGCGCGTTTCCAATCTCCCTGAGCTGCTGCGTGTAGACTGACGCCATTTTCAGGAATTGCTGTGATTGTGCATACCAATGGCGGAAAACCAAAACCCACACCAGCGAGCCAACGGTCAGCAAGCGGCATTGCAATTCGAATTTTGACAGCACAGTTTGACAGCATGGTTTCTGGTTTTTCCCTTTGGAGATGCGTTTTGGGGCCTTCTTGTGCTTCTGCCGCGCCACGACGCCGCTTCCGCTTCACTAAACGAGCAGCGTCCCCCGCTCATAATGTGCAAGTTGTGCCGTAAAGTCTCAGAGCCACGGCGGGGCAGGCTGAGAGCGCTGCTCCTTTGGGACGAAGACAGGTGGGTTTCAGTTTTTTGAGGTTTTTGAGTTTTGCTTCCAAATCCCTTTATCGCTGATGAGACGTACGCCATGCCCACATGAATGCAGTGATGACACACGCTTGTGATTCTGGGTTGCACGACGACGGAGCAGCGGCACACGCGACAACGAGCACGAAGAAGAGAGAGAGAGAGACAAAGACAGACAAAGAAGAAAAAAAAAAAGAAAGAAAAAAAAAAGAAGAAAAAAAAAAACAGGGTATTTGGCGTCGTAAGGGATTTCTTTGAGTTTGACGTGCCTTTTCTAAATAGCAGGTTGACATTTTGAAAGCCAAGCAAGCCAAGCAGCCAAGACAAAGAAAGAAAGAAGGGAAAAAAAAAGAAAAAAAAAAAAACGAACAAAAGAAGGGTTGTTTCGCTGCAGCTGTGAACGCGTCAGTCACTTGAACGCGTCATCCCTCATCCGAAGCAGATTCAAAGCCTGCAATCACCACGAGCGAGTGGAAAGAGAGAGAGAGAGGGAGGGAAGGAGAGCGGGAGGGTCAAGTTGGAGCGAAGGGAGCAAAAACGGCTTGGCTTTGGTCTTTGTTGTTTACCTGCTCCCTCAACGCTTGGTCTGTGTAAGCAGTGCTGCCGCTGGTGATGCTGCTGCTGCTGCCGTCGACGGTGCTGGTGCTGATCACAGGGGTGGCGGCAGTGCCTGTGCTTGGTGTGCTGGCTGAGGGGGCTGCTGCCAAGGGGGCTGCTGATGCTGATGCGGATGGTGCCGTGGACCTGTCAATCGCCATGTCGTCTGATCCACTCTTCGCCAGTGACCCTGCTACTACTACTACTACTGCTGATGAGCTTGGTGCCTGACCCTGCTGCTGCTGCTGCTGCTGCTGCAATGGATGCGGTTGTTGATGCTGTGATAGCTGGGATTGCTGAGCATTCTGTTGCTGATGCTGATGCTGATGCTGTTGTTGCTGGGGCTGCTGGGGTTGATAAGCTGTAGCGTGCAGTGCGCCTGGAACGCCGTAGTGCTGCTGTCCGTGGCTGCTGTTTGCATCGCGAGCAGCATGGGTGCTGCCCTGTGCGACGCTGCTACTGGGGTGATGGTTGCTGCTGCTGCTGCTGTAGCTCGTGCTCGGGGGCGGCATCCAGCTCCACGAACTCGACACCACCGCCGCCATGCCCCGCGCCAGGTGCGGCAGCGATCCACCTGCGGACAGCGGCGGCGGCGGCGGCGGTGCTCCTATTGATAGGGACGACGACAGCCCCGGGCCGGGCGGGCGCGCCGGAGCGGTGGAAGGCGGCATGGCGGGCGGCGGCGCTCCGGGTGGTCGCTGTCCCAGTCCCAGTCCCAGTCCCTGTCCCTGTCCCTGTCCCTGTCCTTGTGGAGACGCTGAGGCTGGGTGGTGGTGGTGGTCGTGGTGGTGATGGTGGTACTGCACGAGAGGCTGGAACGGCGGTCGGGGTGGTGGTTCAGCTGCTGATGCGAATCGCCTGTCAATGTCAATCTGAGCGGTTGCTGGTGCTGGTGCTGGTGCTGCTGTTGCTGTTGCTGTTGCTGTTGCTGTTGCTGCTGGTGCTGCTGCTGTTGGACCTGGATCACCACCAGGTGGCTGCATTCTGTGGTGTTAAGATCGGCGTATCGTAATAGCTGTCAAACACAACAAGAACAAGAAGCAACAAAAACAGAGACTGAGAACTGAGAACTGAGCGACTTGAAATTCAGACAGGTATCCAATTTGCAGCACTTTGATTTCGATCTATCATAAGTCGAAAGACAGAGCGAAACGAGCAACAACGCAATGCGTGTTGAGATCAAGGCGAAAAAGGCTACTGAACAGCCGATCTACAGTTACGCAGCATGACACACGACGCTCATTTTTACAAAATAAAAGCTTCACTCCTTGTTCTTCTTCTTCTTCTTTTTCTTATTTCCGCAGTATGCCGAGCGACATTGAAAACATCAATCCGGAGGTGGTCGCAAGCCTGAGCGAACGCGAGCACTCGTTGGCCGAGGACGACGACTCGGTTGTGGATCCCATCGACCAGCGTGAGGTGTTTGATATCGGCTTGATTTGCTTGCTTCGTTGTGTTGTTGATGATGCGCTGCTCTGTTGATGCGTGGTTGGTTGTTGAATGTGACTGTTGAGCTTTTGCATTGAGTTTTGCATTGAGTTTTCCGTCATCTTCCTTGACCTTTGACCTTGCCCTTTCCCCCTCCCCCACCAACCTCGAAACGTCTCTCCCTGTTGCGCTCTTTGCTGTCGTTGCTTGCTCTGTGTGTGACTTTTCGCCTGCCTTCTTGGCTCTGCTGCTTCGTCCTGCTTCGTCGCTTGCTCGTGGCTCTCTTCTTGCCCCCCCCCGGCGGTCCAACCCAACACATCTCATCCGGACCATTAACGACCCCGAGCACCCGCTGACCCTCGAGGAGATCAAGGTCGCCCAGTTTGAGCACATCCGCGTGGACGACAAGCGCAACTCGGTCGAGGTCCTCTTCACGCCGACCATCCCGCACTGCTCCATGGCCACGCTCATCGGGCTCTGCATTCGAGTCAGGCTCCTGCGCTCACTTCCAGACCGCTTCAAGGTACGCACACACAAACGCGGAGGCGGGGTGGCGAGAAAGGAACGTCACAGTCAAAATCATTCGTCTTTCATGATACTCATGGGGTTCTTCGTTCGGTCTCTCTCCACTTGTCCAGGTTGATGTTCGGATACGCCCTGGAACCCATGCCAGTGAGGCGGCAGGCAAGTGCAAATACTCGTGGAGCGGTTTTGTTCGCTGAATTATCATTTGCATTGACAAACTCAATTTCCGTTTCTCATTCTCGCTCACTCCCACTTTCACTGTCAACAGTAAACAAGCAACTCAACGACAAGGAACGAGTCGCCGCTGCACTGGAGAATGACAACTTGCTGGTTGCCGTCAACCGTTGCCTGACGCCGCAACGCTAGGCTTGCGCGAGCTGGATCTTTAATGTTTCGTACAGATGCTGACTTGAATGATGTAAAATTGTAGAAAAAACAACAAACTCACACAACACAAAAAGCTGGTGACCGCAGGCAGCACAACTTGGAAAAAAAAAAAAGACCATTGGTAGCAGACACAAAAACACGACAAACTGCGAGACGCTCCAAACCCAGGGGGTGTCCCACAGAACAAACACACACATATACACATTCATCACCACACACGGAAAGTACAAGAGAAGAAAGCAAAAAAAAGAAGAAATCGCCAACGAACGACAAAAGTCTGTCGCGCGTGCCAGCCACAAACACACCGTCTACCAGTCTGTCAAGAAACTGAGCTTGGCATCGCTCGACGCCAGCGTAAGAATGGACGCAGAATCCACGGTGGACAGATTGGAGGGCGTCGGGCTGGCGCCATTCAGGCTTTCATTGCTCGCCGCAACAGCAGCAGGCACGCTCGACATTGTCGAAGCAGGTGCGCTAGCAGGAGCAGCAGGTGCGCTGGTCGATTTGCGCTCGGACGACGATGATGATAATGCTGCGGCGGCGGCGGTAGTGGTCGGAGTGGCACGGCCACCGGCAAGACTGCCAGACTCGGCAACACCCACGCGATTGAGCGAGTTGGTGCTGGAGGTCATTGCGGTCGCGGTGGGCAAATCCAGGGTCGAGCCCGAGCTAATGTTGCCCGACGAGCCCATGCCGGAATCCGACCCAGAAGCCACGCTGTCCATCGAGCCGGCAAGATCGTTGCTGGTGATGGACGACGTGCGCCGGCTAAGCGACGAGCTCGGGATGCTCGATGCCGCTCCCGCAGCCGCAGCAGACGCCGCAGGCCCTGGTGGCAACGTTGCGCGCTTCGACTTGAGCTCCTCGCGCTTCTTCGAGGCCGAGCTGGCAATGGAGAACCGGGCGCTCGAGCGGAAGGACTCGCGCGACACTTGCCGTGAAAGCAAGCCGAGACCCGACTCCAGTGGCTGCATGCCGCTCGTGTTGCGAATGTCGTCGGAAATGACAAAGTCCTTGACATCGGGCCGCGTCACGTTCGACAGGTAAACGAGCGCCACCGACTCCTCCATGGTCGAGCTGACAAACGAACCGTCGCGACTCAGCAGCATGGGCGCAGGCAGCGACAGTGTCTGCACAAGCTCGGCGGAGTCGGTATCAAACACGTCGACGTGGTTTTGTCCATAGACGAGCAAATGCGGCGCGACATAGACGAAATCGGATGGAATGCAAGTCCATTTGAGCTCCACCTCACGAGCCGACTTGCCGGAGTGCGAGACAAAGATGCCCGTGTCTGTGGGAGCACAAAGAGAAACAACAAAAAAATGAGACTGGAAAAACACTCCCTCTTCCTAAGACTTCATGTTTGATCACCATCCAAAAGTCAGGTCCCCCCCTCCAAAAGTCGGTCCCCCCCTCCACATACAGTTGAAGCAAAGCAGCACTTCATTCCGCAGATCGAACGCCGCCATGGGGGTCAGATCAAGCTGGCCAGACGACACCCAGCTCAGACGTGGATCCGAGGTATCGGGGAGCCAGACGGGTTGCTCGGCGTTGGCCATGTCAATCAGCATGAACTTGTCGCGCATGGCGACGCACAGCTTGTCGTTGAAGAAGGTCACGTAGGTCGGTGCATCCGGCAGTGTGTACTCCTCGACACGCTTGAGCGTGCGAATGTCAAAGACAAGAATGCTCTTGCGAACGCCGATAGCCACGCGAATGGCGCTCTTGAAGGTACCTGTCGCGACGCACAGTGCGCCCTTGGTATCCGCAAACTCATGGCTAAACTGCGACGGGTCTCCGCCCTCCAAGATGGCCATCGAATGCAGCTTGACAATCTTGTTCTTGGTGGAGACGGTGATCAGGCGGTTGATGGATGGCAGCAGATAAATGTTGTAAATCTTCTTGTTTTCGCCAACGCGGTTGAGCGTCGCTGTGGTGCAGGGAAGGAAGCACGGGTGGAAGAAGAGTCAGAATCAGAAGCGGTCAGTTGAAGTCCAAGCCGAAAAAGAAAAAACCAAAACAAGACAAAACAAAACAAAACAAACAAAACAAAACAAAACAAAACAAAACAAAACAAAACAAACAAAACAAAACAAACAAACAAAACTCACCGTGGTTGTCAACGTTCTTGTACACAAACAGGCCATCCTCGGTACCAATCGCAAGCGTCTTGTCGGCACGGACAATGCAGGTCGCTTGCTGCATGACTTGGATGAAAATCTCGTTCTTGCACGTTCCGGAATCGAAGATGCGGCTCGGCAAGAGCGCCTTGGGCGGCTCTGGCAGCGAACGCGCGGCCTTGACGACGTGATTCATGGCAATGACCCAGCGATGCTTCTCCTCCTCGTCAGCAGCAAGCACGAGCAGCTCTTGCTTTTGGGCAGCCGTGCCGTAGCAAATGCGGAAAATGTTGGGAACATCCTTGCGATTGGCGTGAATGACCTCCTCCTGCTTGACGCTCTGCAAGATGAATTCGCGGTCTCGAATGTCAATGATGGCAGCCAGCTCTTGCTGGTGCCGATCGCCGTCGCCGCCAAAGACGTGGATCTTAAAGTCGCTGACCACAAAGAATTGCTTGCGCCAGCCCTTGCGCACGCCGCCTGGCTTTGGTACACGAAGGAAGCCCTGAATGGCCGTGCCAATGCCGTGAAGGGGATCGACGCGCGGGTTTTTGGCGTTCTTGACTTCGGGTTTGACGGGGCAAACGGGCGAAATTTCGAGCGCGCAGTGGTAGTGGAAGTTGTACGAGCAGTCGGCGCATGCAAGGCCTTGTCGCACCAGGCCAATCAGGAAGGACGTGCACACGTCGCACTTGGTCGGAGTCAGGAACGACTTGGGAATGATGCGGTGCTGGCCAGAAACGCGCAGGTAGTCTGCCTGTCCCATGTCGACACTCGGGCGATGCGTCGCGCGCGGGGTCATCAAACGCGCAGCCGTGGCCGCAGGAACGCCACCAAGGGCACGCGGGCGCTCGCTGCCGTGGCCAAGAGTCGCAGCACGCTCGTACCGACCTGCGTTCGGGGTGGACACTGGTCGGTTCTTGTCGAGCACGTGAGCAGGCGTGGACGGAGCCGACAGCACGGCCGCAGGCGTGCCAGAGGCCATTGGAGTGCCTGGTGCGCTCAATGGCGACTCGGGCAAGTCGCTGGATAATTGACGCTCGACCACACCCGGCGCGGACGAGTTGGAGATGGTGTCGCCTTCCAAAGCTCGGCCACCGACGTCGAGGAAGGACGAGAAGGCAAGGGTGTCGTTTCGGGTGAATTCGTCGCGCCACTTGGACTTGATTTCATCTTGGCGCAGGCGCTTGAGCGCCTCCAGTTCCCGATCGAGCTCGGAAACGCGAGCACGCAGGATGTGGACTTCTTGCTCGGACGACTCTTTTTCCACCTTGATTTGGTTGAACTCAGTCTCCATCTTGAGCTTGGCCTGGGTCTGGATGTCGACCTCTTGCTGGAGGGCGCGCATGACTTGCTTGTCGAGCTTGACAGTGCGGCGCTCTTGCCATTCCTTCTTGTCAGCGCCAGCGCCGCCGCGAGCGCCACCACGGCGCGAGATGGTGCCGGTACCGGACATGCCAGGGAAGCCGGCGAGATTCTCGACGCTGCCGTCCTCGGGATTGTCGTCGCCGCCGTCCGTGGTGCGGAACATTTGCTCCAGCGCCAGGCTTGGCCGGCGGGCAGCAGTGCTGCGCAGGCGCGTGTTTTCGGCGCGCAGCGACTCGAGCTCAGCCAAGTTCTGCTCGTAGGACTCGAGCTTGGTCTGGAACATGGACAGCTGGGACGCGGCATCGTCCACCGTCGAGACGGCCGCGGTCAACTCGGTGCGCAGCTGCGTGTTGGAGCTTTCGAGCTTGGTCTTGGCCAGCGTCTCCTCTGCAAGCAGCTTGGCAATTCGGTTCTTTTCCTCGCTGGCCTTGTCAGCCTGGGCCTGCAGGGTCTTGACGCGATCCTCGAGCGACGACTGGGACGATTCGAGCGCATCCTCGGCAGCCTTGAGCTTGGCCTTGAGGGCGTCAATGGTCTTGGTGCTCTCTTGGCTCGCTGTCGTAGAGGCCTCGCTCTTGGCAGCTTGGAGGTCTTTGGCGCTCTTGGCAAGCGACGACTTGAGGTCCTCGACCTGCTCTTCCAAGGCGCTCTTGCTCGATTTGGACTCGTTCAGTTGCCTTCGCACATTTTCGACTTCGGACTGCAGCTCGTTGCGCACGTCGCGGAGAGACGCTTCGTGTCGCTTGACCTCCTGCTCCAGCTTGCCCTCGAGCTCCGCGATTTGGGCTTGCAGCACGGTATCGCCACCGGCAGCACCGCTGGCCTTGCCGGCAACGCGGTCGCGGAGCGTCTCGAGATCCTCCTGCAGCTGGTGCGACAGCTTTTCAGCCTTGCTGCGCACGCTTCGCTCGCGGGTGAGCTCGCTCTGCAGGTCGTCGAGCTGCGACTGCAAATCTCCGCGGGTCTTCTCCGAGGAGCGCAAGTCCTTCTTGGCGGCGTCGCGTTGGGCGGTCAGCGAGTCAATGTCGGCATTCTTGTCGCGCACGGTGCGGTCGAGGCGTGCCACTTGACCCTGGAGGTCGTTGACTTGGGCGGTCAGCGACTCAAACTCGGCCTCGGCCTTTTGCCTCAAGCGCTGAGCATCCTTCAAGTCCTTCTTCTGGGCGGTGAGCTTGCCCTCGAGCTGCTCTACCTGCTCGTCGAGCTCTTGCTTGGAGTCCTTCATCATGTTGCGCATCTTTTCTGCTGCTTGGAGGCGCGTGTTCAAGTCGATGGTGGCATTCTCCATCTCCTTCTTTTCACGCTCGAGCTTTTTGACTTGACGCTCAAAGGCCAGCGCCTGTTCGGTGCTGTCGTCGAGCTTCTTTTTGAGCGCGGCGAGGTCGGCTGTGAGCTTGTCCACCTTTTCAGTGTCGGCGATCGTGATGGCGGGCACGCCACCGAGCCCGGCAGCAGCGTCGCCAAGACCATCGCCCAGGAAGGTGCCGGCCATGGCCTGCTCCAAGTCTGCCTCGAGCTCGGTGATGCGCGCCTTGAGGGCGGCGCGCTCTTCGACCAGCTGGGCGTTTTGCTTTTCCAGCTTTTCAATCTCTGCCGACTGGTCCTTGACCTTCTCGGCCACGCCGTTCAAGGCGCTGTCGAGAACCATGGTGTCGGCAAGGCGCGAGCCTCGGGTGAAGGTAAAGCCGACAAAGGGCAGCTGGTCGCCAGTGAAGGGCTTGTTGCTGGAGGGTCGCCGAACCTTGTCGAGCTCGGGGGCCTCGACATCGTCAAAGTTGGACGTGTCGGATGGCGAGCTGATTTCGGGGATGAACGGAGCGGTCGAGTCGCGAACAGTGTCCCAGTTGATGCCCTTGAAGAAGGCGTGTGCCTTAATGTCCTCGACCGACACGCGACCGAGGCGAGACTCGCGCTTGCAGCAGAGCTTGCGAATCAGGTCCTTGGCCTCATCGCTCATCGGCACAACGTTGTCGTCGTCGTCGGTGAACACGTCAAACTTGAGCGAGTTGGAGCAGTCCATAATCTTCGAGTACGTGCCGAGCAGGGACTCGGAGTAGAATGGGGGTTCGCCGTAAATCATCTCGTAGAGGACGACACCGAGCGACCACCAGTCGCACTCTTTGCCGTACTTGCCGTTGCCTTCGATGGACTGCAGGATTTCGGGCGAAATGTAGTCTGGGGTGCCGACCGCAACGTTCGACTCAATCATGGAGCCGTGCTCGACGCGAATGCACGAGCCAAAGTCGGCCAATCGGATGTGGCCGTTCGCGTCCAGCAACACGTTATCTGGCTTGATGTCGCGGTGGACAAAGCAGAGGCGGTGGATGGATTCGAGGGCGAGCACGAGCTCGGCCATGTAAAAGCGAGCCATGTCTTCGGGCAGGCGGTCGTTGTAGCGACTCATCAGGGTGAGCAGGTCACCGCCAGAGTAGTACTCCATCACCAAGTACAGGAAATCGTTGTCCTGGAAGGCAAAGAACAGGTTTGTAATCCAGCGCGAGTCGCCGTACACGAGCAGGTCGCGCTCCTCGCGGAAGCACGCCGTCTCCTGTCGCTTGAGCATGTCCCACTTGGACAGCTGCTTCATGGCGTAGACCTTGCCCGTTTGCCGGTTGCGCACGACCAAGACCTCGCCGTACGCGCCGCGGCCAATGACCTTGATGGTTTCAAAGTCCGACCGCCGCAACTGCATCTGGTGGATGCGCGCCACCACCTTGCTATAAATGTCAACAAAGCCCGCAACATTCTTGTCCTTCTTCAGCGCCAGCGACGAGCACTCGTCAAACAGGGCCAGGAACGAGTCAATGAGGTTTTCGGGCGAGAGACCATTGTCAAACGGCCCCGACCTGCGGCCAGTGAGCAGGTTTTCGAGGTCTGAGATGCGCGACTGCAGCGATGGCTCGTCCTCTGCAGAGCCAGTCGACCCGCTAGACCCGTGACGGCTCATGGTAGGCAGGCAGGCGGGCGGTGGAGCAAGAAGAAGAAGAGCCTGTCAACTGATGGGGGATGGAAGAAGAAGAAGAGAGGGAGAGAGGGGAAAAAAACAAGAGATGTCTGTTGGATTTGGATTGGATTTTGAATGGAAAAGGACCAAACAGTGAGTGAGTTGATTGTTGATGCGCAGAGGGATGGGCACGGCATATCGAGTGCAAGAAGAAGCAGAAGATGATGATGATGATGAAGAGTGGTTGGGGTCATGAGCGAGCGTGGCACAGTCGTGAGCGAGTGGGGCAGTGGCCGTGAGTGAGTGGAGCGCGAATGCGGGAGTTCGATAGATTTTCAACTTGCTGTTGTTTTTGCTCCTCCTGCGTCTGGGGCTTCATTGTCGAATCCGCACCGAGCACAGTCAGCAGATGCCCCACAAAGTGGAACAGGATGAACCAGCGGAGGGGGGAGCGACAGACCAAACAAGGGGGATCTTGGTAACGGTCGATACAAACAAACTTGGTGTGCAATCGAGCGCCTTTCTTTTTAAAAAATAAAATAAAAAATAAAAAAAAAATAAAAAAAAATAAAAAACCCAATAAAATCCAACCGCTTTTTTGTGTTTTGGCAGCGTGGATCTCGAATGCTGCGCACAATCCGCGGGCGAGCACAACACACCCCTCGCCGGCTGGGCTTGATGAGAGAGCAGAGAGGGAGATCAGTGCGCTGGGGGAAGAGCGGGAGCAGAGTGGGAAAGGGAAACCAAAATGGCGACGAGTTGCTAGCATCGAAAAAAAAAAAAACAAAAAAAAAAAGCACCAGATACAAAGAGAAAAGGAAGCGAGGTTGATTAAGGAGGAGCAGCAGCGCCACAGTGGTGAGGTGTGCTGATTGTCACACAGAGCAACAAGAGCACAGCCAAGCAAAGGGGGGGGGTGAGGGAGAGAGGGAGGGAGGGAGAGCGAGCGCGTCGAGGCAAAAGACACGGACTGCGAGGAATGGAAAACAACCACAGTTTGGCCTTACAATGGAAAAAGCAGAAAAGAGTGAGAATGGATGATGGAAGGTGAAAATGGGTGAATGTCGTGATTGAGTGCATTGTTGGTGTAGGACAGATGCTGGTGTCGATTGGCGGACAGAGGGAGAAGAAGAAGAAGAAGAAGAAGAAGAAGGGGAAGAAGACGAAGAAGAAGGGGAAGCGGTTTTCAACAACAAAGGCAACAGCATGCACAGTGGATCACCACGGATACCATCATCACCATCCCTAAACTCTAATACAGTACCACATCAGATCCACTCTTTCTTTCATTGCCTTTTGTTGTTGTTGTTTGTTGTTTTTGCGCTCGTTCATTCAGAATTTTGCTGGTAACTGAATTTATTTCGACAATGCAAATTCGAAACAAAAACACACTCCTCCGCTTTTGGGTCGTCAATGCGTGTCTCTGCGCTGCGGGGGGGGGAGGGGGCGGTGCATTCGTCTGCATCAGAGAACAGCCGTGTACCAGGAGGAGCATCCTCGCTGTGCCATTCTCTTTGAGAACACAAAAGGCGAAACGGCAACGCAAGTCATTCAAAATCACATCCACCACACTGCGCGCTGCCGTCAGGCTATCGTTCGCTCTTCCCTCTCTCTGACGATGAAGCATCCCGATGAGAGAACTGCTTGCGAGTGGCTCATAACGCGAACGTGCCTCTGCTCGTGCTGCGTTCGTCGTCGCATTCACGCTCCTCGCTCTTCTCAGATCAATCAGTTCAGCAGTACCACGGCATCGTTGCCATTTGCCATGTTTATGGTTGAAAATGCGCGCCTCGATGCATGATGGGTCATTTCCATCTTTCCAACTGATTTGGTGATCAGAGGGAAGAAAACGACCGTCGAACAGCGATGATGCACTGACTGTTTGTTCCATCACTCAACGCCAGATCTAAATCACTCCGACGAGAATGCCACCGCGAAACACATTCGTGCGGGTCCCGCCAGAATTCTACATCCCGACGCCATCCAACACAGTCATGCGAAAGCTGGTGCAGCGCATCGAGGGCAAGCCGGACAAGATGCTCTTCATTGACTTTGCGCGGCGCCTCGAAGGTTGCTACCGCAACTCTGCCTACGACGAGCAGAAGGAGATGCGCAGGAGCTATAATCTCTTTACGCCCGGCGTGTCGAACGCAACAGAGCTGGCGGAAATGACGGAGGCTCAAATTCGCGATTACGAGGACGATTTCCTGGAGCGCTTCCATCGCATCATGGAGCGGGGCAACTATCTGATGTTGTCTCAAGAACAGTATGACACTGCGCTCAAAGAAGGTGGGCACGGTTGCCGATGAGTGCTGGATGTTTGTGAATTTTTTTGCCAATGACGGTGAGCTCATCCTGTGCCTCCTTTCAAAAACCTCCCTCTCTCTCTCCTCCTCCTCCTCCTTTTCCTCCTCCTCCACCTCCTCCTCCACAGACTATCTCTTCAATGTCCGTGCAGAAATCAACTGGTCCAACCTTGATGGCGCTGCATTCGTTCGCTTCTTAAACCGGCATCCAGAGCTTCGTGAGGGGACGCGTCAGCCCGCCTCCATTTCAGATCGCGTTCTGATTTATCATCGAGGTGTTGGCGTTGATCGGTATGGCCGTCAATTGAATGCTCGGTTTCCTTTTGGAGCAAAACTCGCCTGATTGTTCGTTTTTTTTTTTTTCCCCCTCTTTTATTCTTGCTCCTTGACTTTCCACAGAACGCAAGGCCTCTTCATGATGGAAAAGATCGACTCGCTATTGTACAGACTGGGTCACACCGTGGTCGACTGGATGAAGGCTGCCTTCCACAAGCCGAGCTTTAGCAAGGGAACGGCCACGGCGGCGCTCCACGACGATGCTGAGGACGATGACAATCTGGACTCGTCGTCGTGGCGCTACCGCAAAGTCGAGCGTCGCAATCTGCAGCGCATGTTCAATGGCTTGAACCTTCTCTCGTCAGTGCAGCTGCAAGAGCCCACCTTCAAGCAGATGGTCATTCTGTACCGCGTTCGAAATCCAGTCACCGAGGCGTCCTTCTCCTCCGGACAGCCATCGGCTGACACGGTCACATCTGGCCCTGGTGCCAGCTCGAGTAATCTACGACAGGGCCAGGCGGTCGCTCCCAAAAACGCCAAGCAGGACGAGCATCGCCCCATCATGATCAAGTCGTTTGTCGATGTTCCCATGGCCGACTTTGAGATGGTTTTGCCCGAAAAGACCATCCAGATGAACCCCAGCGACCAAATCAAGATTGTCGTTGCGGTCATCACCTGCATTGCTGCCATTGTGTTTCAAATCTTTGATCTCGAAGATTACCTTCCATTTGGCGGAAGCAACTACCATACGAATGCAACCCTGTCGGCTTCTTCTGGGTCGACATTCCTGCCCTCTGAAACACGAGCATCATCGGAGATGGCGGGACTTGCCGATGCCCTCACCAATCTCGCCAGCGCGACTGCCAGTTCGGTCGTCGCGGCGTCTGCTACCGCGGCCGCGTACGTCAAAGCTGCTGCAATGACATCCAGCGACACGTCAGACGCATTGGCCAGTCACAATGTCGTGCAGGCAGCCGCCGCCCAATTCGGAGCGTCGCCCGAAGAGCTGGCCGATCGCATGGACGCCACGGAGGACAATGTGTTGTGGACACTGATTGGCATCATCTTTACCTACCTCATGAAGATTTCCTTCCAAATCTCTGCCCAAAAGGATCGGTACAATCTCATGATGACCCGCTCCATTTACCACAAGTCGATGGACACGCAGGAAGGTGTCATGCTCTACCTCACCGACTCTATGCTCGAGCAAGAGTTCAAGGAGGCGCTTCTTGCCTACTTTTTCCTCTGGCACAAAGGCGACATGACTTTTGATGATTTGGACAAGACGTGTGAGCAGGTGAGGCGGTGTTGGTTTTTGCGTTCGCTTTTATTTGTATTTCGTTTCATTGAGAGGGAGAGCGGTGATTGTCAGGCTTGTGTGTGCTCACTTGCAAGTGCATTTACTTTTGCGCAGTTTCTCGAAACCCTCGGCGCCACAGTCGACTTTGAGGTCGAAGATGCCATCGACAAGCTCAAGCGCGATGGATTGGTTTTGGAGCATCGCAGCGGCATGCTGAGCGCGCTGCCTCTCAAAGACGCCACTGCGCGTCTCCACAACAAGTGGGTCAACCATTTCAGCGATCGCGACGTTGATTGTCCGTACTGTCCATTCATCGAGAACTGTTAGTTTTGGTTGGTTGGCGGGGGATGACGAAAATGCTGCTGAAACCCACAATAAAATTATCTTTTCAGACCATGTTTCGCGAAACTTCAAGTAATAAAACAAAATAGAAAACATTCATTCGCAGACATCACCCCAGCGAAATCGTTTTGAGCAAACTGCGAGGCTTGAACTTTGCTGCCAGTCCCTCTTCGTTTCAAAATCCACCAACCTAACATTGTGTTTCATCATGGGCTTGAGCGATTGGCTTCGCGCGCGAGGCTCGAACGACAGCAGCGCAATAAAGCAGCAGTATTACACGACCATTCAAGGCGAGACACCGAGCCCGAGTGCCGAGCGCGGCGGCGAGAGCGCAGAGCGAGGAATGCGAGGAGGAGGACGCAGCTTGAACGCCGGCGGAACTGTGGCTCGAACGACGGCCGCCACGACTGCTGCGGCTGCTGCGGCTGCGGCCGGGTCTTCGGGTGCCCCGCCGCGCACTACGACTGCTGCACTGGAAACAAGCAATGCGTCATCGTCGCCGGGCAGCCGACCGATGGCTGAGGCAGCAACAGCAGCAGCAACAACAACAACTGCAGCAGCGTTACACCTGCGACAGCGTTCATCCTCGTTTGGCAGCCACAGCCACTCGCCCGCGCCGCAGCAGCCGCGACTCCCGACAAGGACGGCTTCAACACCTGCCCTGAACTCACAGCACGGTCGACCTTCGTCTGCGCCGTCATCGCAGCAGCAGCACCCGTTGCCTGGATCGGCAGCGTCGTCGTCGTCATCGTCTTCGCCGTTGCTGGTACAGCTTTCTCACCGGCACAGACTCGAGGACGAATCGGCATACTCGGACGTCAACGCGCCTCCCAAGCGCCGCCAGCGTCTCATCTTTGTGTTCAAGCCCGATCACGACCGCGTGGGCATGCACTTGGCGCGGCTGCCGCTGCATCCCGCGGGCTCGACGGGATGGAATCCGTGGACCCGGCATTCGGTTGGTAGGAAACGCGCTCGAGCCGCTTCCATGGGCAGCGCTTCTTCGGTCGAGACAGGCGGCGACAACAGCATGCCGTTCAACCAGTTGACACCCAACCAGGCTCGCGAGATGGCAGGCGTTGTGGGGCAAGCAAGAGGAGCTGCTGGTGGTTTGCCCCCAACGCGCCAGCCCAGTCTGCGTCAGAGAGCCGCGGGATTTTTTATGCGCCGATCGTCCGATATGAGGTTGAACAGTGTAGGACAGGACTCGGAGAATGTGTCGCCCATTGGCATGCCTGCAGTCGACCGCAGTCGTGACGGTCTGATTGACGATCCGCCGTACCTGCCGCCGTCGCCGCTCAACACGTCCGAGTCGACCATCGCTTGGTCGATGCGAGCGCGCCGGCACAGTGCCCCAGTCAACGACATTTTGACTGCCGCGCCAAACTACGATACCCACAGTATGGATGGGGAGGAATCCAGGCAGCATCCGTCCGCCGGAATGGAAAGCGTCTTTGCGTTCTTGCAGCAGCAGGAAGAGCGCCAGTTGCAGCAATCCGGCGAGCCGCCGATTCGCTGGTTTGTCTCGTGTGTGAATCGCGGCACGCCCGCCGCGCTGGCAGGCGTTCGGTTTGGCGACGAGATTATCAGCTTGGAGGGGATTGACGCCAAGCTCTTCACACCCGAGACGTTCAAGTCCATCTTTGTCAACAAGGTTCGCGAGTCGCGCCTGCGAGGCGAAGACAGCTGCTCCGTGGTCGTGGAAACCATTGCCAACTCGGTTGGGCGCGACTTGTTTTGCGCGCACGATCCCGTCACTGGATATGGCTTTTACATGCACAACGGCAAGGTCACCAAGGTCAAGGCCGGCACCAACGCCGAACTGGCTGGCATTCGCAAGTCTGACCACATTATTGCCGTCAACGGCCAGTGCGTGGTTGGGCTCGACGACGTGACGATCCACAAGTTGATTACCGCCCCGACATCGCCTTCTGCAGATTACTTGCCGCCGTACTCGGTCAAAGACATGCATAAGGCTGCGACTGTGACGGGCATGCGCACCGCTCCAGGCGCGAGCGACGCTGTTGACCAAGGCCCAATGTACATTGATTCGCCACGGGACGGGTCGACAGCATCGCCGTTTGTTCCGCACAACGACGATTCGCCGTTGGGAATGCCTTCCGGCATTAGCAAGCCGACGCTCTGCCTCAGTGTAATTTCCGAGCCGCTCTACAAACGGCTAACAGCCTTTGTCACCGAGGCCATGCTGCGGTTTAACATGGACCATTTGCCGCCCGTGATTCCCCAGATTGCCGAGCGCGCCCGCAACTTGCAGCTTCCGCCCTTGATCACCCCTCCTTCGTCGAGATCCACCACCCGTACCAGCGTGCATGGCAGCAGCTCTTCGAGAAACATCATGGAGCGGTGTGTGGATTACTTTAGAGCTCGAAACTGAGACGTGTGGTTGCAATTGGGACGTTCGAGCGTTGTAAATTTTGCTGGTGAGTGTTTGTTGAGCGTCTGCATTTTTTAGTCGATAAAACGTGTTAATATGATCCAGTTGCAACAACGAGAGCGAGCACAAAAGAGCAATTTCAGCATAAGAAACAAACAAACAAACAAACAAACAAACAAACAAACAAACAAACAAACAAACAAACAAACAAACAAACAAACAAACAAACAAACAACAAAAACACATACAACACACACACACACACACACACACACAACTTGGCCGGCTCAAACTGTCAGCAGAAGCGCGGCCGAAAAAAAAACCCGTCGAGCACTAAAAGTCGGCCGTGAGGGCGGGCGCAGATGCGAGACGCTTGACCACCTTGCCATTCACGAAAACTGTCACAATGTTGCGATCGTCGCCGTTGAACAAGAATTTTTCAACACGATCGCTGAACTTGTCCTTGGCAAACACATCGATGGGCGAGTCAATGGAGCTCGGATCGACGATTAATGCGTCGAAATGCTTGCCAGGAGCAAAGTTTCCTGCCACAACGCATTTGACAACAACAAAAAAAAGTCAGTGAAACAAAAACAACAACAGAACAGAACGCACGACAAGCCACCGCGCAAGCACGACTCTTTCTTGTACCGATCTGATCTTGCAGACCCATAACCTCAGCGCCGCCTAGGGTGGCCAGATGCAAGCCTTCGTACAGACGCAAGGGTGCAAGAGCTGGTTCTTGGAAGTGGACAGTCTTTGAGGCGATCAGCGCAAGCCGCAGCGACTCGAGCATCGCCGGGCTATGGCCGCCAGAAACGTCCGTGCCGAGGCCCACCTTGACATTGTGCTGGTGCAAGTCACGAACTCGGCAAATTCCGCTCAAGATGCTGAAGCCAAGATCCAAGAACACGCATAACAAAACGAGTCAGAACTCTTTCAACACGACACGGCAGTCGTTGCACTCTCCCGTCGTACCCGTAGTTGGAGCATGGGCAATGGGACACGCCGACCTTGCGGGCCGAAAGGAGCTGCATCTCAGCCTCGCTCAGATGGACGCCATGAGCCATGATGGCTTTCGAGTTGAGCAAGCCGTGGACATCGTACACGTCAGAGTAGCTGCTGCACTGAGGATGCAGCTGCCTGACCCATTCAATCTCGCCGGCGTTTTCAGAAACGTGTGACTGGATGGGCACGTTGTAGCTGTGGGTTGGAGAAGGACAAACAAAAAAGAAGGAAAAATGAGAAACAAAAAACAATTCGATGTGGAATCGAGGCGTGTTGTGAGCAAGGTTTGAGCAAATGCTACACCACGGCATCATCAACACGGCTGCATCAACGCGTCAAAATTGCCTGCAGAACGTCAAGAGCAGGAGCAAATCAACAATCACAATTTTCAACGGGCTGCATTTCGTACCGTCGAGCCACTTCGCCGAGCCCGGTCATGAGCTGCGAAGAGCAGGTTGGCACAAACCGAGGCGTGACGATCGGGGTGACCAGCTCAGAGTTTCGCGCCAGAGTCGCCTGGACGAATGCCTCCGTTTCGCGGATTGACTCGTTCGTGACTTCAATGTAGGTAGAAGGCGAGTTTCGGTCCATGCACACCTTGCCGACGTATGCACGTTGGCCCAACCGCTCACAGGTCTCAACCTAACCGTGCAAGTCGAGGAATTGGAACAGGTTAGACATAAAAATCATGTGGACGAAATGAATATGGTGGCCAAAAAAAAAAAAACTTGAAAACCAAATTTCGTACAAGCGTCGTGCTGGCCTCTCGGTGAATCGTGGTAAAGTACGAGCAGGCGGTCGTGCCAGATCGCAGCGTTCGCTGCACAACCTTCTCATAGGCGTTTTGCGCAAACTCTGGGTTGGCGAACATGGCCTCAGTGGGAAAGGTGTACGTTTCGAGCCACTGGAGCAGCGGCATGTCGAGGCCCGTGCCGGCGTTTGGGTACTGCGACGCATGGATGTGCGTGTCGATAAACCCAGGCATCAGGAACTGGTGCGGCTTGAGCTGGATTGTGCGCGCGTCGGCAGCAAAGCCATAGCGATCCTGCAGCAGAGCGAGTTGGCTGCCGTCCTCCACAAAGACAATCTGCGGTAAAGCAAGAGAGAGAGAGAGAGAGAGAGAGAGAGAGAGACAGAGACAGAGACAGAGACAGAGTGAGCAGATGAGTTTGAGGACATGCGTACGCAGTCGGGTCGGTTGGGCTCAGAGCGGGGCGGGGCGGGGCGAGTCGGGCTGGGAGATGGGAGGGAATTTGGCCGCGTGCTAATGCGAAAGCATGGGCGGTTTGGCCTCTGCGGCGGCTCCTCTGCTCTCTCTCTCTCTCTCTCTCTCTCTCTCCACTGGGATGCGCAGTCGCACTGGTCGACGAGCAAAACGCATTCAGGTTTCATATGGGGCTGCCAGTCATCATTACCCGGTTGGACTGGTCGAGGCCAAGCACGCCGTCCTCAAGCAGCTGCGTCGTCGAGGCGTCTACGCAATGCACAATCCCACCACGGAAGACGGTGCGCACTTCTCCAGTCATGTTGTTTGATGGTTTGCAGTTTGATACGAGCGAGAAGAGAAAGAATATCAGCAAGCAATCGAAGGGGCAAGCAAGCGAGGAGCAATGCGGAATTTGAGTGAGTGCAAAGTAAAAGGAGTGAGCTTTGGTTGGGAGGGAAAAAGAGCGGCAAAGCCACCGATTGTCGTCCCCCCCCCCCTCAATATTCCACCAGCCGTGCTCCTTGACTTTTGAGTGCCCAACGTGAATATAGTGATCAGAGGCAGATGTTTTCATTGCTCGATCGCGCTACGCACAACGAACGCACGCACGCAGTCTTGCTTTTGTTTTTGTACGCGTTTCGGGCGAGTATTGTGATTTGCATTTGTCCTGCTGTTCACCCCCGACTCCACCCCACCCATCTCCCGCCAATCGACACGAGCTCTGATTTCTCATCATCACATCTCACACGCCGCTAGTGGCGTGTGTCAGGACAGCGCCGTGACGTGCGAAGAAATCCCATTGGTCTGCGCCGCGTGTGTTGTGCTTTCCGTCGGGAGCGGTGTCGCGATTCCACCCCCTCCCCGCCCCTCCCAAGCGTCATTGTCGCTCGCCTCAACCCTCACCACGCCGTTGCAGCCTACGACGATCAGAGCGAAGCGTGACTGAAAAAAAAACCACAAACAAGACCCAGGAGCACAACACAGCGCAGATCACCCGAAAAGAAAAAAACAAAGAAAAAACGAAAAAAAAAAAAAAAAAAAAAAGCCCAACAAAAACAAAACAACAAACAACTGATCCTCAACACGACAGTGTGACGTACTAATGCTGCTGATGCTGCTACTCTGCGCTCTGACTCACCACGAAAACGCAATGCGACTACCACACACTCACACACACACACACACAGATCCCCAACATCCCTTCCGCCAGATGCGCACCTCTCTGCTCGCGGTGTTCTGCGTCACGGTGGCTGCAGCGCTCGCCGTCGCGACCGGCCAGTCTGCCGCTCGGTTTGAAGTCAACCTCGCCCAACCTACCACCCCGTTCCCCCACTTCTGGGGCAGGTGCGTCGGAAGTGGGCCACGCCGCGCTGGCCCTGCGCGAGGACTGGCGCCAGGCGGTGCGCGAGTCGCAGAGCGCCCTTGGCTGGGAGTACATTCGGTTTCATGGCGTGCTCAACGACGATATGAGCGTGGTCATTGCGCCCAACGAGTACTCGTTCTTCAACATTGACCAAGTGTACGACTTTTTGCTCTCAATCAACATGCGCCCGATCGTCGAGCTCTCGTTCATGCCCACCGCGTACGCCTCTGGCAACGAGACCATCTTTTATTACAAGGGCAACATTACGCCTCCCAAGGACTATGCTCAGTGGGACGATCTGATCACCAAGCTGGCCCAGCACCTCGTTGATCGCTACGGCCTGGAGGAGGTCTCCCAGTGGTACTTTGAAGTCTGGAACGAGCCCAATTGGTGAGCCCGCAGTTGGGTGTTCTGTTTTTTTTTTTTTTTTTTTTTGGGGGGGGGGGGGGAGGTTGTTTGGTTTTTGGATGTTGCTTGTCTTGGGGTGATTGTCGTGGTTGTGGAGACTCACTGGTGTCGGACGCATCGTATGTGGCACAGCGGATTCTGGTCTGGCAACCAAACCGACTACTTTACGCTGCTCCAGCACACTTACACTGCGCTGAAGAGTGTCAGCCCGCTAATTCGTGTCGGCGGCCCTGCAACCTGCCAGTCCCAGTGGATTGCCGAGACGGTGGCCTTCTGCAAGCAAAACGGCATCCAGCTGGACTTTATCTCCACCCACGAGTACCCCACCGACCCCACGACCTACCCTGTTCGCGATCTCATGCACGACATTTTTGCTGCCACAAAGGCCGCTGCAGGTGGCATTCCAGTGATTTACACTGAATTCAACTCTGGGCTTTTCAGCGACACTCCCAACCACGATCTTCCGTATGCTGCATCGTTCTGTGCGTGAACATGGCTCGAGATTGAAACGGCGGGACTGCTGGTTTCTTGTGTTGACAATCTCACGCAATGCTCATCATCCTTGGTGCTGAACACATCGTCTTGGTAGTGGTGAACATGGTGGCAAAGACTCAGGGTCTGGTCGAGATTGCCAGCTACTGGGCCGTGTCTGACGTGTTTGGTGAGTTCAATGTTTGATTCGATGACAACGAAACACCCTGCCCTCCCTTCGTTTGCCTCATGATTGTATTTTCTCACACCCGCTCGCTTATTTTATTGTTATTTTTTGACTTTGTTTGCATTTGGATAGAGGAGGGCGGCCAGGATCCAACCCCGTTCCACGACATGTACGGAATTGTGACCAACATCGGCGTTCCCAAGCCCGCATTCCACGGTCTCAAGCTTTTGCGCCAGGCTGGCACCGACCGCGTTGCTGTCTCGACCGTCGGTGATGCCAACACGACCAGCGTCTGGGCTACCCGCACCGACAATGAGGTGCAAGTGTTTATCACCAACTTTGACTACTTTGAGTTCCCCATCCAGAACTACACGGTGACTGTGACTGTTGCCGGCGTTGCTGCGAAGGGCAGCCCAGTCAACTCGTTGTACTACCTGATTGACGACACACACGTCAATCCTCGTGCTGTCTGGGAGGCCATGGGCTCGCCCACCTATCCCACTCCCGCTCAAATTGTGGCCCTGCACGAGGCGAGCACCCTGCATGCCCAGCAGCTCCCTTACTCGGTTGTTGGCTCTGACATTACCTTCACCTTCAACCTTGTCCCGTACTCGACCGTTGCTGTGTTTATTCCGCTGCAGTTCTACTAGAGCCGGAGCTTTGGAAAACGCTCACAACGTGAGCAACAAATACAAATCCGTCGTTGCTCCGCCATTGTTTGTTCTTTTGCTTGACTGTCGTTGCAGTTCACGGCGCTGATTGCACGGCCAAGAGAATAGCGAATGAAAGAAAAAAAAAGAGTGTCGGCCCCTCATGCCACAACTTGATTTGTGGCGGGCGCCTGATGCGCTGTGTGCGGCTGGTCGACCTGCACATTAGAGCGACACTATGATCAAGAGCGATTCAAATGAGTAACGTGACATTGGGGAAGAGTTGGTGGGAGCTTGCCTTTGAAGACAAAACGAAACACCAACCGAAAGAAAAAGCGAACACGTCCACGAACATCAACTGTGTCTCAACATGTCGAGTCATCGTCGTCATGATGAAGCTGGACAAACGAAACAAACACACCATTGACACGTTGACGCCATGACTTCCAAAAATACCACTTGAACAGGTTCAGTTGCCGTTTCACCTTCATACCGTACGCTTGTCTTGAACACGATGCTGAGTGCTCGTCTTGCGCTCATCAAAGTAGCATTCCGCGGTGCTGCTTCATGTACTACCACGACTCTTGCGCCGAAACGTCTGCATGGTAAGGTTCTTGATCTTGTTTCCGTCCACCGGCGTCCCTTCCCACTTCCCTGCGCTGTTGGTCAATGAGAGCCAACGCGCGGGGTCGTTGTGTGGGGTGCATGCGCGCCAACGTTCGGCCAAATGTTGTTTCTCGCTTCCGTGCTGAGTTTGGCCTCATTACCGGGCATCAGGGCCCCTGGACTCGCGCTCCGCCCCTTGCCTACAATGCCAACTCTATCACCTGCGTACTAGCAGCTGGTGACTGGCGTCCGTCGTCTCTTTCGGCTTGAAGACTTGTCTCGGCTGCGATGGTTTTAACCCAATTAAGCGATCTTGATTCTCTTGGCGATCGCAATCCTTCTCGACGTCTCGACTTGAATGTGTGACAGCAAGTGCTACTTGCTTTGAAGAATACTGCCCAATG